TTGTTGGTATAAATGATCTTGGATGCAATATTCCATGACTTTTCTGAACGTTGATGTCAGGCTGATAGGTCTATAATTGCTGGGCTGTGTTTGATCACCGGCACCTTTATAAATAGGGACAATTTGGGATTGACGCCATATTGCGGGTGTGTATCCAGTAATCCAGCTTATTCGGAATAGGTGGTTTAGTATTGTTGAGGTAGAGTCGATGATGGGTTTGATCATTTCGGATGTGATGTGATCGCTGCCCGGACTCTTTTTATTGGGAAGCCTTTTAATAGCGTTGTAGATATGATTTTCTGTGAAGGGGCAGTCATGAAAATCATAGGTATTAATAGGTTCTGTTGTATTGGTATTAGTATTGTTAGTAGTATTAGTATTATTAGTAGTATGTATTATATTGTTTTGAGGTTGTGGTAGGTTTCTTCCGTCGAATATACCCTCTAGATACTGTGCCATAGAGTCAACAGCATGTTGTGGGCCTTCTTCAGTTGTATACCTATGTGTGTTTTTGTTTTTTGATTGTATTATTCTTTTAACAATTGGAATGGCAGCAGTGGGATCATCATCCAATTTTTCACAAAATTTATGGTATGCTGCTGTGCGCGCTTGTTTGACTTCTTTCTTTAGATCTCGGTCAGCTGCCTTATACCTACTCCACCATAAACCCGATTGGAACCCAATTGATTTACGCCATCGTGTGTAACAGGCTTGTCTAAAGTTTGCTCGGCCTTGTAGGGATTTATTCCAGAACCATTTCCAGTTTTTCGGCCTGTAATCTGCTTCTGTGATAATAGTATCAAGTGAGTAGTAAATTATATTGTATAGTTCTTCAGTAAAGTATTCGATTGTGTCGATATTTTCTTGTTGATTTTCTATAATGGTGGATGAGATATCTGCGATTGTTGCAAGATATGTTTGGTATGCTGTCAATTTGTTGATCAAGTTTTTTTCTTGGATTTGATTTTTGAAAGTGGTAATATATGCAGTTGCTACATCATGGTCGATGAGTCTGTTGATTTTCCATCTTTTTCTTTGTTGTTGTTTGTTTTCTGATTCGGTTGATTTTAAATTATCCCATATAAATGATAAGGTCATCAATTTATGATCGGATCCAAGGATAGCAAGATCATCACGAATATCGAGGGTGGGTTGTTGTAAGTCTTGTGGGCTAAGAAAATAGTCGACAATGCTATTTTCTGTTGTGTTGTTATGTACCTGAAAATTAATTCGTGTATATTTTTTGTATTGTAGTTTAGCATTCCAGTTAATGATACCGTAGTCGCGTATAATTTTGCATAATTTTGTTCCCCTAGTGTTCCATCGACTATCACCAGTGACTTTACCCATACGTGCATTGAGATCACCACAGATAATGACATTTGATGATAAAGGAATGGATTCTATAATTTGAATTGCTAGGTTATTTTCTAAGGAAGGTGTGGGGGGTAAGTAGAGACAGTATATTTTTAAGTTATCTATTGTGCAGATAATGTAGTATTCGGATTTTGTTGTATCCACATAAAGTTTTTCATATTTTAGATTGGGGTTAATAAATAAGGATATACCCCTTTCATGACGGTAAGAATTAGAGACTGGATGTCCATATTGGTGATATTGAGTCCAGTCAGTTGGTAAATTAGAGGCTGATGGTGGCAGCCAGGTTTCAGTAATAAATAATAGGTCGGTGTTTTTACAGTAGAATATAGTAGAGTCAATGGCTTCCTCGCGGAGTTTACCATTGGCGTTTATGCAGCTTATGTTGAGTTTCCTCTTCATAATGCTTCATCCATTTCTGTTGTTTGTTGTTCTGTTGGTAGATTATTATTTTCAGGGGTACTTTCATCTTTCTTTTCAGTTGGAGAGGGAGTAGCTGTTTTATTGCTGGCAGTAGTATTGTTTGGTGTGGGTGTATTGGTATTATTTTTTTGTTTATTTGTTTGTTGTTCGAATTTTTTATTCCATTCGGTGATAAAATTTTCATGTTGTTCTGTTGTTATTAATTTTTCCTTTACGAAAAATGCTGCTACGGAGCGAGAGATATGGTTGCGGATGAATTGCAATGCACGGACAATGCGTTCATTATGCTTCTTTTCTGCAAGTTTTGTTTTTTCCTCTATACTAATATCATTGTATTGAGGGTCGGAGATGGTTGAGGGGTTAGTTGGATCGTATTTTTCTATATTTGATACTTTTGATTTCAGGAGCGTGTCTATAAGTTCTTGTTTGTAATTGACATGTACTAATAGCGCTACTACATTTCTGGCTGGGTAGTGGATGTCCAAGATACGGCCATTAATGATTCCTAATTTTTTTAAATTGCTGCGCTGTTGCTTTCGGCTAATTCTTGATTTTGCTGGATAATACACATATGTGTATCCTTGGTTGTCGTTGGTAGGGGCAGTAAATGCTCTAATGGCACCTGCAATGTTAATATTTTTTTTGGGTTTAGTAGTATTGTTTTTTAATTTTTTTATGTTATTATTATTATTTTTTGTTTTTTCTTTAGTGTTTGTGTTACGAATTTTATCCTGCATAGTTGAGTTGTATGCATGTGCATATTTGGATGCTGATGATCCCTGGTTGTTGGAGAGAGGGGGGAATTCCTCCATATCTTCTTCCATTGTCGTATCATATTCCCCATTTTGGTGTTGTTGTTGTTGTTGTTGTTGTTGTTGTTGTTGTTGTTGTTGTTGTTGTTGCTGCAGATCGTTTAGCATTTCCTTTTTTGATTGAGCCAAATTCTTTTTTTCGAGGTGTACGCTCCTCTCGTTGGCTGCTTGCATTTGGAGCTTTATTTGTGTGTTTTCTTTTTTAAGTTCTTCCACTTGTTGTTGGAGAGCTTTTACGGTTTCCATTATAGATGCCAAGGTACTTTCGTTGTTGTTGTTGTTTTTGTTGTTTTTTGTTGGCGTTGACTTGCTGCGTGTCATTTCCAAGTTGTCGTCGCTTTCTATTCTAGTGCGTTTATTTTGTTGCGAAGTCTTTTTGGTGGTTGTTGTTATTGGTGCTTCAGGTGTGGGGTAAGGTACATCTATGGGGATTGCTCCCGATGCTTTCGCTTGAGTGATTTCATGCTGCATAGATGAAATTGATATTTTTTGTTGACATGCTGTGCATGAGAACAATGGGTGGGGGTTGCTGGCATTAGTGTTACCAATGTAAATAATTGTACCTTTGTTGATACATTTTGGACACGTAATTGAGCTTTTGTATGTTTCAAAGTTTGCTAATGTTACCCGATCAGCTGGGGGGAGGGTATCCATACCAGAAGCGATCTTCTGTTTAGGAGGTGCCATTGTTGGTTTGATTATTTTTTTTTTTTTTTTGGGTTGGTTTTTTCTGTTTGTTGAGGGTGGGAATGAATCTTCCAAAAGCAATTTAGAATTCCAGGAGGAATGAAAATAGATTTTTGGTTAATTAAAATATGTGGGCGTTTCGATAGGATAGTTTTTGATTGCTGTAGGTAGGTAGATTAAGAATTGTGAGGAATGTGGCTTGGCTTGCAGGAAAAAAGTGTATAAAAGGGCTGATTTTTTCGCGCGCGACCTTACTCGGTATTAACCTCGCGCGGTTGGTTAAGTGGTATAATCTTCGCCTGCCACGCGAAGGGCCGGGGTTCGATTCCCCGACCGCGCATTATTTTTTGTGTTTTATGTGTGGGTAGTGTATGTAGTCTTGCTTGCTCACAGTTTTTTTTATTTTTTTTTTCGCCAAAGGTGCCCCTCAAGTTTGTGATAGTAAAATGACTGCTTGATGTTTAAAGAACAACATATGCTGTAAGTAATTGACTAATGAGCTATAAATATGAAACATCTTTTTTTTTCTATATTTGTAAGAATGTAAATGGATATATCTACCTGTCAATAATTAAATGACAGGTTCAGGAACCACTCATTCTTATTGTTGGAGACATAATTCACAGTGTATATGAAAATTAGATGATTATAACTTTAAGCGATGTTTAGTATATGAACATTGTATTGAATGTAATATTGATGATGCAGATAAAATCAATTGAAAAGAAACTTATATTTAGTGGACAAAGACTGAATTACACTTATGGAATACTTGCAAGATACAGGGCATCTAATTCAATCAACAGAGACAAAAATGGAGTTGTAGAACTTGTTGATCTTTGATTATCACTCTTGAAAAAGAGTGAGTGACGCTAATTTTGTAACCGCTATTTTCTCTTTTTTTTGCAATCTGTAACAAATTCAATAGGATGAATTCTGTGATATCCGTCATTTACCAATAATAATCTTACAATTTGTCAGGTAAATTTTAACAACAGTAGAACAAAAGAGTGATTAAGAGAAAAATCAAAAGTCTAGCATACAAAATAAACCAGTACTTGTATTCTACTGCAATTCAGGCTATTTTTTTTTTTGAGTGTCATTTATGTTTTAGTACGTGTAGTTAAATGGTTTATTGTGTCAAAACTTAAATGTGCCATGTACCGCATAATGTACGACGCAAGGAATATATTAGGTTGGATAGGAGGAATCAATTGGGTACCAACTGCAAAAAAAAAAAAAAAAAAAAAATAACGAGGCATTTTAACACGCGACGAGAACGATGAAGACTGTAATAAGATTTAGGTTGGCGTCTGCACCTTCCACAACAATGCCGATTTTTTTGGCTTTTTACCGCAAAAAAATTGAAAGTGTCATTCATGATGGCTCTTAGTTGTGTGTGCTGGAATGCCTATAAAAAGATGGCTTCTCTGCTTTTTTTTTTTTTTTTGTTTACACTGCAAGTCAAAGATATAATGACAGACAAAAAAGAAAGATGTACATAAAAAAAATATATTTTTATTTTAAAGCTTTGTGGGATTTCTTTTTTTTTAATGAATTAAAAAAAAAAAAAAAAAAAAAAATTATAAGGATTATCAAATTGATATTAAAATTTTTTTTTTTTTATATCAGATTGACCTTTCTGTACATACAAAGTTTAAAAAGTGGGGAGGTGAAATGTGTGAGGGGAGATGAAAGAAGAAAAAAAAAAAAAAAAAAGACTTAAAAAAATAAAAAAATAAAGGGAATATGTGAAAATATTTTCTTATTTTTTGTTCGTCCATGTCATTTTTTTTTTTTTGTGGGGGTTGATGGGTTGTTTGAAGGAGGATTGATTTATTTGGAAGAAGTGTACTTGGTGACAGCCTTGGTACCTTCAGAGACGGCATGCTTGGCGAGTTCTCCAGGAAGAATGAGACGAACAGCGGTTTGGATTTCGCGAGAAGAAATGGTGGAACGCTTGTTGTAGGCAGCTAACTTGGAAGCTTCGGAGGCGATACGTTCAAAGATATCATTGACGAAAGAGTTCAAGATGGACATGGCCTTGTTGGAGATACCAGTATCAGGGTGAACTTGCTTCAACACCTTGTAAATATAAGAAGAATAGGTCTCACGACGAGTGACCTTTCTCTTCTTACCATCAGCCTTGACCTTGGGGGTCTTGGCAGGGGCCTTGGCAGCAACAGTTTCTTTAGGAGCCATTTTTTAATATATTTTTTATTTATGGAGAAACAAAAATAATAATTAAACTTCATTTTTTGTTGGCTCTTTATATACGATTTTTTTTTTTTTTTTTTTTTGTATATGTTTGTGTGACTTGACTTTTTTTTTTTTTTCTCTATTTTTTTTTTTTTTTTTTTTTTTTTTCGCCTCTCGCACGCGCATTGTTGGTCAATATATGTCGTACCTTCCTTTTTTGGTAACACTTAATTTTACACTGAAAATAAAAAAACTTTTTTTTTGTTATTTTTTTAATAATAATGAGCGTGTTCCAACACGTAGAATCACGTAAAATAGGCAAACCACATATAATTCTGCGTTTTTTTTTTTTTTTTTTTTATATTTTTTTTTTTTCAACTGTATATGACACGAAAAAAAAAACAAAGAAAAAAAAAAAAGAACAGTCACACAGGGGCATTTTTTTTTTTTTTTTCGTGTATATATACGGGGCGGTTTTTGCGCAAAGACCCCCCACTCTCTTTGTTTAAAAAATAAATCTATATATATATAAAAATGTCTGGTGGTAAATCTGGTGGAAAGTCTGCTTCTGGCTCCAAGTCTCAAACTCGTTCAGCTAAGGCTGGTCTCCAATTCCCCGTTGGTCGTATCCATCGTCTCTTGCGTCGTGGAAACTATGCCCAACGTGTTGGTGCTGGTGCTCCCGTTTACCTTGCTGCTGTTCTCGAATATCTCGCTGCTGAAATTCTCGAATTAGCCGGTAATGCTGCTCGTGATAACAAGAAGTCTCGTATTATCCCCCGTCATCTTCAATTAGCTATCCGTAACGATGAAGAATTAAACAAGTTGCTTGGTCATGTTACTATTGCTCAAGGTGGTGTTCTTCCCAACATCCATGCCTCTCTTTTACCTACCAAGTCCAAGAAGGCCGGTGCTTCTCAAGAACTTTAAATCAACTAAAACAACACACACACACACACACTCACATACATCCCTTCTTTTTTTTCCCCCTCTTCTTTTTTTTTTTAGCAACAACTAATTTTTCATCATTTATTATTACTTGTACATATACACAAAGTCTTAGTTGCTGTTTATAAACCATTTGAAATCTTTAAGTAATAATAATATTATTCCTTTTTTTTTTTCATTTTAAATTCTTTTTTATTCGTTGGGTATTTGTATAATCTTGTTCTTGTCAAAATCAAACTTGACACGCTTCTTTTTCTTTTTTTTGGCAAGATCCATGACGACAATGGGTTGTGGTTTTTTGTTGGTGACACCACTCATGATCTTGCGTCGAATTAATGATCGTGCCTCACGTGCCTCGCGTTCTTCCCGCACTTTCCAAATCTTGACCTGATCAGCACGTTTTGCTTGTCTTTTTCGTTTTTCAGTGAGAGAAATGGGTTTTGTCACTGGTATATCCTCCTCTTCTTCCTCCCCCTCCTCCATTAACTGTGTCTCCTTTAACTTATGTACGAGCTTGATGGACGTGCTTGTTTTGATTTGAACTGGTGCGGCTGAAGCTGTACGAGTAGATGTTGACGAGCGAGGTGCCTTACGCACAGTGCTTATACTGCTGCTGCTTGTGCTGCTATTGCTGCTGCTACTACTACTACTACTACTACAGGTGCTGGTGCTGTTGCTGCGAGTAGTTGTCACTCGTCGTTTAGGATTGATATTGGTAATAAGCTTGTCAATGAGGGTAGGTTTTTTAAAGGTGGGAGCAGACAGAGACACCTTCATGAGATTAGGTCGATGAGACATTTCTTTTTCGGTAATGAGTTTTACGGGCACGGACAGGGAGCGCACCAAATATCTTGTGATGAAGTGTTGTATTGAAGGAGGAGGATAAAGTCCCTTGACGGTGAGGAATGGAGGTGAAAATAAAGCAGATGGTGAGTTGGTAACGGACGTAGTTAAAAATACTTTTCTTGTGGTTTCGCTGAAAGAAGAATTCTTTTCATTTTCAGCTGTCATTCAAACCAACCTTTTTTTTTTTTTTTTTGTTTTGTTGTCTCTTTTTTTTTTTTTTTTGTTGTGTGTTAAATCAGAAAGGGAGAGTTTTATATTACTCTGTCTCCCCCCCCCCACAAGTTTATTTTTTAATGAAAGAAAAAAAAAAAAAAAAAAAAAGAGAAATGTGACCACTTTCACGAGTAATTTATTTTATTTTGAGAAAAAATAAAAGGTTTATTTACAGAATGCTAAAAGGGTAATTAAAAGATATAAAAGAAAAAAAAAAGAAGATTTATCCACCGAAACCATAGAGGGTACGGCCTTGTCTCTTAAGAGCATAGACGACATCCAAAGAGGTAACAGTCTTTCTCTTGGCATGTTCAGTATAAGTAACGGCATCACGAATAACGTTTTCGAGGAAGACCTTGAGGACACCACGGGTCTCTTCATAAATGAGACCAGAGATACGCTTCACACCACCACGACGAGCGAGACGACGAATAGCAGGCTTAGTGATACCTTGAATGTTGTCACGAAGAATCTTTCTGTGACGCTTAGCTCCTCCCTTTCCGAGTCCTTTTCCACCTTTTCCACGACCAGTCATTTTTTATATATATGTATTAAAAGTGAAAAATTCTTTTTTTTAGAAAAACCCAAAATTTATGCCCCTTTATATATTCCCTTTTTTTTTTTCTTTTTTTTTAAAGCACCGCTTTTTTTTTTTTTTTTTTTTAATCAATGTACATCCCCCAGGGTGGAGGGGGATTTTTTTTTTTTTTTGAAAAAAAAAAATTACGTACCCGCGTTCCCCGCGACGATACTATACAAAAAAAAAAACTATATCTTTTTTTTTTTGTAGAATGTAGTTTTTTCTTTAATATGATTTTTTTTTTTTTTTTTTTTTTCATTCTTCCCAGTGAATCATTCCCTTAATTGTCTTCTTTTATTGTGATTAAAAAAAAAAATTTTTTTTTTTTCCTTTTCTCTTTTCAAACCATCCCTCCCTTTTCAATCGCGCTATAAAAATGTATACATTTTTTTTTTTTAATAATTTTTTTTTTTTCATGAAAAAAAAAAAAAAGTGACTTTTTCTTCAAATTAATATAAATAGTGGTGCCCTTTTCCCCATTTCATTTTTTTTTTTTTTTTGTTCCCCCCCCCCTTTTTTTTTAAACTTAAATATGGCTCGTACTAAGCAAACAGCTCGTAAGTCTACCGGTGGTAAAGCTCCCCGTAAGCAATTAGCCACTAAGGCTGCCCGTAAATCCGCCCCTTCCACCGGTGGTGTCAAGAAGCCTCATCGTTACAGACCCGGTACCGTTGCTCTTCGTGAGATTCGTCGTTATCAAAAGTCCACTGAGCTTTTGATCCGTAAGCTCCCTTTCCAACGTCTTGTTCGTGAAATCGCTCAAGATTTCAAGACCGATTTGCGTTTCCAATCTTCTGCTATTGGTGCCCTTCAAGAAGCCTCCGAAGCCTACTTGGTCTCTCTCTTTGAAGATACCAACTTGGCCGCCATCCATGCTAAGCGTGTCACCATTCAACCCAAGGATATCCAATTAGCTCGTCGTCTCCGTGGTGAACGTTCTTAATTTCTCTCTCTCTCTCTTCTTTCTTTGTTTCTCTCTCTCTCATAATTATGCATTTTTTTTAAAATAATATACAAAACGATTTTTTATTTTTTACAAAAAAAATCAAAAATGCTTTTATACACACTTTTTTTGTACAGTTTTTTTCTCTCTCTCACTTATAAAAAATAAATCTTTTTTTTTTATATATATATATTTATATGTCTCATATTAAAAAAAAAAAGGGGGGGAAGTGGAATGTTTATGTTTACTGTGCCACAACATGCAAGGGCATCATGCAACTTTTTTTTTTTTTTTTTTTTCTTTTGTAAAATCACTCATATCACGATTTTCAGGCGCTCTCCCCATACCTGGACTGACCAAGGACCGGGTATAAAGAATAAAAAGTTTTAAAAAAAAAATCTTTATGTGAATAAGCCTGTATATATGTTCTTTACTTTTCGTTCGCAAGACAGACTCTATATTATAGCACACAAGTACCTTCCTTTTTGAGCATGTTACTCTCGAGCGATGGCAACTGGGAGAAGCATCCTTTTGATTTGGATGCAACACCTTCTAGAACTTTATATTCGTTGTATCGCTTCTTATTTGTTATGTATACTAACTTGTTTAGCTCATACAATTGAGTGCCGCTGTTCTGTTGACATTGTCGCATCAAAGTCAACGATAGTTGATTCATAAATTCTTTTATCATCATTCACAGTATGCTTAAATTTTGTTCTGAGCAGAAGCCAAACAAAGCATGGATAAAATTTTACAGCAGTTCATCAAAATGGGGGAGTTTTATTCGTAAAATTCTATAAGATTTAGAAAATATCAAATTTATTTTTAAGACCCCATGCCTAAATCTAAACACAGGATGTTTGACCTTTTTTTTTTTTTCAAGGTAAGAGAATTGGATCCGCCTCTTCGATAATTAAAAATTGAATCAGTAACATTATCAGTTGATAATTTACCAAAGATTTCAGTGTTTTGGGTAAAAGGCTCACTGATCATAAATGGTATCTATATGAATCCATTTCTCTTATATATATATATTGAACCTCTCTCAAGTTATCTAAGGAGACCTAATTTATCCCTCCAAAAAAAAAAGTAATTTATATTCATTCTAATAACACACTACATCTGATCGCAACCCGACAGTATCTGTAATCGTGACTTACTACAACAACTACCCTTTAAATCGTCCTTTCTCTATACTCTCTCTCTCAACTTTTATCACAGCTACCAAGTTAATTGTCCCTGATTGCCCAGTTACCATCATTACAAAGCTAATTTTTTATTTATTTTATTGTAGCATACCGCAAAAACAAGTGTAAACAAAAATAATGCATCACTTTTTGCTTTTTATCTTCCATTTTATCAAATACCCTTCTTGACAAGCAACTTGGCAGTCAATTGATTCAATGTCTTTTTACACCCTGTACCATGAGAGCATTCTGTGGAAATACTATATTTACTTCCATGTTGCCAACAAATCGTATGTGCTTGCTTCATCTCCACCACCTGAAGTATATCAAAGCTCCCCTTTGTCTCCTCTTCTCCCGTCATGGGACGAGGTAATAATTGACTTAAATCCATAAAACTGTACTCGTATTTTTTGGGTTCTTCTTGTTTTTTATCCAAGACTTCCACAAGCGTATCCAATTGATAATAAAGCGCTTCCTGTTGCAAGTCTTGTAAACGCACATTGTTTCCACCACCTATATACCCCGTACGAAGGTACTGCAAGAGATACTCAAAGAGCATGCCACATCGGTCAATAAAGATCTCTTCATCATCGATGGTGCTTGTCTCCTTCATATCACCTTCCAGAAGATTGCGAAAGTAGGCGGATGTTTCCACCAGTTTGGATCGACTTGTATGGAAACTCTGTCCTCCTACATTGAGTTTAACTATATCGCTTTGTGTAGTATTCATTTATGAAAAAAAGAAGAGAAAGACAGAGAAAAGCAATTTTTTTTTTTAAAATCTTATATATATCACCATGTGCAAAAGAAGGATTTATGTGTGTGAGTGATTAAAAGAGAGCAACAACAATATATCACCGTGTGCAAAAGAAGGATATACGTGTGTGTGATTAAAAATTACTTCTTGCGTACGAGCAACTTTTCGCACGGTGTGTTTGACCATTGCGAATTGATACTTCCCCCACAGGCAGGAGGACAATTTGCGATAGAGCCATGTACAGAGCAATTCCAAGTGATGTACGGGTACGAAACGACCGTGATTAAATCGTAGGTATCACAAATGGTCTTTGTGATGCTACCAGCATTGGATGACAACATGGATAGATCCTTCAAGTCTGCGAAATCAATTAACTTATACTCCTTCTTTCTGTCTGAGAGCGGGTTCTTGATCATGTCGTCCAACTTGTTGACGAGATCATCCAGTTGGTAAAAAATAGCTTCTACACGTAGAGCCTCTAAACGATCCGTGTGATTGATACGACCATCACGTAAATATTGTAAAATGTGGGTAAAGAGTTGACCACTGCGATCGATAAAGATTTCTTCCTTTGTCTCTGCCTTGAAGAGATCGGTCCTAAAATAGGGAGAGACACGAAGTGTACCATAAGAAGTATAAAAGCGCGTACCACCTACGTTCAATCGAACGATTCGACCGTTGATTCTTGCTACTTGTTCATTGTACAATTTTGTCTCTTCACTCATAACCATTATTTTATATATGTATGTGTGTGGGGGAAAAGAAAAAAGAGAGAGAGAGAGAGAGAGAAAAAAAATTCTTTTTTATATATCATAAAAAAAGAGGATGATTTATTTATTGAGGACGATCTGAATAAGGATTAACGGATATTGAAGGATCATATTGCTGGTAAAAGCCTTGACCTCGATTACCCATGACAGGAGGTTCATGATGACTTGAGTTAGACGAAGAAAATCGACCTCTCTTTCTGATTTCTTCAAAATTTGCACCACTACCGGGTACACCACTTTGTTGACGTTTAAACCCTGCAGTGACAGGAGCTCGATTTTGATCATCTGTTTTCCATTCGGGACGATATTGAGCTTCAGGTTCCTCCACCGTCATACAGGGACGCACGGGTTGACCACCAAATCCACCCACGGGAGCGGTCATCAGATTATCCTTTTCTTCATCCGAGAGTTCGGCTAAAGGGATAATGGAGTCACCACGGTCGTAATTAAAGTGTTTCTTGGGTCCAAATCCAAAGGCCCAATTCACCTTGACAGGGACATCATCCACCATCAGTCCTACGCTACCGTATTTGGCTGCTTCGGTCGAGGCACGCGTCAGGAATTTCAGAAAGGCGTTATGGCGGCCCTTGAGTTTCTTGGATACAATCACGCTGGCTAATTCGCCGTACTTTGAGAACAAGTGAGATACATCTTCCTTTTCATAGTGGTCTGGGATAGGTCCAACAAACAACGTACGTGTCAGCACTACATAACATAGGATTTTTTTTTTTTTTTTTTTTTTAGTCTTTTTAAGTCTTTTCTGTATTTTATATTTTTTTTTTTATACCTTTGATGCATCCAGCAGGTAAGGATGGGTCATGGACAGGATCAGCTCCCTTGGAGTTGGATCGAGAAGCATGTTGTTGATAAGATGGTTGATATGATGATTGATATGAAGATGTCTGATATGATGATGGCTGATACGCCTGTTGTTGCTGTTGTTGGTTGTGGTGGTGATGTTGTTGTTGTTGATATGGCTGCTGTTGCTGTTGATATGGAGGGGCAGTGTATGGTGATCGACTGGGTTGTTGTTGTTGTTGTTGTTGTTGTGGTGGTGGTGGTTGAAAAGAAGTACGAGGATCACCAATGGATTGACGTTGTAACCAAGGATCTACCACGGGAGCCATCTGTTGGGTATCCGTAGCATTACCCCACCTCGATTTTCTCTCGCCTGTACCAGTAGCGCGTGGGATAGAAGGACCTTGGGGAGGTCTTTGACGAGGATCATTTCGAATACGAGGATCACTGACAGTAGGAGCAACAACGGGAGCTGGTACGGTTGTCATGGGTACGGTTGTGGTGGTGGTGTTGGTGGTAATGGGAGGGATAGATGCAGTAGTAGGTGTAGAGACCAATCCACCTAATAATTTGGCAAGGGCAGGAGGAAGAATATCCGTAGCAGGATCTAAAGAGGCTGTTGTTGTCGTTGTTGTTGTTGTTGGAGCAGGAAGTGAGGGAGTCGTGACCAAGCCAGGAATATTCAGATTGGCTAAACTTCCATTTCCAATGTTACTAAGAGTTGCCAAGAGTAAAGCCGTATCTACCGGTGGGGTCACTATATAGATTTTTTTTTTTTTTTGGAAAGGGGAGGTTGGTTTCAATAACTGGTTTCAAACATTCTCAAAATAAAATATATCTCCTCTTGGGAGAAGTAAAAAAAGTAAAAAAAAAAAAAAAAAGTTTTTTTTTTTTTTATGATAATAAATGAAATAATAACCTTTTTCTTGTTGTTGTTCTGCCGTGGCCTTGAAAGAACTATTCAAAAAGGATCGTTTGACGTATTGAACCATCTCTTTGGAATAAACGTTTCCCTGCTCCCAGAAATCGAGTGTCTTTTTGACTTTATCCTAATTTATTTTACCAGATAAGAAAAACCATAAACAATATAAACTTTTTTTTTTTTTAATGATAAAAAAAAAAAAAAAAACCTCCTCCTCCTCCTACTCCTCTTCCTCCTCCATGTAGTGTAAGCGTAGTGTAGTGATGTTTGCGTGGTGTAGTGTGTGTAGCGACGGCAGACGGAAACCCCAAAGGATAGATCAAAACTTGTACACACAAAAAAAGAAAGAAAGAAAGAAAGAAAAAAAAAAAAAGAAAAGCAGAGAGAACATCCCATAGAAAGAGACACCTTTGAGCCTCTTCCTTTTTAGATAAAAGGAGGACTTCTTTTTTATAATTTTGATTTAAAACCTTTTTCGCTTTATTCCATAACAATATTTTTCTTACCAATATCCTCTCTTGCTTTTTTTTTTTTTTTTTTTTTTTTTTGTGTGTGTTTGTGTATAGGCTTGAAGGTTGTCGCAGAAGATTTCAGAAGCAAAAGAGAGAGAGAGAGAGAGAGAGAGAGAGAGGGGAGAGAAAAAAAAGGGCAAGAAAGCCAAATAGTAGAAGAGTATAAAAAAAAGGGGGGGAAGGGAGGGCGAGATAGACTAAAAAAAAAAAAGAAAAAGAAAGTAATTACCTTATCCTTGGGTGAACATGGTTCAAAACAACCAATCAATGCATCATCCTTCAACACAATGGCAAATCGTTTAAGATAGCCGTCGGCTTCATGGGGTCCTTCGTTATTCTCTTCTCGCTTTCTTTGTTGTTTATGAACAGCACGTGAAATAGCATCAATCACATACAAACCTGCTAACCGATAGTCGGGGGGTGCTGTCTCGATGAACCGTGTAATGCATTGAATGATGTAATTGTGGTGCTATACAAAAAAAAAAAACACATACACACACACACATTAGCCTCTTTTTTTTTTCTTTTTTTTTCTCACACACTACAAACTACTGTACCTTGGGATGCGCTGTGGCTAACGATTGAAGTCCAGTAATCTTGCTAGCAGATACCGGTAATTTGCTTTCAAGTATTGCTTTTAACTCTTTATCAAAAAGTGTTCTATCCCAATTATCTGTCATTTTGTTGTTTATCAATTAAAAAAAAAAAAAGAAAAAAGTTTTTTTTTTCTCTTTTCCCCTCCCCCATCTTTTTCTTGCGTCACAAAAAAAAAAAAAAAAAAAAAAAAAACGGACACTCAAAACCCACCCCCCGCCAAGCCGTCACCTGATTTTTTCATCTGTGACGTGAGTTTCCTTTAGAGAGTCACTCAAAATAAGGATGAGGAATGGGGGGGGGGGGAAATGCATGATTTTTGACAGATTGGTCTTTATTGTAAAGCTATAAAGCAAATACGATACAAAGAGTAAGCAGCCCACGCTTCTACAGCACAGTAACTTTGAACATCCAAAGGTAATGAAGGACAACTCCAACAAGAGCACAAGTATTCTTTCTGATGCATCAATGTCTCTAAATAATCAAATTGATTCTTGTCTTGCCACTGACTCAGATAGAGATGAATAGACTGACATAAAGTAAAGGTGGGAAACATCACTGATAGATCAATGCATTTTCCCAAGCTGAAACCTAATTGGTGCTCAACGGCGGATTGAATATATCTCGGGTTCCAGCAGATACGCTTGATATCTGGATCCTTGAGGAGTCGTCCAAACTGTGTGAATTGAAGTGTTTTCAGGTTCTTGAGGAGACAGGTTTGATCAATCAAAACGGTGTAAGACTGACCCGTTGGATGTATGTAAATTTGAATGCACTTTAGGACAAGACCCGACGATCTTTCGATCCCATGATAGCAGATGGTGACGCAGAAATCATCACTTTGGGGGATGTCAATACTGTCCAGACTACGCGGTGTCTTTAACAGTGTCAGGAAAAGCGTCTTGTTGTTATTGAGTAAGACTTCATTTTGAAGTATCTTTCGGTCTGCTGTTGTTCTTGGAAAGTACATTCTTTGCTTGACACTAGGTATTTGTATATCGGCATAACAACCATGGTAAAAATAATCATCCTCCTCCTCCTCCTCCTCCTCCTCCTTTTCCTCCCAGTGACGATAGGGTGTCACAAATGATTCGCGTATGGGAATGATGGGCTGAAAAGTGGTTTGAAGGTCTTCTTGACTGGTTAATAAATCCATTTGATAATTAGATTTATGACACCCACGATTCGAGGTGAAGGTAGAGTCTAGAGAGCTAATAAAAGTGGTCCATTCATCGTCAAAATTTGTTTCTTCATAGCCTTTGAAAGTTTTCCACTTGAAACTAGCGTCGGCGGTGGGGGGAACTTGAGTCATTCTTTTTACGCTGGAGAACAGCAGTATTCTTCTGCAACGGTAAAAAACTCTCTTTTTTTTTTAAAAAAAAAGATAGGTATCTCTTATTTAAAAAAAAAAAAAAAAAAAGTGTGTAAAAACATAAAACACTCTTTTTGTATTTAATTCCCAGTTTGATTTGTTTATTTTATCTTTTTTTTTTTAAATAGACATTGATAAACAAGATGCAAAGGAAGAACATTGTAACAATAGGAGGGATAGCCACTCTACTTGTTACCATTGTCTTTTCTTTTGCCTTTTACCGTGCAACTATTTTAGAATGTAAATGAGAAGCGAATAATAAAGAAGTTTAGTCATTTTGTTAAATCGGTCTTCTTTTTATATATACATAGTGATACAACGTGTGGCAGTGGAGTTACGAACAAAAGCATACAGCTCGATCTTACTCTCATGTCTCATCATGGTCACTTCGATACCTCCCATGCTGGGTTTTACGTTTGCAACCACCTTGACGGGTTTTATTTACGGTTTCCCGCGTGGTATCCTACCCGCTGTGTGTGGCGCCTTTCTAGGTGCAACGGTTGCTTTTGGGCTCATTCGAAAATACAACTTTTCTCGATTTATTAAATTTTCAGCTTCCAAGGGGGAGAAATACCTGGCCATTCAAGAGGCCATTGAACAAGGAGGGTTTAAAGTAAAATAAGAAAAAAGAGATTGTATATGAAGAGAGAGTCTGACACACACATTTATAAATATATATATATATATTATATAGATGATGATGCTGATACGTCTTAGTCCTATCCCTTGGCCCATCACCAACATGCTGCTCTCCATCTTACCGACCATCACCACTCGTCAATACATGCTGGCTGCCCTGATCTCGTCCTTTAAAGTCAGTCTGGAGGTCTGGATCGGTTCTCAATTGGCGGATATCTCTAACCCAGATCTGCCACCATCCGCACATCGCATCGCCATGATCATGATGTCGTGTGGCGTATTTATCTTGTTGGCCGTGGCGTGGTGGCTTTACAGACTTACTATGGGGAGAGTGGAGGCGAGTCGTCGATTAAAGACTTTGGGATTTCAACAAGATACTGATCTTGTGTCGGTGGTTACTATCGTTGATTCCACCAAGAAGGAAATGTAAACTTTCTTTTTTTTTAATTTATTGCAAACATTTTAGAATTATCTTATTATACACCCCATTTTCTTTTTTTCTTACCCTAATATAAAAAATCTTTTAAATGTATTAAATTTAAATAATAGTAAATGTATTTGCACATCTGCATCTTTATTTTTTTTTTTCTTATCCGTGTTTATTGAAACTTGTTTGATTAGAAGGCTTGTTCTAAATATATAAAGTTCGCGAGTTATCGGGTTGAGCTGAAGAATTTATAAATCACACTATGTTGGTATATTTAAACGGGTCTCTTAGGGACAGCCAGGGTGTACGTAGTCGTAATGTTGGGATTATGATACTTTAATGGATATCAAGAGGTCAATAGAACTTAACAACTTAAAATATATACACATTTATCACAACTAACATAGTTTAAACCAGTATATGTATTTGAAAGCTAACTTTCAGCTTCTCGTTTGACTTTACATTAATATTTCTGCGTAAGATTTAATTCAAACGAGCTCAAAGGCGAAAGAGTGATAATAGAATTGTTAAAATAAGTATAAATCGTTTGATGTACATTTATTTGTAATTTTTACATTGTTTTTTTGATTGTATATCCTTGTTCCCATGTCTACATAACATTCAAACCATAGATCTTACGTTGCGACTACGTGCACACTTTGGCTGTCCCTAAGGAAAAATTGGGCTGTCCCTAAGAAAAGCGATATTTAAATGTTTTATCCCAACACTTTTAGCATAGTAATTCTGATTCCAGGTTTATATGTATAAGCTACTACTTTTCTGATGACTTTCTACCACCGAACTAAATGAGTGTTTTTACTACCTTATTGGATATTCTATTGATTTCCCAGTCTATTAGTTTGTTTGCAACATTTGTTTCTGTAATCATTTATAAAAATAAAGAATAAACTGACCGCATATCTGCCAGGGATTTACGGTATAAAATAATGAGGAATACGGTAAGAAATTCACCATCTGTCCTGGAATTTTTGCAAAAAAAAAAAAAAAAAAAAAAAAAAAAACGCGTGCCTTTAGATTTGGCGGGAGAAGTGAGGGATGTCACAGCTGCATGTCATATATAATTAGGAACCCGAGGAATATGAGAGAGACAATTGCCGGTGATACGAATAGCTATTCCCCCTTCCCTCTTCGATCATTTCCCGTGTCACTACAAAAGAATGATCCACTCTCATGTCAGTATTCATTGTTTTTCCGTTCACCGAAACTTTTAGTGAAATATCACGGATCTTTGTCGGGAGTTGGATTACAAAAGATTTGGGGGAGGAGGAGGGAGGATAGAAAATAACATCCGATGTTCGCTGACATTTTTATCCCCATTAATTTTATTGGTTGTTTCATAAAGTTTTTTTTTTTTTTTTTTTTTTCTCCAGGAAAAAAAAAAAGAGAGAGTGTTGATATGTTGTAATAAATGCGAAATAACTTTTTTTTAGGGTGATGGAGGGGAAAGGGTAAAAACAAAAGGTGTGTGTGTTTGTGTGTGTGTGGAATAGAATGTAAAGAATGACTATTTTTTTTTTTTTCTAGTGAGTATAAATATATGGGTGTGGTATTGGGAAGGTATTCAGTGTGCAAAGTTGGATAGGGAGCTCACTTTGCTGGATTCATTAAAGTAGGTGATTAGACGACCTTCATGTATGGTATTGTTGAATTCTAATTGATGATAGGGTAAAGCTTCGTTTCTCCAATTACATTTTGAGCATTCGTATCGAACACGCATCACACTGGATAAAATCACATTAAAAACAATCAATTGTTTCTCAGACCGTATTAATTGAACAGAGGCATAATGTTTGCATTTAGGGCAAGGATGTGAAACTCGTTCTAAAGCAATCTTTTTACCAGGTTTACTAACTATCAAATATAATATTTTAGTCATCCTGTCATTTCCCTTCATTATAATGTATTACCAAATGTAAAGGAACCAGCCATGTCTAATAACACTTGTAAAAAAAAAAAAAGGTATGTATATTTATATAATTATCGAAATTTTAAATAATGAAGGGAACAAAAAAAAGAAAAAAAGAGGCGCCAATTTAAGAATAGTTTATTTTTATAATTTGAGTAAGCGAGCGGGGGCTAACCAGAGCACTGGGAACATGCCATTAAAAGAAAAAATAATTAACCCACGTTTTTGTAAACTCCCCCCCCCCCCCTCTTTCTTCCCCTCCCTTCAGCAGTCTAACCTCTTTGGTATAAGGGTGCTCCCATTTAACATATCTGCTTATATATGTAGCTATTAGTAACCCAGGCTCATGGTAATGCTAATCATTTTTCAAGTAGCACACAACATGTTAGTATTTCTCAAGAAAAATTATAAGCCCTTTCCCCCCTACCTCCATCAGGCGAGTTTTTCGTCCAGTAGTAAAAGAGAGAAATCTCAGAGTGTCGATATATCAGCGCCGCTCTATTTTCCCCCGAGGTTAAATTCTCCTGAAAAATACGAGTTTTAGGGAAACAAGAACAGTTATTTCTAGACACAATTGCGTCATATGATTGATAGGTATTCAAAATCTATCCAAAAGGATAAGAATTCGTAATTTATATATATTTATATTAATAAGTCCTAGAAAATGTTGTCATATGAAAATGCCGTCATACGCAAAAAATGCTTAAAAGTATTTTTGGATGTTTTTTTTTGTTTATCTCCCTCACTATTTTAATTTTACAGCAGCGTTTTTTTTTAGTCTGAGCACCGATAAGCACAGAGAAATAAATGAAAAAAAAAAAAAATTGCCATATAAAAAAGATACATATTTTAATAGGTGTAGTCGGAGTGTACCCTTTTTCTATTTCAAACGGTTTTTTGTCGTACCCAAGAAAGTTAAAAAAGTTTTGTCGCTGTTTTAGGAAAATAGTGTCACACATTTTGCATTGATGTCAAATGGGAGAGACAATAACTACGACACACGTTTTTTTTTTTAATATTTTTATATTTTACCATATACCAAATTCACATCCACAATAGATCTGAGAAATAGTATTTAGACTCTTTAAACCGAAAAAAGTGACATGTAAGATAATAGATGGTAAAATAGACCATCCTATCAGTCACTATCATCTGTCTTGTGTAAATACTACTGTGTTCTAGACTCCAAATATCTTTTTACGAGTATTTTTAAACAGTTTCAGAATGTCCAATCCCCTGTTGTTGCACCACTAACAATTATTTAGAAAGGGATACTGTCGGTTTAGTTAAAAAGCGGAATATTCAACTTTTTTTCTGGTTTACACAGCGTACAAAACAATGACTTGACACAAAGCGCAATTGCACATTCTTGTCTCACCCGGAAAATCTTGCATGTGTCCCTTTTTTTTTATTGGGTAAAAATGATGTGTGTATATACTATAGTACATATACAGTGTATCCTGAAGATTGATATAGTAAGTTAGATTAATAGAACTCATGATACAGCCCGTGTTACATTGAATACAAGAATAATCGAGATGTAATACAAAAAAAAAAAAATGGCGGGGCACTCTTTTTTTTTTTTTTTTTTTTTTTTTTAATAAAAGCCTCCATCTCCCCCCAGCCAATCTACATACTAAACCATATTTGTCAATCTTCACCTGTGCTTTTTACTTTATAGCTTAGATTAATCTGTAACCGAAGATCATGGAAGCGTACAAAACCTCCAAATAGAGTATACAGAACCGAAAATAAACTGTAGAGTTTAGCTGCGCCTAAAATAAAATCTTTAAAGGGGAACACCGAAACCAGAAAAAAAAAAATGGTAAAATCTCTTGAGGGGATGTAGTTGTTTAAGGAAGAACTTTCCCTACGTAGCAATGAGACTAGTGTATCTTTCCGAAAAAAAAAAATGACGATTTCCCAAGATAATTGGCGGTTACCTAGAAACCATTATGTAAAATAAAAAAATCGCAAAAAATGATAAGGGAATTGTATCATTTAAAAAATTTCACTTATACAAGTAACAATCTGAATCATGTCTAGAGAGAAATTCTGTAACGGATTCTGACCTTTATATATATATATATGTTTATATTTTAATGTCCAGGTACACCAACACATCATTCAGAAATAAGTGACCTTTTTGTAACTACATCCCTGTATATTGGACAATTGTGTCTAGAATGTTCATTTTTATTGATATAGTAGTACGTGAGTTTTAGATCTATCTATTGCTTCAAAACTCGACATGATGCTAATACGTATTATATCGGTCACTCAGTGGGTTTTTTTTTCTTCTGCAGATGAAGAATTGTGTAGCTTTCAAATACTTGTTATAAAACAATAACTTTAGCCTGTCATAGAACGCTTGCCTAGTATTTATCATTTATTATAATATTTACAGATATAATATCCTCCGTATTTCTTGCTCTAGTTTACGAGTAAAATAACTAAAAGATGGTATACTTTTTTTTTAAAAAAAAAATAAAAGGGGGGGGGTGGACATTTCATCCTCATAATTGTAAAAACTCATGGAATATCTACCTATTTGAAATGATTTATATATAAATTAAATTTTATGAAATGGGGAACTTTTATTTACTCTGCTGATAAATACTTTTACAAGACAAACACGATACTTATTTCGTGGGCAATGGCTTTATGAAATGTCCTACAAATTTTTGGTTTTTGGTTGCGAAAAAGTTTTAATAGTAGTTTTTTAGATCTTCTCATTTAAAATGCAATTATTAACAGACAAAATAAAAAGTTGCTAGCGCAAAAAAAAATAAAAAAGTCGCGGGTATTCTTTCTTGTAAATTAAGTACGACTATTTACGACTTACAAGATGAGTCCGGAAATTGTTATTTCAACTGAATCTTATTGTGATAGAGCCGCCACTAAAGCAGTAGGACTTAGTGAAGGTAGATTGCCAAGATACTTTGCAAAAAAAAAAAAAAAAAAAAAAAAAAGGTGCGCTTCTCTCTCTTTTATCAAGACCATTATTATTATGTGATTGATACATAATTAGTGTTCATCTCGTTTACTTACCAAAAGTCGCTGGCGTCTCAGATTCATTTAGGGCCGCTTCTAGAATTCTTTAACGTAAAAATAATCTTCTTTTGGTGTAGCTGAAAGATTGAGACCCAGGAAGGATTCCTTTTTTTTTTTAGGGGGGTTGTTACAATTCCATTATATTAAAAACTCCATCTTTTATAGTAGATATTGACACGTCATCATTATAAAAAATAAGAGAAGAATGAAAGCCTTGATGTCGTATTTAGTCGACAATTACGTTTAGTAAAAAAGATCATTTCCTAGAAATAAGCGCTACATGTTTTTTTTTTAGAACAGATAAAAGTTCACTAGTTCTCTCACACTACTATTTTGTGATTTACACCTATCAAAACTCTTTCCTATTTTGATTCGTGTTTGCTGTGGTTAATGCTTATTGTGATTTGAATCTGTGGGTGCCCAGGCCTAGTTACCTTTTTTTTTTTGTCTTAAAAAAAAAAAAGGTTTAAAGCTATGTACGAAAAGCACCAATAAATGAAAATAATTAAAGGGACACATGACGAGGGGATTGGCTGTCATACGGGACACACCAACTATACAGGAAAACTGGTTTTTTTGTCAAATATCAATACCAGTTACACATTGTGTTAAGTCCCTTTTTTTTTTTTGTTTGACAATTAAAAGGTAGAATGATTCTCCATTAAGATTCAACCTTAGTCATGGATCTTTTTTCCCCTTTCACTCAAGATACCTCGCTTCAGACCGAACAAAGAATTATTAAATTTGTCCCCAAAGAACTTTTTTTCTTTGGCTTCTAGAAATCTTTTTTTTTTAAGCATCCATGTTTTTTTTTGCATCCCGAATACAGATTTGGGTGGCGGGCAGTGAAAAAAACTTGCCATATATGGGGGGTGCACGTTTTTTTTTTATTGGACTACCGACAGTTTGGCTCTAAATTCTAGAAATGTCCCATCCTGTACGACCCCCCAAAAAAAACATTATTATTCATCTTGTGTCTATTGAACGGCTCTGAGAAACAAGTGTTTTTTTTTACACTCTAAAATTCTAATTTTCCCCATGATAAGTCAAGTTTTTACGCGCACGTTGTAGTTAAATAAAGAAAGTTACGTAATCGTACCTATTTTATCAAAATGCCTAAATTTCACATGATATGCTCTATTTTTATTTCAAACAAATCATGGTTGTCATCCAACTTGATCAGTTTAATCCACTCGTACTAGATTGCCTTGTTTGCTGTTGTTGTTGCTGCTGTTGCGAGGGGTATTTTCCATGCCGCAAGTAACTAGCGTAACCTTCATACCTCTTTCTTGCATTTCCGCTCCATTCACGACTAACTTGCACAGAGGCAGCTCTACGGGGTATATCAACGTAAGTGTTATACACCTGCTCATCAATACTGATGGTCTTGAGTGCGGATGGATGCTCCTCCAACTCATTTTTATGGATATAGTTTTGGTATTGTTGAAATTCAGGAAAGTTCTCCACATTAGCGTAACTCGATTGATCACCATGTGTTACTGTTAGTTTTTCAATACTTTTAAATTGTTGGGTATATCTAGCGTAAGAAAAATATGTCTGCTTTAGCAAAAAGGGAGGTGGTGGAAACCTCATTACTATTTTTTTTAAACACTACCTTTTATATTCTTTGTGTTCTGCATGAGTAATACTTGGATCCAAGTTACGCTGTGTGATTCCCTCAATGGTCCAGGAAGGCGACATTTCAATTTCATGATTGATATTTTCATCCTGGGGTTCATTTTTTTCTTTAAAAGTGGCTGGATTCAGGTTGGACGGGTTTTTACCTCCAGCCCTGACTGTGAATGGACTCATCTCTAAAGCTTCCGCCTTTGTCAATCTACCGTAAAATAAATAAATACAAAAAAAAAAACGTCCCTATTCCTCTTTTTTTTTTTTTCTCATTGGGTGCTTGTACCTTACTCTTTTATTTGCTTGGATGCGGATATTTTCAGAGGCCGGTATTTCAATGTACCATTCATGTTAAATGTAAATAAGCTATCCAGACTTGTTAGCTCTTTATGATTGTAATATTCAACCCAGTATCCTTGAAAAGTATCGCTCTCATCGGGATTCACTGCCGGAACACGGAACTGGTAAGGTATTTCGAATAATGCTGGATCTAATTCGTGTGTCTTTTTCTCCAACACTTCTTTGGCATACCAATGGCGGTAACTAAACAAAAATAATAAAAAAATGAAAAAAAATTCGGTTGACTAAAAAAAGAGGAACAAAATTGTCAAAAAAAAAAAAAAAAAAACTTACTCTCGGCGCACGTCTTTCTTTAAAGGATGTTGATTATGCAAGTGATAATCTGAGCTTAATTCCCAAAGGGTGGGTTGACCATCAACGGTGACGAAATTACCCAGAAAGAGATTAATAGCGTCCTGTTTATCTGCATCAGAAAATGCATTTGCATAAAATCGACGGATGGATTCGATCATATCCCTAGGATGACTTGTCCATTGATTGATCTTTCTGTAGGTTTCCATTGTGTTGACAAGATGGGAACCACCGTATTGAAGAGCAATGGTATCACCATGATCATGATACATCTCGGTAAAGATATTGACTGCGTCTGAATCGAAATCAATTTTGGGTGATGCAATGACACCTAATGCATATAGCTGGTGGCCTAAAGCACATTTACCCATTAAGAACTGAGCTGCATTGGTTCGATCGAGACAGTCAATACAATTTGTTCTTAGTACGCCCTCTTGTCTTGAATACTTGACACTTTTTTTTTTTTTAATTGCACACAAAAAAATTAATACTGTTTCCCCCCCTAAAAAAAAAAAAAAAAAAAAAACCTCAGGGCGACTTACTCTTCTGCTGGATCATCGCTAATACCGCTTTGAAAGAACCCAGTTGACTCCATTGTATCATCGGCAATTTTTTCTAAGAACCCAATGACATCCTGATCATGACTACGTTACACATATTAATGCTGCAGTCCACCCCCACTTTTTTTTTTCTTATTGTATATATATATATATTTTATGTATCTTTACCTTTTAGATGCTCGCGACATATCCCAAGCAATGTAATTAATCTGTTTATCATCCGGTAAAAATTGATTGAGATACTTGATGGATTCCGCAAACTCCTTTCCCAAAATTGATTCACGCTTGGTTTTTTCCTTTTGTTTGATCAAGTTCAATACAATGACGGGAGTACCGTATCTTTCAAAAAGATTTTCAAAATGAAGAGCAGCAGCTGAAAAGAATGGATCCACAACATTTACTGTACAATAGAATCGTATGAGATAAGGGTGATCAGATTATGAAAAGGGGAGAAATATCAAAACTTACATTCGATGGGTGGTTTAGGAGACATATTGGTTGTGTCTTGCGACCATATTAAAGGGATAGATCCTCTGTACTGTACATACGAAGTGTAGCGTGGGTTACCAAATAGATAATCCGTGGAGTGAAATGATGTTGTTGCCATATCTGTAACAATTTGCTCAGTCTCTACATCATTGGCTACAAATCCCTGTATAAGAATAGAGTGTTAATTTTTCATTTTTTTTTTTTTTTTTTTGGGGACAACTGCAAGGATTTGTTATACCTTGTCATTCACACCACGCTTCAAAAAACGGGCTCCGGCAAAGTAACGTGATCTTCTAGCAATCAATGTCACTACGATATTCCTACCAAAGACAGAGATTTCTAATTATAATGTGAGTATGCTTGTAAAAAAAAAAAAAAAAAGGGTCTACATACTTGCTTGATCTACAAAACCATAGATGAGAGGTAAAATCCAGCCTGATTTGCTATCGAGGTTCTCGAATCCAGCACTTAGTAAATAATGATTCCACACAAACATATCATTGTGTTTCAAGCTATCATCCTCTTTTTGGGCAGAAGAAGAGGATGATCCCTGTGCTGGTGCTAAAGGGGGTTGTGTTAGGTTCTTTTGAAGTGAATTAGTAATGTCATAGGTGTAAGAGAAATAAAAGTTCTTTGCCAGGTCGATATTCTGAAAGATGGCCATGTATCTTGCTTCATCCGAGTTTTTATCGATTTTTGCACCATATCCGATGGGTACAAGACGAGTCTCATCGATATGATAGATATAATGTCCGCCCAATAATGCAACCTGTCTTCTCTTTGTGATGAATATCATGTACCAGCCTTGTGTGAAGCGGACAAACCCCACAATACCATGTATTCTCATGGCAGACAAATGTAAACCACCTACACTCAGATTACCATCTTCAATCATCTTGAGTAGTCTTGTTTTCTCTTGCTCTGTGTATATGACGTCGTCCTCAATGACAACCAAGTCTTTGGGATTCGTTCGATGTATTTGAAGCACTCTATAACGTTTTTTCGCTCCGTTCGTACCGACTAAATAATATCTCTGTACATACAAAATTGAGTCATAGACTTTAATAATAATAAAAAAAAAAAGAGAAGCCTCTTTTATCACGTACCGTTTTTGTTTCATAGAGTTGAAAAGTGCTCATGGTGAATCTAGGATGAGCATATTTTAAAGAAGTCTTTTGTTCTACTGCAGGAACGGCAGCAGGTGGTTGTGTTGGTTGTGGTGGTGGTAACACGTTATCCGGTGCTTCAGACATTTTACTATGTGTGTAATGGTCGTTTAGAGACGCTTGATTGTCTGTGAATATCTGTGAGTCTTGGTTCATTTAATAATGATAACAACAAAAAAAGAAAATAATAGGGGAAAAAAAGAGTTTTTTTTTTTTTTTTTTTTTTTTTTTTTTTTTTTTCTGTTGGCGCGAGTGACATATTTTCTTCAGCCATTAGGTTTATATTTTTGTTTTTATTACTTTAATAATTTGATATGGGGATTTGTTTTGTATTTAGAAAAAAAAAAAGTTACTTTGACTCTTCAGCATCTTCAGCCTTGTTCTCGGTCTTATCGGATTCTATTTAGAGAAAGAGGGGTTAAATATATATATATATATATAAAAGTGGTAGATATAAATTATTAAATGGGCTTACCATCTTGCAAGTCAGAGGTCCACAAAGTCAAGTTATCTCTTAATAATTGCATGATAAGAGTAGAGTCCTTGTAAGATTCTTCGGAAAGGGTATCAAGTTCAGCAATAGCATCATCGAATGCTTGCTTAGCGAGATGACAGGCACGTTCAGGAGAGTTGAGGATTTCGTAGTAGAAGACAGAGAAGTTCAAGGCGAGACCAAGACGGATAGGATGAGTAGGAGCTAATTCGGTTTGAGCGACTTCTGTAGCGTTCTTGTAGGCGTCATGAGCTTCAGTGGCAGCATTCTTACGGGCATCGCCAGTAAGGAACTCAGCAAGGTAACGATGATAATCACCCTTCATCTTATAATAGAAGACTCTGGATTCACCACCTTGAGCATTAGGGATCAAATCATCAGTCAAAACGTTTAAAATATCTTGACAAACATCTTGGAGTTCGTTCTCAATCTTTTGACGATAAGCCTTGATCTTATCAACTTGAGTGGAGTTACCCTTGCTTTCTTCCTTTTGCTCGATAGATGAAACAATTCTCCAAGAGGCACGACGAGCACCAATCACATTCTTGTAGGCGACAGATAAAAGGTTACGTTCTTCGACAGTTAACTCAATGCCCATCTAACAAAAAAGGGTAATCTTTCCATTAGTCTCTCCCTTCCCAATGTTTAAAAAAGAATAATTTTTTTTCCTTACCTTGGCAACTTCTTTAGTGAATTGGACCATTTCTAAAAATAACATTTTTAATTAAAAAAGGTGCACCTTGCATTTCATACAACTGCTTATTTACCATCGTAACGCTCGGCTTGCTCGGCAAGCTTGGCCATGTAGACATTATTTTCGCGTTCCTAAACAAAAACAAGTTAGCTAAAAAATGTTGTCATCATGATGAAAAAAAAAAAGTTGTTTTCATCTTGTTTTTGTAAAAAAAAACAAGATGAGCAAAGATCCTTTCACTTTATCGATACAACAAACTTTTTTTTTAGAATACTTACAGTAGCCATTTTTTTTTTTTTTAAGAAAAACAAAGATTAAGATTTAATAAAAAGAGATTCTAATAATAATAATAAAAAAAAAAAGTCAGTATGATATAAAAAAAAAGGACGTCATGAACACGGGGATTATGATTTATTTAAACGCAGATACGAGCGGCCTTTTAAAAAAAGGTATTTCCCAGTGCGAAAAAAAAGATATTTTTAAACTTTCATGTTTAAATTATGTGAGCGGTCAGGATTCCAAGCCGTGAAATGCTTTAATCCCTTTTTTTTTTTTTTGAAAAAAAATAAAATAATATTCTATGAATTCAGAAAATTATTTTATATACCAAAAAAACTGTCATAGAAACCAAAAGCCAAGACAATAATGCTTGGGCACAGAGTGAAATGATAATTCATGCAATCCTTTTAGAGTCACAAGATGCTTAAAAATTGAACAACTTTCTGCAGAAAATAAAAAAAAGAAAATCTAAATACCCCAGTAGAGCCGTCTCAGTGATCCCGAGTCATTAAAGAGTGTAATACTTAGTATATCCAGACTGGTAAATGCGCGTTTATACAATCCCGGACTGGCAAAGTTGCTGTAAGCGAGAAAAGGACAGTCGTACCTTTGTTACGCGGGATTCGAGCTACTGGTAGGGTCAAGTTCTGTATGCGAATACAAAAGAAAAAGTGTGCAAATAATGCTAAGGGAAACAAATAATTTCCTGTTATTTGTTCGTGATGGTGTTACATACAATATGTCAATTTGTCTAAAATGAATTGAGACGGGGAAATATTTACAAATGTATAAATATTTTTTTACCATAACGTACGAAAAGTCAAAAATAGGCAAAAACCTGTGGAACAGAGGCATGGCGACAGTGTCAAACTTTTTAGTGATACATACCATGTGCAACCATATACAAGGCTGAACAGTTGAAATTCTTCGTTTGTCTACTTGTTAAAAAACTAACCCCTGATGATTTATCTAACAATGACTCTTTGCTTCTGTGACAGGAATTAATCACAAAGTAAACTTCGATGCAGGTAAACAAATGCTTGAATCTCTTTTTTTTTTTTTTTTTTTTTTTTGGCTTTAACACTTTTTGTTCCAAAGTCTCCAATTTTTGCAAGCTAATAAGATATCAATTTAATTTGATTCGTCTGAATTTGAAGTGTAAATTCTGTAAACACGGGTTTTTGCTCAAATTTTCAAACCCAAAATGGGGGGAATGGAAACAAATAGAATGTTTGACAAGTCACAAAGTTTCTTGAGGGATCTACCGGAGCTTCCGGCTGTCATGCTCTTGTTGTTTTCAGCGTGTTTTGACCATCTCTGTGTCTTAAATGTTCGTTTTATAATATCAAAATTTATCGCTCACATTGTCGGAAAAATCTGCAGTCATGCAATACCATCCCATGTACGAGTGAAAAGTTACAAGGGAAGCCAATTTTGCTTATGTCTTCTCTTTCGTTTCAATGTATGACCAATAACTAACATTTGTTTACTGTATTCTTTCATTATGTATACCTTTGACGGGTGGGTCTAACCGCAACCTTATGCATCTTAAGCCGACGACTTAGAAATGACGCAGATTGGTTTAATGTAAGTGTGATACGTCTGCCTAGTTTTCATTAAGATTTCTTTACAGCATTGCTTTTCCTAAAGGCCTAACATGCTTATTAACTTTAAAGGAAGGCATCCTTATTGTATTTCTTGTTGGAGAAGCGTTCTAGTTTACACTACATTAAATTACTTTTTTTTTAAAAAAAAATATCGATTGTTATCTTATTCGATTTTCCGTTAACATAGGCCCGACCGGCATTATGAATAAGTTAATAAAAGAAATTTCCTTCTTTGAGCTGTAGAAAGATTAGGGTAACACATTCCTCCCTTTGCGAGAACCAACATAATAAACTAATATACGCCCTGAGCAAAATACTTGTTGGTTAGGTTGATTGTTTTTTCTAGTTATTTTACTTGGCCATTTCGATACAGATGTTTCAAGAACCATCTTCGTTATCAACTGTCTCAAACCAGCTCGAGAATTTTTAAGCGCTAAACATAAGCATCAGACATAAGACAACCTGGGTAAGATCTCTGTTCCAACAGAAGAGTACTTTCAGTACAGCTCCAGAAAATTAAAAGGTTCTGAAGGCACAGTACAAAGGAAATAAAAGAGGCGAGAGCCGTTACCCAAATCAGTTTACTCTGAAACATTTACTTATACTATGCAATGAGTCTTTGAAGATTCGTTCAAGATTGGGTTGTGCATAAATAGGGAAATATTACATAATTAATGCATGCAAAAGGTGAATAGGCAATACATTTTTTACTTTATTAGATAAATGCTGATTATAAGCCAGAGTTTCTTCTTTAAAGATGAATGATGGTATTTAATATAAGGATATGATTTACATAATGCCAACAAAGATAGGCTATATTTGATTTAATCGAGAAACAAGATATAGTGTTTGTTTACATCTATTCATCATCATCTCTAGATAGCTCACTTTCCATCATCGCTAAGAAATCATTTGCATACAACTTTTGTCTCTTGGCGGCTTTTGGTTTCGGTTTTACGGGTGCATGTGCTTTGGAGCGCAGGGTAGCGTGTGTGATATTTTTGCTAAACTCGAGCAGAGGTAGATTGGCTGTTTCCTCAACGGGCATGTACCTGTTTCTCTTTGGATGTATTTGATGCTCAAAAGATTTTCTTTCAATGAAAGAATATAGCTTATAGTTTTTCGTTGAATTTTCGTTGAAATGAGATTTGATATGAGAATCCAACATTTGATACCCTTGTGCTTTTAGATAAGCTTTGGCAACATGAGGCGTGATATGGGTCCCAGTCAGTGATACAAACGAAAGGTACAACATCTTTCCAAAAAATTTCAGGCTCTTGTCAGTAATTCCTTTGACGTGGTCAAAATAAAGTTTCTCAAGGTAAGGTAGTCCTCTGCCACCGGATATATTTAAAGCCATCGTGGTGATATAAGAAACAGTTCTATCTGTGATATTTTGGTTTCCTTTCAGGTCCAACACCATGAGATTCGTAAAACCACTCAACAAGAAAACATCGTCGTCGCAAAGATCAGTAGCACCCATTTTAAGGTGAGTAATGAACTTGGGAAAATCGTGAGACATTGCTTTTAACATGGGCTGAATAGAAAATCTTAACTTTTCAAACACAACCTGAGTCCACACAGAATTTGAAGCCCTCAAGGCCTTGGAATGAGTCTGAGGAATGACGGATAGCACTGAGCTGTTTAAAGGAGCGTCAGACGTAAACAGGTATTTCACAATATTTTCCACAACTGGTTTAAACGGAACTCCATCGAGACAAGTTAAATCTTCTGAATGTGTTTTAATGTAATCAAAGCATATTGAATATAAAGTTGGTACGGTTGACATTGGGGGAGGGAGGGAGGGGAAGCAGAAAATCAACTGAGCGGGGCAACTCTCAGGCAAATTTGACACATCACGTGACAGTCCGGTAAAACGTGGACCGGACCATGCCATTGTGGGTGGGGAAATGTGAAGCCCCGCCTGAGAGCGAAAGTTGGCAGCCTCTAATAAGCAAAAGCGAACGCACCCATAGTTTTGCTCCTTCTCTCAACCCAAAGGTATCCCATCCATCCAAAGTGATGAATTTAACCACAACGAAAAAAAAGGCATTCCATCTAACCCATCCATTTCAATAGTACCGAAAAATGGAAGCTGTACAGACATTCGGCCGTAAGGTTAGTTTGATTTTCTAGTTATTTTTTTTTTTAAAAATACATAAAAAAAAAAAAATTAGCTATACGTTAAATTTGTCATGGTACTAATTACATTTATAAAAATAACAGAAAACCGCTACCGCTGTTGCCCACTGCAAGCGTGGTCATGGTCTCATCCGTATCAACGGTTCCCCCATTGAACTCCTCGAACCCGAGATCTTGAAGTTCAAGGTCTACGAAGTCATCCTTCTTTTGGGTGAGGAGCGTTTCGCCAACACTGACATCAGAATTCGTGTCAACGGTGGTGGTATGTATTAGAGACAATATGCAGAGAAAAGAAAAAGAGAGAAAACAATAGTGATTGGAAGAGACGAATAAAAAAAAAAAAAGAGAGCATTTATTAATCACTCGTAATTTAGGTCACACTTCTCAAGTTTATGCCATCCGTCAAGCTCTTGCTAAGGCCATCGTTGCCTTCTACCAAAAGTTCGTCGATGAGGCTGCCAAGAAGGAGATCAAGGAAATCCTTGTTCAATATGACCGTACTCTCCTCGTTGCCGATCCCCGTCGTTGTGAACCCAAGAAGGTAATTTATCAAAGATATGAATCGTCGAATAATGAATTGTAACACTAATCCTTTTGTTTTATTTTTATAGTTCGGTGGTCCCGGTGCCCGTGCTCGTTTCCAAAAGTCTTACCGTTAAAAAATTTATTTTCCATTACATGGAAAGTATGTGGTTACTCTGTGCCGTATCTTTTTTTTTAACATTTTGGTAGATCTTTTTCCAAATAAAATAACGCATTTTTAAACAAATTACAAATAAGCATTGTTTTAGTACATGGTCTGCGCGTCAGTATTCCTTAGTTAGCTCGCGAAGGATCGTTTTATATTTGGGTTCTTTTTTTTTTTTCTTATACATGTATTTACCTTTATAAATTACGGCAACATCATTAGCTTTTAGTTGTTATCATATAGACAAAAAATCTGCATATTGGAAATGTCTTTGACAATTAAATCACAACCACTACCGCAAGGTAAAATCTTTATGTAACAAATCAACTAAATATACACATTTCTATTTTAAAAATGGGGAACACGGAGAACATGAAGTGCCATGTTGACAATAGCAAAAGTACCTTCCCCTAATACAAATCCGCTGGCAACAATCACAATCAACACATGCCCGATTTTTTTGTACGATTTACACCAGCCACTACTATGACGGTCCGAATCGCAGTAGCTTTCCCAAGCCGAAGCAATAAAGCCACCAATAACTCTAGCCAATGTGAAACTAGGAGGGTTATAAATACCAATCGCAAATGCAATACCTTGAGGTATATAACGACGCCAACCTTTATCTGAGCCTCCTGTTTCTTTTATCACCACAAGAAAAGCGAATAGAATAGCAAACCCAAGGATAAATTCTAAAACATGGTCAGGCAAAGGTTGTCCATTGACAAGTCGGGACATATCAAGCCATACTTGTGCGGTTGGAACAGGAAATTCGGGCCCCGGAATGACATAGACGGACGTGTACAATAAGTAAGCTCCTGTTGAAACAAATGAACTGAAAAGGGACCCGATAAGTTGACCGTAAAATTGAGCTTTGGGCGACGCATCTAGAAGGTATCCTGTTTTTAGGTCCTGCATAAGGTCTCCGGCTTGTTGAGCACCTGCTTCAGCAATACCTCCGGCAATTAGATTTGCTACAATTGCACCAGGCATTAATCCGCCTGCTAGTATCTGGCTTATTTTTCCGATACCAGAAACCGGGTTCAGGTCTGTCTCTCCTAATGCACGTACACCTAGTACGCTCAAGAACATGGCAAAAACAATTGATATTACCGTCATTCCAATGGGCATGACTTCACTCCCAAACACGATTTTGACCATGACTATGCAAAGTATTACAGAAGCAATTAATCCAGTCACAGTCATATAGAATGGCACCTGCTGATGTGTTGGTAAATCATTTTTTGAATGTATCGCAGGTAGAGATGGAGTTTCATTTCCATCATCTCCCCACCCTTCGTCATTTTGAAATTCTCCTAGCAATCCTTCTTGTTGATCAGTATCAACTGATCGTTCTGATCTGATCATAAGAAATGCCTGTTTTACTAAGACAGTTGCCAAGGAAACAATGGACTCTGATATCATCACACCCAATGAAACCCAAAGTATCCATCCTTTTGATCCGGTTTTCCAGTCATTAATAGGTCCAGGTGCCCAACCAGAGAAATAAGCTAGAGGCGACAGTATGCCCCAACCAACAAAAGCTCCTAATAGCATTGAAAGTGTTGTAGGAAGGCCCTATATAATGTTTATAAAGGCTGTAAGTATTTTATTAGCATCTAATAGTGGCGCATGTACCATAATAATGCCTTGACCAATATAACTAAGACTGGGTGTAAAATACCATTCCCACGCCTTAAAGTCTATGTAATTAAAAGTTATCCAATTGAAAACAGGCAATGCGTATATTATAGGGAAGAAATAGGACGTCAAAGTATATGCTGATGACAATGAAAATGATACCAGTAATGCATGTAACTTCAATGACCATGCTATATCAGAAGGTTGTTCGTCAACGGTAACCAGATTTTCATTTACGGATAAATTAGTGGAAGTGTCTTCACTGACTGATGTTAACTCATGCGCTTCCTGCTGCTGCTGCAATTGAATTCTGTTTAGTCCTGTTCTTTGTCTCAATTGTGGTTCGGGTATGTCATGCAAAAGGGTAATCATTTGGGCTGTAGCTGTTCCTGAGGGAAATTTTAATTGCTCTTTAATAATTGTCTGCTTTCGAAGTGGAATAGCAAAAAATACACCGAAAAACGATAATCCTAGTGACCATAGCATTAACTTCCAGGCAGACAAAATGATGGGCCCACTAGGATTATCAGAAGCTGTCAATTGACCTAGAGCAGGAATAATACCGACAAAACCTAACATAAAAAAAAAAAAAAAAGGTTACATACGTGTGGAATTTTGTCTCACTTCCATTTCATTTACCGGCAGCTAATGGCATGGTGGCAGTTGCGACAGCGACGGTCTGTAAATATACGTTTTCGATTGGCCCAAACTGGCACGCAAGCCTGTTTTGAAAAGGTCTGAAAATAGCAAAGCCTAATAAGGATGCTTGAAGAGACATCATGGATATCCAGCCTGTCTGTAGACCAAAATACATGTTGGAGAAACACATTAAAGTGCCTATAGCCAATCCAACCAGCGTTGAGCGGATCTATTGCCACAAAAATCAGTGTCTATTTGATGAGAAAAGAAATTTTATTCAACTAACAGAGAAATTTATTGGAAGCTCATGACATATTTCGTTGTCGGCTTTGGAGTGGAGGTATGAAAAATAAAGAACATTAGACTAGTTACATGAGAAGGATTTGTCATTCCTACTTCTAAATGAGTTGACGCGTTCCCCGACTTCTATTGACATTATAACCTGGACACGTTTAAATTTTTGAAACTCCCAAGCAGACTTTCGAAAATTTAGAAACGAACAGAACAAAAATATGCTTTTGCTGTATACATAATTTAAAGTTCCGGTTGTCCTCACAAACGGGTTAACCTCCTCCCGCCCTGGGTGTACTATTGTGAAAAGAAATGCGCTTCCGTTCATTCTTTTTTTGAGTTTAAGATGGACGGGAATACATAAACGGATAGCTTGGGATCGTACGGAAATGTTAAACTGGGAGCTCTTTTTTGTCTCATGTTTCATAAACACCGCTTTATGAACAGCGACTAACATTCACGGCCATGTAAAATTATTAAGATTACAATTGATACAGCAAATATCTATTTTTCCCTCATATTTTTAAAGATTGAAAACAAAGCTATCATAACTGTATCATTCTGGGCTGGCAAAGAGTTGAGTTTGACGAAATTTGAAAAAATGATTGAAACCGCGGACTAAGGGCTCCATGTGAAGCTCTTTAGCGGAGACCAAAACCAAGAACTGCCACTTCCTGACTGAATTTCCATAACGAATACACTAAGCAGGAGCAGTCACAGTTTTTTTTAAAAAAACATATATAACCTGGTCTTTATTTTTCGGTATCTATTTTTTTATATTAAATATTTTATAAAAATACAATGGTCGCTTTAGAAACCAGAGAGACTAACCAGGTCGATTTAGCGGAAAAACTGGATCAGAGCTGTCAAATTCAATCCAGTGATGATACCACTATTAGTAAAGCCAGTAGCAAAAAGAAGAAGAATAAGAAAAAGAGCCAAGCCGTCGAGAGCCTGAATCCCTTTTATCAAGAATCAATGAAACAGTATCCCGTCAAGGTCAATATTACAAGGACAAAGGGTCGTCATGCTATTGCTTCGGAAAATTTAAAGGAAGGCGAGGAACTTCTTATTGAAAAGGCCACTTCGTTTGTTGTTAGATCCGAGTTTATTGACCAACAGTGCCATATTTGTTTAAACGATCTGGATGCACAAAAAATCAAGTGCTCTGATTGTAATCTCTCATTCTATTGTTCCCAATCTTGCAAGGACAAAGATTATTTACATCCCTCTGTCTGCTATCCTTTCACTCAATTATACGCTATTGGACGTGCCACTGATGTTGACCCCGATTTACTTCGTTTAATGACTATTCTTATTGCTCGTAAACATACCGATTGTACCGGTGAATCAGCACACGATAAATCTACCCCTTTTTGGTGTGTTAATGATTTAGTGAGCCATAGAGACAGCTGTAGTCCTGATTTTATTAAGGTTGTGACAGATGCCTGTAAGTTTACATATTTTTTTTTTTCGTCTTTAAATTCCAAAGCTAATCACATGTTATAGCTCAACGACTATCAATGGAAATGTCTGATACTATTCGTATTCCAGTAGACGATATGGTAACACTTGCTTGCAGGTAATGTTTTTTTTTTTTTTTTTTTTTTTGTAACCTTCTTAACGCTTCTATTTTTCTATAGAATTAATTCAAACGCGCATGGGTTAGGCGACAATCAATCTAGAAATACTGATGTTGCACTTGGATTATTCCCACTCGCAGCTTTATTTTTCAATCATAGTTGTAATCCTAACTGTATGTTTGTTGGCCTACCCGATGGAAAACTATCAATGCGAACCATCCGACCTGTTAGTAAGGACGAAGAACTAGTGGTGACCTATATCGATCTTTATTCCGACCGTGATGAAAGAAGACAAGAATTGTTTGAGACTAAGCATTTCTGGTGTAAATGCAAGCGTTGTGCCAGTCCTATTGAAAAATCCGTGGATCGTTTTCTTCAAGGTGTTCTCTGTGACAGATGTGATGAAGATGTCTATGTGATACCCCCTACATCAATGGAGAACTTGGTCAAGGGCCAGCGTAATTTATATACCAGCACTGTTCCATTCAAGTGCGCTTCGTGTGGTGACGAAAGCTCTCCTGATGCCGTCCGTCAACATTTAGAAGATGCAAACAAAATTTATTCTTTGGGTATGACCGCTATTCGTCAAAAACGTGATTATAAAAGGGGAGCTGAAAAATTGGAACTTTTGACCAAGAGTGAATCCTCTCATGGCGGCGAATTACATATATTGAACTCTTATCGATTCAATTCGTATATCCCACTGATGAACTGCAAACGCCATAGCGGTGATATGAAAGGTGCGATTGAAGTCAACAAATTTATTCTGATCATGTTGGAACAATATTCAGAGATCGGTCTTTTGCCTGGAAACACATCTGAGATTTCTGATTTCTGGCAAAATCTTGGTGAGTTGTGCGATAAAATGGCGACTGAATCAAGGGGTCGTAGCCATGTCCTTGAAAAGAAGTGGTTAAAGGAAGCTCGTACCGCTTTTGTTCGTGCCTTGAAAATGCGCACAATCGTTTTTGGTAAAAATCACCCCAAAACAAAATTTGTCGAGAAATTCGTTACCACCCTTACCTCATCCTTATAATATTTCACACGTTTTTTCTCCATATTCATAAATAAAATGCCGTCATGTGTAACGTTACCTAGACATATAAAAAACAAATTTCTGCTTCATATGTAGCAAATGCAATGACTCATAAATGTGTGCCTGGGTCTAAGAAGTAAAAGCATCTCCGTGCAAAAGGAGAGACATCTGTTGAAGATTTGTTACACTGTGATACAGACTAAATGGTCTACAACGTCTCACACGAATTAAAAAGAAAGATATATCCGTACTTGTCTTTATAACAAAATAAAGCGAATCGGAATTAGTTCATAAAGCGGTTGCTTTGTTTATTATATTAGGCTCAACCTTCGTATAACTTGCAAATATTTGTGTCGGATACAAACAATATATACAATATAATCTCAATGTAATTAACAGGTGTGCCTGGTTGTTATCGACCCCAGTAACCAAAGTTCTTTTAAATCCTGAATGTCAAAATACTCATCGGAGCCTGGAGACTTAATATTTACCGACTAATACCTCCACCCCCCTCCCTCCCTTCTCTTTCTCCGCAGCCCTGATCTAATCTAGATTGTTTTAGAGTTTAGAAGAATATTCCATGTCTAGAATGAAGTTGAAAAGAACAAAAAGAATGTTATTAGTCGGCCTAATTTATGCTCCGTCCATTTGGCCACAAATCGAGGGTATGACCGCATACTATTTTGGGTTTGTTTGTTAAAATTAAAATATGCGGGGGGCACTCGTTGTATTGGGCGGACCAAAAGTGAACTGGCCTTTATTTTTCTTCCCTAACAAATACGGCTCAAAATATGATTGCAAATATTATATCGTTAATATAGCTCCATCATGGACTAGTTCGATTGATGAATCCGAGCTTTTAAATGTCAGAGGTATGCCTCCGAAGAAACGTGATTTGCAATTTTTAAGCCGAGACAGAATTTGAAGAATAGAAATTGCATACAGCCTTACACACTTAACGTCGCTTGAAGAGATTGTGCCATGAATTTATCTAGCAATGCACTCACTATGATTGATGTCTCTCTAAACACTCACCATTGCTGGAGAAAGAACAGTGTTACTTAATTACAAAGAGATTCACAATGATGTTTCAGAAAAATCATAGACCAGATTTCTGAATTCAAAACTTACCGTCCTTCTAAAATTACGAAAACAGGGTAATCACGTTTTTTTACGGAAGAAGACATATATCGTATACAAAGCATCGATTCAGAAATCTTATACATGCAATGAGCTCTCCTTGTTCACTGATGGAACTCTTTTCTCTATCTCTCATAGATATACATTGTATATAATAACATAATGGGGAATGGTCGACAGGATACAGTCAAAGAATATCACTTGAGCATCACACTAAAGATCGTTTACAACATTTCTAGGTTTGAGATGTATGGTGCAGGATGATATTTCGGGTCTCTTAGGGACAACCAAAGTGCGCGTGGTAATAGCCTAGGATCGGGTACCTTTTGACTGTCCTTAAGAATTAGATAATAATCTCATTTTTTTTAAGAAAGTATGTATACACCGCCTGAGATATATATTACATAATAATTTACCTTCTATATTACCTGCCGAATTGTATCAGTCATTTACGGGGTAATGGGTATTCTGTAGGTCAAAGATAAATCATTTAGGACGAATAAATAAAATTAAGTACCCCCCCCTCATTTTTTTTTCTCAAGAGTCCAACATCTTTCATGAGGTGTCCAACATCTTTTCTGAGGTGTCCTATATCTTTTCTGAGGTTTCCCACATCTTTTCTAAGGTATCCCATATCTTTTCTAAGGTGTCCCATATCTTTTCTAAGGTGTCCTATATCTTTTCTGAGGTGTCCCACATCTTTTCTAAGGTATCCCATATCTTTTCTAAGGTGTCCCATATCTTTTCTAAGGTGTCCTAAATCTTTTCTGAGGTGTCCTACATCTTTTCTGAGGTGTCCCACATCTTATTTTTTGTCCCGGTGAGATCATAAGGGGGATAAGATATTTTTTCTGCTTAATAACAAAACATGATGTCAAGTGATGACAATTAGGACAACAAAGACGATTTTTCTAACATCTTTTCTCCAGTGAAAATGGACTCTTAAAATCGCACCTCTTAAAGTAATCCTCCTGATTCTTGCTCCAAACCCTGTTGGGTCTTTTCTACACAGTCAAAATTGAACATATTTTTTCTTCCATTACTGCTCAAAAGAATATTTGTTTTGAAGATATGGATGCGGATAAAAATTGGATTTGAGAGAAATCGATATAGATTTATGAACGAAAAGAAGAAAATTATTAAACTTGCAAAAATTAACTTAGGCTTTATTAACAAGTAAAAGGGGGTCTTTGTCGTATTTGGGTACGATTCACTTTAAGAGAACTAAACAAATCGTTTCAATAAATAAATGATGAAATTTAAACGACCTTTGATATTGCATATACTGCTATACAACTTCTTCTATTGCAAGTACATACATTATACTGAAGATTGCATGATTGGTCAATATATATATATTACTGACAGGTATATATATATAGAATCGTATAACCGCTGGATTTATATCTTGATTAGAAGAAGGAACCCCTCCTCCTATTAAATCAAGAATATAAGAAAGATAAATCAAATACTAGCAGTTCCCTCAATGGATTAGATACCCATAGAGAGAATAGAACAGCTATTATTTATAGATGATTCATTTACTTATATATTGATATAGTTATACGACTGACAAAGTGTCTAACAGAAATAATGTATAAATTAACGGATACCTACTTTCTACAACCAAGTATACAAATCTCGATAAGACATTCTATATTTGGGATCGTATTTTGTTCATTAGAAAGGTTGAGACACGGCTGTTTTAAAAAAGGAGAAAGGTCGATGTACTTTGGGCTTTCCCTGTATAAAATAAGTCTGCTCATTTTAATATATTCTGTAAGAGCAACCTCTAGGAGTGGAACGTCCAACCTATCCTTTTCATTTCAGATCGACTTTTATAAGATGTGAGTGACAGGATATATCCAAAGAGTGTAACTCTCATTATGTTTTATTTAAAGTCGATATTTTTTTCAACGGTTATGGACCCACCAACTTATATTAAGATTCTTTATATACTTTTATTATTATATTGAATCTTACTCTATAGAATTTGCATCCCATTATATTCAAGTTTTCATTCTTATTGTTCATCTAAAAGGGATTCGGCAAGGTAGTGTTCTTGGAGTGGTTCTATAACGTGCATCAACGCTTCCCCAGATATAATTTGTTCCAACTCATATAATGTCAAGTTGATACGATGGTCTGTGACACGACTCTATAGAATTTATTAACATCAATGATGATTCAAACCAAAGATGAACGTACCTGTGGATAATTGTATGTTCTAATCTTTTCAGATCTGTCACCAGTACCAATCTGTTTATTTCTTGAATCTCGTCTCTCGTTTTGTGTTTTTAATCGTTGTTGCTCAAATACTTTAGCTTTAAGAACCTTAAAAGCTTTGTCTTTATTCTAAATGATTCACGTTAGTTCATGACTAATAAAAGGCTCAGATAATGTACCTTATGTTGTGATCTCTCGTCTTGCATAGCTACCACCAAACCAGTTGGTATATGTGTCATTCTAACGGCACTATCAGTTGTATTCACATGCTGTCCGCCTGCACCAGAAGCACGGTAAACATCGATTTTAAGGTCGGACTCCTTTATCTGAATATCCACTTCGGTAGGTTGTGGTAAAATAGCCACAGTCACAGTAGATGTATGAATTCTACCTTGTCCTTCAGTTGCTGGAACTCTTTGAACTCGATGTACACCCGATTCATATTTCAGTACACCGAATACATTCTTACCACCGATATTAACAGTGATATCCTTTTTTAAATCGTTAGAATTTACACCGAGCTTTATATACACTAGATCTATTACCTTGAAACCTTTACCACCTGTTTCATCAGATTTAGCCAGAACTTCCCATTTCCATCTTCTTAACTGAGCAAAACGTTCATACATACGAGCCATATCGGCAGAAAAAATGGAAGCTTCATCTCCACCAGCGCCTGAGCGAATTTCCAAAATGGCACTAGCATCATCAGCCGAATCCTTTGGTGCCAATTCTGTAATCAAATCCTTTTCAATTTGACTGATACGATCCATAATATCAGAATACTCTTCTTTTGCTAAATCAATCATTTCTTGGTCGTCAGCATCCCCGCTTGATAAAAGCTCGTGTAACTCTCCCAGGTCGCTGCAGCCTTTTTGCCACTCCTCGAACAAGGCCTTTGGTGCATTTATCGAAGCGAGTTCTTTTGAGGCTTGTGTTAGTTCTGAAGGGCTTAGGCTGTTACTATTAAGTCGAGAAAGCAAAGTGTCATGTCGTTTGGAAAGTATGCTCAGCTTATTCTGGAGTGGTAAGGTGATTTTTGTTGACTGCAAAGGTGAGGCTATAATAAAAATAGTTATTTTAAATGAAGACATGAGGTCATTCGTCTTTTACCGTGTGTTGAATATTTGGATACATGAACAAGGCTTCTTTTGAACATTGTGTCAAAAAAAAAAGAAAACTTTTTGGTAGAAAAATAAAGGTTGTGTCAAAAACAACAAGTGAAGGGGTTGATTTGAGTTTTCACAGGCAAAAGTGACTCTTTTTTGAACATTTATAATTTTGTTTCCATATTGAGAAGACTTGTTAAGATTCCCTGGCAGATATTATAATAAGACTGTGGGTCGAGATGGGTATGAGTTCGCCTAATATATTGATTTAATTATATCTTCGCTTTCCTTGACCCATTCGGATTGCTTTAGCAGCTGACAATGTAAGAGTATACGATACTATGTATCATAAGGTGTAAAGTCGCTATGTTTTCCGACAAGCAAAAAAAGTGAGTACTATGATATAAGGTGGCAAGCCGAGTATATCAATAGGTTACAAGTAAATCTTAGCAAAAGAAAAAACTGTGGTTTATTAAATGAAAGAAATACAAGTGTTTATACATAGTAAAGGAACGTTGGAATAAGGTTGGCAATTGATTTTGTATCACTCCAAAATCGGGTCGCCACAAAGGACGAAAATTGCATTTCTATTTAAATCATAAGCCAATACGGCAATGATTGACTAATTGTTAATTACCTGAGATATCAAGTCAACATTTTAACCATGTCTGTAAGATTTAAAGAATCTAGGGCGACAAATACAAATAGCTAATCTGAAGTTACAGTTCTTATATTGCACACAACTGTGTTCATAGTGCTATGAGTTGGTACAGTTTCTATGCAACTGTCATAACAGGATTGTACACCCGAAATCCATTCCCCAGCCACAATGCCTGAAAAGACACAGAAAAAAAAAAAAAAAAAAAAAAAAAAAAAAAAAACTAACTTTGCTTTTTCGACAATATTTTTTTTAGCACAATGATTGACAAAGTGCTGAATGAACTTGTTGACGAAATAGCGATTGAGGGTGAAGAAGGTAGAATACAGTCTCGTACTCTTGTTAATGTTTAATTAACGCATTTTTCCCTGAAGGCTGCACCTTTAATCAAATGTTCAGTTTTATCGAATCTTTATCCACTAAATCCCTTGAACACATTACTCTCGCTAAGCCTATTCGATTTGACAGCAACTACAAAGCATATATTTGGTCGCTTTTATGTACCAACGACCAACTGATTTATACCGAGGTAAACGAAACAACGAGCATATTGATTCCCAGCTTTCTTTGTACTGAGTTATTACATTCTAGAATGACACAATAATCGACCCTTCGAGTTTAAGCTTCGAAGAAATACAATCGAAATCAGCTTCCGGAAATCTCGTAGTGAAAACGAGTGAAGAATCACAAGATCGCAATATATATGGAAGTTTATGGGTAAAATAAAGCGGATGCACTATTCATGCAAAAATTAATTTTAATTGATGTAGGCAGCAAAAAAAGGGTTAGGTGACAATCACAAATTGCTGCTAGGTATGGTGGCAAAAAGTAGATATCAAGGTATTAGCCAGATAAAGTTGGCTGAGACACTTAAATGGGACTGCAAAACGGTATTTTATTATCTTAAAAAACTGGAGCAACTGGGTCTAGTGTAAGCATAATATAGGAGCAAAAGAACATATCAATAACTTTTAAGTTAGTTTCAAGGAAACTGTATATGCAGACCATAGGAATACAAGAGCCATCTTCTTAAGGAAGTTCAAAAAACAAGATGAGGGCCCGAATGAGAATACAGCTGATATGTATCGAATTGAAGAATTTGAAAATACGCTACTAGCGTTGTTGAATGAAGCAGAAAACCATATGTTATCCTCACAAGATGCTATCAGATTGATGGTAAAGTCTAAAAGGGATTTTCAGGATTGCATTACTAAACCTAGCAACTGTAGGGGTTTTCGACAGTTCAAAATGTACGATGGGCAAGAGTAAAATTGACACAGCTTCACGAGCGAGGCGTGATTGAAAAAGTGGATGCTTTTAATGGAAAAATCCACAAACAATCCATCAGACTACCAGGACCAAACAAACACACTCATGTCGAAATGAAAGACCAAGAAGAAGAGGTCCAAGAAGACACTGTAAAGATGAAGTGTGTAGATACATTTTATAGGGATTTACCTGCGGAATACCAGTTTTACCAGGATGTAGTTGCAGCAGGTGAAAATGGAATAGTCAGACAAGAACTCGTCGATAAATACCCGGAGCTGGATCCAAAGTTATTTCAGACCTTCTTTGAAAATGCCGCTGTAACACCGAAATCGAAAGTACACTCTAGATATTGTATTTATCGCACCGAAGAATTAGGAGGCAAAATCCGTCAATTCCGGTATTTTTCCCAGGATGGGTGGAAAAAATACAATGCAATTTTAGGGAAAGCAATAACGGATTCGAAAGAAACTATAACAAAAGCGCCTAAATTAGAAGAGCCATCTGCCATAGACTATGTAGGGAAATCCTTTGGTATCCATCCCACTACCAAAATACCGATCAGCCGAATAAGGACGAACCCTGGTAAATATTCTGTAGATGGGCACCCAAAAGCGAAACAACAAAGAAAGAGACAGAGGAAGCTATCCATCCATATCGAATCGGAGGATAGTGACAGTTCAAAGCCATCATGCGAAAGTATTCCGAAGATAAGAAGGATGTCAAAGACAGTAACAATTGAAGATACGATAGTGACCCCTGAACTCTCTCCTGATGTATCAGACACCTCTAATTTGGATCCTACATCAGCTTCAGATGTTTCAGAAGTTCGTATCATAGATTCAGCAGTAATGTTAAAAAGAAAATACCAGTCGAATAATGGAAACGACTCAAACACCAGAAACGAAGAACATGAATCGACCAGGGCTCCCCCATTACCTTCAAAATTGAAAAAGAGAAAAATACCTGAAATGAATAACACAAAATTACGTCGTCATGAAATTTTGTTAGACATGATGGAAAAAGAGCATATTCGTGAAGCGAATCTAGCTACACTCACACAATTTAACGCCATCGAAACAGGTTCAGCAGGTGGCCCAAAAATGGCGTATAAAACATTTAATTCTATGATAGAGCAATTACACGAGCAAAAGAAATTGAAGTTGTATATCAGTACTATTGAGAAACCGTTCGGATTTACTGAAATGAAGAGACTATTACTTCATTCGAGTATATCAGAAGATAGTGAAGAGTTAAAAAATTTCATTAAACGTTATAGCATAGAACACACGATATGCAATGGTCGACATAAAAAAAAAGAGTTTAAAACTGTGGATGTAACGGAATTACCTTCCATTGACGATACCATATTTAGAATTCATAAAGCCAAGGATTTAGAATCGGAGAAAATGGCTCGGGAATACTGCTGTAAATATGGATGGATAAAGTCAAAGTGGTATCGATCAAAAAAACTGCACGAAAGTTTAATTCAGTTTCACAGCAAGTCAAACTTAAATACCCTTGTGGTTGATATGAAACAATTTCTCAAGCACTTATCAATCGGCACCTTGGCAGTCATTTGCTCCAGCTTACCCTATCTTGATGAGACATTTAGGACTTTCTTGGATTCGCCAGATAACAGAACCATTACGTTGGGTGAACTTCCCGAAAATATTCAACTTCTTTTATCGAATCTGAAGGGCAGAGTACGGACATGCATCTCTTCTTTGCTTCATATTTTAGTTGCGTTGGACGTGGTGAGACCGGTCAGTGGTTTAATTCACGAGTCAGATTATGTTATCACACCCAAATACGAATTATGTGAACAGGGTGTTATTCGTGATTACGCTTTCATGGACCGTGCCGTTGTATGTACTCTTCCTTTAAACAACATACAGGATGTAGGGAATTTTTGGGATAAGTTATACACTGTCTGCATCACTCCTATTCGTTTTCATTCAACAAAAGATGCTATTGATTTAGAGAAGTGTGTCGACAAAAACGATCCTCTTTACAATATACATAAGAAAAGAGGTTGGCATATCGACCCATTGGTCACACGGGCACAAAAAGAAATATTGGATTCTTTTGTTGATTTCGAGACTAGAACAATACCCTCAGACACTACTGCTCTTAGAACTTACTTGGCACAGAAAACTAATTTATCGACAAAGCGTATCAGAACATATTATCATGGCATTATTGGGGCCTTTCAAAAACAGAAGACGAAGGAGGAAAAAATGGCGGCGGCACGACAAAAGCTGCTTGAATCAGCAACTGATCCCACTATCAACAAGTTAATCCTAGCTTCGGTCGAAGGTCGCAAAGTTGACACTTCTAAGGATTCAGGTGAATTTATTAGATCTACTTTTATTGGTAGTAGAAGATTTAGAAGATTGAGAACACGCGTAGAAAGATGTACAGAGCATGAGGAGCTTCCTCGTAAGTATAAAGTTAAATTGGAGAAAAAAACAAGATAAATTTAATATTCATATCGCAGATAATTATTCGTCTCGTGCATCACATAATTTCACCCCACACGAAAAGGATTTGCTGCTATATTCATACTGTATAATGAAGACAAGAGCCAAGAATCTTCGATTTTTTTGGCGGCCGATAACAAAGGTTTTAGATACCAGAACAAAAGAACAATGTCGACGTGTATTCAACAGGATGGTAGAATCCTTGCCAGGGATTCAGTCTACAATCGAGAAACTAAAATCTCAATGGGAAACGTTCTACAAAGAAGGATTGGAGACCCAAGAACTAGTTGATAAACACTCATGGGATACTAGTGAATTCGACTTGCGTTCGTTTCTGGAATATTTTATTTTGAGGTTGCAAGATGATGCAGTGTAAGTAAGGAGTTTCAGCCGATGATACATAATGCTAATTGACGTCTATACATAGTCAGCAACAAAAATTTAATCAGGACCATCTGTTGCCTCGTAACCTTCAGGAGTTCCAGACTTACTATCAGATCGACCGTAATAAACGTCTCATCGAAGCACAAAAGGATAGGACCCATCTTTCAATAAACCCTTTAGACCAAGATTTATATGACATGCCGGCGACGATTACGGAATCCCAGCAGGCCAACGTGGTCTATATTTGTAGAACATTGATAAAGGTAAGATATATAAAAGCTGGAACGAGACATAGACTAAAAAAATAGCGAAAATTAGATGCTACTTTTAACACCTGATTGTAGGTATGATACTGACATGGCGTATAAAACCTTGAATCAATACCCTTCATCTGACATAGAGTCGGCATTGGAAGAGATGAGAGCAGAAGGGCTTATCATAAAAGACAACGCGAGACATTGCCGTATTCCTGGTAGAGCATTTAATGTTTCTGAGAAGTAAGTCCCCTGATTGCATAATTTTTAGGTTCACTAAATTAATTTACACATTTACAGATTCTTACTGATTTCCGAAGGTGTCGTTCCCTTCGGAATGCTCGACGCTGCTGAAGCTTATCATAAGAATATTGTCATGAGCAAGACTTTGAATTTAAAACAAATAAGCAGTGGCATGGTTGCTTCAATTCTTAATCTTCTATCACAAAAAAAGGTAAGTGAGGTCGTTTTTAAAAATTATGTGCAAGATTATTGATTTCATGTCTCAAGATTATACTGCAACTGAAGAATAAAGATACATTTATAAAGACCAAAAAATCCATACTTTATCCAAAACTATCAGCAGGTTTGTGGTCATGTAAATGACGAAGTTTAAGTTGGTGCTAAAAAAATTCTTATCAACAGATAATCTCTGCCAGGCGTATATCAAGAAACATTTGGAATTGGTCGTACAAGACGCAGGTGTATATGGTGGTAAATCTGATATCTGCCCAGATCACAAAACTTATATTGTCGTCCCGACATCGGATCAAGTTGTTAGATATTTGAAAAATCTGGACCCAAGTGATACATGCTTAAAAGTCTATCAGGCGGTAAAGAGCCTTCAAGAGGCTGGAGGAACTTTTTACGACATAATTGTATGCGTTAATAGAGACAATAAGATGGATGAGCGCGAGATCTCAAAAGCAGTCTATAAACTCACTCAAAACGAACCCCCATTAATCCATGTTGTCGGGTTTAAGCAGCTACGATACGTATGTACAGAATTTAGCCCTCATTGGTTTCTGAAAACGCATGATGATAAGACTTTCGTACATCTGTTAATGTGGAATGATGCATCGGGTAAAATAATTAAATCTGCGTTTGATGGTTGTGCAAAAGCTGTTATCAGTCATATATTGACGAAACCAGGAATTTCTCATGTAAGTACAATAACATTTAGGTGACCATGATGCTTAATCTTGACATTTTTTTTTGTTAGGCTAATCTGCGAAAGAAATTTGTTGGATTTTTCACAGATTACGAACTTTATTCATTATTGACTTACTTGGTTGACATCAAGGTTGTTCATATAAAAAAGATACAAAGAGAATCACCTTCCAGAAAAGTGTCAATATTCGGAAAAAGATCACTGAAATCCTTGGCTGCACATGACAGTACCATGAAAAGTAATGAAATCACCTTTTACTGGCTGTCGAATGATTACTATCTTCAAAACTAAAAAAGTGAATAAATATCATTTGTAATATTTTATATACATCAAAAAGAAGGCCTAAAGAGCTGTTATTTGTGTGACAGGTCTAAATATTTGTAACAAAAATCAGGACTAGCGGGCAACTGCGTCAATACCTAAAAAGGCTAACCTTAATTGTGTATATAGTCTAGCGTAATCGCCTTGTGTACCACCTTTTGTGCGTTCTTTTTAAAATGCAGAATACAATCAACCATAGTATTGTACATACTTTTAATATATAACTTGTTAGAATTTATAAGTAAAACTTCTCGAACTTATTAGTGCGTCATAGGTTTTTGTATGCAAATTAAAATACAGATTGTTTCAGAAAAATTTATTGTGGTTTTTGATAGGGTCGTTACACAAAGTGGTATGATTTCTTCGGCTGGGCCATCCCACGGAGTTTCACCGGTATTGGGTTGTTTTTTTTAACAAAAATGTGTGTATATGTCATATCTGAATATGCGTGATAAGATATGTTAAATAATCCAAGTATTTAAATAGAACAGTGATATCATTAAATGTAGCCATGGAAACTTACTAGATCTGAGAAAAAAAATATAGGCGGATATCAGATAATAAAAAAAAAAATGTCTCAGTCTTTATAAATTAAAAATTTTAATGATCTCTTATCAGCTTTTTGAAAAGTAATCTTTCTTTTTGTTTTCCTTTCGAGTATGGATAAAATTTTTAAAAGAAATTCGAAAAAACCGGATCCACAAAACAGTGATAATGAAAGTAGTACCGCCAATTCCGTCATAACTGAACATATAATACCTTCTTCACCAAAATCACCAGCTTTTCCTAAACCTGTCAGGCCCAGACTAAATGACCAAGATGTCCAGAAACATACTTCTGTTACATGGCCGAGGCTACCACAACTAGCTTTGACAACCAGCCAAGACTCTCAAACATACGGACCTTTAGATTTTCCGGAGTCTCCCTCATCTCATCCCATCGAAGTTCTTTACACCGATACAGAAGCTGGAAGCGACGCCGAATTGAACAATAGCGCTCAAAAACACCGCAGAAGAATCTCATATGATGAGGATGATGGTTCGTGCAGCGATGTTGGATCACTCAACAATGATCGTCACAAGAACGGAAACCAGTTTGATGATTCTGGTGCAAATACCTTGGTAGAAGCTGCTTTAGATAAAGAAGAGGCGAAATACCGACACATTCGATTTCAAGATCATGTTGCTGAATCTGCAGCTCTTGTACAACGTATGTTAAGTATGAAATCCGGGCAACGCCAAGCGCCAGATGCTTTGCAGACAGCCATGCTTAATAGACACGATAGCCGTAATAGCGACGAGGAAATAAGTCTACATCAAAAGCACCCGAATTTAGGCGGGGGTAGTGTCTTGGCAAGTTTAATGAGGCTAGAGGCTGCACGTGTAGATGGAGAAAATAAAAAGAAAACGAAGAGGCCAAAGGTTAAATAAGCTTACATTCATAGCAGAGTGACACGAATACTTACAAGTTTATTTTTAGGAGAGAAAATCACTTAATTTAAAGCGCAATAAGAATAGACCAGCTTCTCTATTCAATCTATCCGTACATTCCAACACCGATCCTGGTTTGCAACCACCTCGACCTAAAAGACCACCATTGGTTAAACGCCCTTCCAGCTGGCTATCTGAAGTTGCATCCAGTAAATACCTCGTCCCTAGCTTAGAAAAAAGAAAGAAATTCGCGTCTCCTTCATTCTCACGTCGATCGTCAAATGACAGTATGTTCACAACCGCTTCCCAGTTTGAACCCATCACGTTGGACGATCGTATCCGTATTACTTTTGAAATTGCTAATATTTTACAAAAGCAAGAGTTTCTCAGAAAGCTATGTAAATCACTTATGCTTTATGGATGTCCGGCCCATCGTTTAGAGTATGCCATGCGGCAGGTATCGCGTACTTTGGCCGTTGAAGCTGAATATGTGTATATACCCAGTGTTATGTTGGTTACCTTTATTGATTCAACAACACACACAACTGAAACCCATTTTATTCGACAATCACAAACATTTGAAATGCATCGCTTATCCGATATCTACAGATTGGAAAAGCTAGTAGCTCACGGCGAGGTGTCTGTAGATGAGGCATTGGAATTTATTGACAAAGTGTATGATCAACCCCCATTATATCCCCTTTGGTTGCATCCTATTGTGTATGCTCTTGCTTCATTTTCTGGATGTATTCTGTTTTTTGGTGGTCGTTGGAAGGAAGCGGGTGTAGCCGCTGCTCTTGGTAGTAAGTAGTCTATCAACAAATATCTCGAGATCAGTATAATAATCATCATGTTTTGTAGTATTTTTTGCCTCAAATGAATTGTTTTCGAAAACAATAGCAAGCTTCCAGCCGATTTGGGAGATCACAGTTTGTATATTGATTGGTTTTGTCGCAAGAGGAATTACTAAATACGACTTTTGCTTCACACCTATTGCGTTTTCATCTTTCATTATTGTGCTGCCAGGATATCCTATGGCTGTTGCCATTATTGAGCTGGTTTCTAGACAGTTGGTGAGTGGTGTTGTTCGTATGGTGTACGCCATTATCTATTCATTTTTACTTGGTTATGGTGTATCTATGGGCTCCCAATTATACTTAACTATTGACAAAAATAGTACATTAGAGCAGTCTGATGCCTGTAAACTAGCAAGCAGCGCCACTACATGCGTTTCCAGTGAATCTCAATGGTTCAACTTTTTAATGGTTCCTCTCTTTGCCATGGCGTTTTGTATCTTTTTAAGGGCAAGGCTGCCTCGATGGCCCATAATGACGCTTGTGGCCTCTTTTGCATATGTCATCAATTATGCGTTGGCTTGTTGGGCACATGCTCCTTCACAAATCCTTCAAGTTGCACCTGCATTTGGCTTGGGACTAGTGGGCAATTTGTTGTCTAAATTCACAGGTAAGATGTCGTTTGATGCTGTGTTGCTAGGTGTGTTTTATTTGGTGCCAAGTATCTTGGGCTTGAAGGCGGCGATTGGATTATTTTCTGGTAGCGAAGAAGTTGGTACTCAAGGGGCAGGTTTTGCTTTAGCAATGATCGAATCATCGATTGGTATGTTTGTGAAAACATTTTATTGCATCTAGTTACTTAACTTTTCAATTTAGGTATCACCCTGGGCTTATTTCTTGCCACACTAATTGTATACCCTAAAGGAACTCAACATACACCACTCATGAGTTTGTAATTTATATCTAACCCTTTATTTAAATTCCCCCATTAAACACGTCCAACTTCATATATTGTTCTTCCTACTTTTATTAACGTGTCAAGTGTTACTGGGGAATCCAACAAAAAAAGAAAAAAAAAAGCAAAAACTGATGCGAGAGAAGCACATGGTTAATCTGCATAGGTGGCGTAATGATTAGACTGTATAGCTTGAGGATGAAGGAAAGCATCTAACGGATTCATATTCTGCTGTTGTGGAGGGGGTGTTTGCTCCTTGGGTCTACCTTGCAACACACTTAAAAGTGAGTTTCTGCGTAAGTTGTCTGTGCTAGGAAGGGGAGAGCTATTAGCTGAACTTGTATCCAATGTATTGCCTTTGTTAGCCTTCAATAATTCTTCAACAAATGAGGCACGGTGGATGGTGCCATTCTGAGGGGATTGCTGCTGCAGTTGTTGTTGTTGAAATTGTTGCTGCTGCTGTTGATGTTGCTGTTGTTGCTGTAAAACACTTGCTTGTTGAAGTTGCTGCAAAATATTTATTTGTTGATGTTGCTGATGTTGAAGATGTTGTTGTTGGGCAAACTGTTGTTGCTGCATAAATTGTTGCTGTTGAGGGGAAAAATGAGGTTGTTGCTGAGGATGTATGCTTTGTGAAGGTTGTTGGGAAGAAGCAAATAACTCTTGGAGCATATTATTACCATTAACATTAGGTGGTTGATGCTCTGGTTGAGGTTGTGATACGGCAGGTGAAGCTGCAAAACCGGCAGGCGCTGTTCCTTCTGAACCAACGCCTAAAAGAGATTTAAGCGCATTTGATGTTTCTACAGGTTGTTTGGCTAAAGCTGTGTTACTTTGACCCAATGGTGACGCTGACTCCTTCACTATCTTTTCAGCTTTATGGTCTTTTCTTAAGATCTTTTTACGTTGATTAACAAACTGTCTCAATTTACTACATTTTGCCTGTTAGTTTTGATACATATAAATATTTTTTCGAGATAAACTCACTTCATGAAAGGGACCACCATGTAAAATCTGTAAGGCCCTGATTTAACATAATTTAAGCTACCATTTCCTGGACGTGGCTCAGTTGTCTTATATGTTGGTAAATCATCTAGTTTGATCCACGAAATTTGCTGCATAAAAGGATTAATTGCTGTTTTTCTATACCCGAATATCCACTTACACTAATCTCTTTTCTAGTTCTTGGGATAAATAACGTATCTTCGGGTACGCCTTGAATGATGTATAATCGAATACGTTGTTCCCGCATAGTTAATTCAATATAATCAGGTTTTTTCAGCAATGGTCCAACATCATAACCTGTTTCTTCCAAAACCTACTATAAGGATAAATATTCCCATTCGGCCAGACTCATTGCAACATACTTCTCTTATAGCACAACAATCGTACTCTTCATCCTGATTGATTTTTCCCTTAGGAAAACCCCATCCTGATTTCGAGCTCCATCCTTTAACAAGTACACATTTATCGAGATTGGCGTTAAGAATAATTGCGCCACAGACAGGGATACGGAAACGATACTGCATAAAGTCGGCGTAAGCACGTTCATGCTCATGTGCCCATTGATGAAGAAGGGGACAGTGCTTAAAAAGTACAGAGGAGTTAAGGAATGTACAAATGGATAGATAAAGATTAGCAATATAGAATTATAAAAAGGATATTTCTTGCAGAGAAGGTTTTTAGTTGAAATGAAGGTAATTCCGGTTTCAATTCTCTAATAAAATCTTCATAGAACCAGTGAGCTTGTTCTACTTGAAAGCAAATTCTTTCTACAGAAGACAATTCAGCCTCTGGTACGTTGATAATAAAACGACTAATTTGACAAACCGTTATGTTTCTGCCTGTGTTTAAGTGTACATTTACTTACCTTGATAGATCGTCCAAGATCTCTTCAAAAGTAGCACCAAAAAATACTGCACTCGATTGCATAATAAATAAAGTAGTTTATACGGAAGAGAAAGGTTTACATATTTTCGACTCCAGTAAGATTAGACAGCGCGTGCTCGCTTACGCATCCGCCCAGATATTGAGTTTAAAAAAGCACAGTTTTCCATAAAGACGGTGTATCACCGTACTGGCTGCAGACTGCATAAATGGCATTTACGCAAAATAAATCAAGTGCGTCTAATAATGCCTATCATATTTCTATTAAATAGAAAAATTGTGTTATGAAAGGGGATTTGTGTAAAAGGTTGGCACTATAATACAAATGAGTGATGTCAGGGAGGGGAAAAAAGGAGGAAAGGGAAGGATAATTGTGTTTAGTCCTACAAGCTACATAAATATTACAGACATGTGAGAATAATCAATTATTGTAATATATCTTCATAATAATCCTTCTTCAGGTAGTGATATATCTTCTTAATCCGGTGACTTTTTTTATTGTTGGCATTGAGAACTATCCCTATTGTGTTTATACTCTGTATTTCTTCGTTAAAATACTTGCCACTATCTATTTAGAAGAAGCCAGCTTTATTCAAAATGTAGTACATTCTAATTTATGGATAAATACCACCTTAAAATTAAAACAATGGCATGTCAAAAATAAATAAATAATCTTCGTGATATTAATAGATAGGTCGTATTGTATCAACCAAAACAGAATATTTTCAGTATCATTTGGTGTTGCCATCAATATTATGAACGTGATTTATTTAATATAATTCTATTTACACACTTAAAAAAAGTCTATTCTTTTCTAGTTGGTAAGTTTCTAGCCAATTGAATCAGTGCTGACTTGGCCTCTGAAGTAGGTAATTTATCTATGGACGAAACAGCCAGTTCTATATGCTCGTTTGCTAAAGCAAGTGTCTTTTTTAATCCACTACTTTTATAGACTAAAAGACGTGCCTACAATTATTTATTAATATAGTGCCTCAGCGAAAATCAGACTTAATTTACCTGTTCAACATCCCCTTCTTCAGAAAATTCTCTCTCGATTATAGGCCCTAATTCAGAAAATTCTTCCCATGCCAATAATACAGGTGCATTAATCCAAGATGAAGCTGACTTTTTATCCACGTTTGCCGCTGTATTCGAAAAGGTACGTACATCATCAAACAACTAAAAATACAGTTAGTGCAAGTCAGGATAAAGAAACAAAATACGTACTTGGAATGCAATACCCAAATTTTTACCATAATCATATGTATACTGCGAAACCTCTCTGGAGCAACCGGCTAATACAGCAGAAGCTTTACAACTTTGGGCGATCAAGCTACCTGTTTTCATATACGCCTTTTCAATGTAATAATTAAATGCTTTCTTTTCGTCGGGATTTTTTTCATGGGGATTTTGAAGTTGCATGAATTCGCCTTCAACGATATCGGCAATACAGGTAGCTATTAACTCAATACATTCAGCCTTTTTCAATTGAGCTAATGCAAGAGAAGCACGGGCTAATAAAAAGTCACCAGCCAGAACAGCCATTTTATTACCAAAACCAGGATTCACAACCTCTGTACCATTATCAATAATGTCATAATGAAGTAATGATGCTGTATAAATCATTTCACTAATCTCTGCTAACCGTCTTTGTGTGGGTAAAATTGGATTGTCAATTGTTGTCAGTTTAATCTCATCCTGGTCATTATCACTATCAACTAAAAGTTGATTTGGTGTCTTTTTTTCTGCTTGGCAAGTTGCTTTTGCCATTAAAAGAACTAATAAAGGTCGAATACGGTTGGTATCGCCCTGAAGATAATGTTTCCCGATAGTATTTATAAATGGATGGCCAGAACCCAATAACTTTGTGATGTTTCCCTTCAACTCCCACAAGTCTTTACCGACCAACTTGACAGGATCGAAAATTCTTTCTTGATCAGCAGAGCTGACCAAACTTTGTGCTTCCTTTACTGCGTCGTTCCAATTATCGGCTTTCCCTGTGAAAGGAATAGACTCAATTACCGGACTAGTAATTTTCTGGAGTGGTGGCGCGTTTAAAATGGTTGACTTTATGACATTGAAACCTTGTGTTAACTTATCGAAAGGTCCAGATTCCTCAACTTCTTTAAATTGAACTGCCTTCTTATTCAATAAATGTGCTGAATGGTGATAGTTTGCAACAGCAATTGCTCTTGTCAAGTTTTGTTGTCTTTTCAAAATGCTTTGTATACTACGCGACAACATTTTGGGTTTGTTTCCTTGCGAATAAAGGACGCCTGACCTTTTCTTATCGACATGATATTGTCCTCCCCCCTTGTTTGGGCTTAAAATATTCGACCAGTGACTGGTCAATTCTTTTTCGCAGTCCACTTTTTTACACCTGTTTTTTCCAGTGCATTAATGCGTTTGTGTGACATTGGATATGGATATACTAATTACAAGCAATGTTGACCATATACCAAGATCGCAAACTTATTTCATTGTATATTTATGGTACCATAGTCATTTTTAGAGTGTATCCCAATTCACTAAATTTTTTAAATTACCAATATTCGTAATCGCTCGGGGTAAACTAAGCGAAACAAATCTGGTTTAAAAAAACTAGAGTTACGCATATCTGACCATTAATCAGGTGCCTGAAGGCATTTGGAATAATGATTATCTCTAAGGCGACATGGTACATTTGACTTTTACTGGGACCATTGATTTTGAAGCCTTGACGTTTTACTATACTACCAGAAAATGCTGCCATTACAGCCAGGAATTATGCCTCCAAAAGCAAAATTTGCATTGCCTGCGTATATTTCGGTCTTCCACAGTTAAATTTCGTGTTTACGGTATTACTCGTGGATACCTTTACCGAAGGAGGTTTTCAATTTGAAAAAAACAAAGCAAAAAACAAAACAAACAATAAAAACGACCGTTGAATTTATTCTTATTGACAAAATGATCACAATCATCGGCGGTCAAGGTCCGATGATCCACAAGTTACCTGTTGTGCAAGTGAGGTTAGCAGGTTGATAGTTCAACATCTCATCAACATGAGACATAAGAATACGCAAATTTTCGACATACGACTAAACAATGGGGCAACACTATTCATGAACTACACGAAATACAAGGGGTTCAACACTACGTACACATACTAATCTTACTCTAATCGATAGATCTTATACTTTTCCTCAGAACAGCAAATCGTTAATTACAATTTCGCTTATAGAAAAAACTAAAAGCGTTCTTTATCTAACAAATGATTGATGAATACATCGAGTTTCCCTTCCCTGCTTTTCATGTTGACATAATTCCACCTGCTCCGATGTTGTGCTGGAGTTACTAATACCCTGCAAATAATAGGGTTATGTTTTAATTGTTATATTTTTATTTTTTTAAAAATTGAATTGGTCGAGTGTTGTGTACAAAATCTATTTGGTCATGATGTATCTTAACTTTCCAGGTGAATATTTGTAGTTGTCAGCATAAGACTTCTTGACAAATTTAGCAACCTTGGGTTCTTGAACATAGTAATTCCAACCTAAGCGCTATAAATTAGCAAAATAATCTCGCTTTTGTGGTTTATCAATCACGTTACCTTGCTTTTCAGAGAATTTGATAGCATCTTCCTTAGAAAGGAACTTCATGGTCAATGCTTGTTGGTAATCGGAACTATAAATAAACGTATCTTAGAATTAAGCTCTTTCCATATTATGCGATTCTCTTTCTCTCTCTACCTGGAAGCCCAACCCATCAAAGGATTTTCGAAACGGTTACCGTCTTCCAAAATATCGAAATCAATACGCCAGAATCTGGTGCCGTTCTTTCCTTGTTGAGTGGGGGTACGAGTTGGCTTAAAAATACGAACACCACGATCTAATAATGCCTCTATAAAATTATTCGATTGTTAAATTCTGATTAAACTCAATTTTCTCATTTTTTTTGTGCTGTTTTTTCTGTAATGTTTTACCTGGTGCACCTGAAAGGTTTTCTACACTGAGAGTAGGTTCGTTTTCGAGATGAATGACATCTTTAGTTTGAGAAGAAGAGAAACGAACAGTGTTTAATAAAGCGGGTTTGGCAATTGCTGAACGGCAAAGCATTGCTGTTCTAGCGACGAGTGGGGAGGACATTGTTGAAAATTAGAATATAACAGTGAAAGAAAAAAATATCCCAATCCCCTACATCGTGGGGTATCAAATTTACAAAAAATAAAGCGTCCTACGTCATCAAAAATGAAGTTTCTGACAGTTCATTCTCCGGACCAAATGATCGAATGTGGATGGAAGGCGTTGGTAATTTTCAAGCTGCAAGACAACAACGGGATGTATGCGGGATCAGTTTTTTAAAACATAGCTTGTCTTTGATGATGGTAAGAGCAAAGAGTACGCATAATTAGTGCTATCCCGAATGTCAAAGTAATAGGGGTAATTGGACACTTAATGGATAACAAAAAATATTATTCACAAGAATTATATTCTTTATTGTTTAAGCAGAATATACAATTGACTACAACTGACTCTCGTAAATCCGGGTGGACCATTTTTCAGATTCATTTGTCACTAAAGCAGCCTCCAATACCTCCCATATATTCTTTGCAAACACGAAGTGGATATCATCCTTTATCTTTTCAGGTACATCCTGTTCTACATCCATTTGATTGCGCAAAGGCATAATAATTTTACGAATACCAGCACGATGAGCGGATATAACCTTTTCTTTGATTCCACCAACAGGCAAAACTTGACCACGCAACGAAATCTCTCCAGTCATTGCTGTAGTTGGTTGGACACGATAGCCCGAGTAAAGGGACACGATCGCGCACACTAGAGTAACACCTAATAAAATAATTAAGTAAGAAGTATAAACAAGATTAATTTCACTAATAGCAACTTACCTGCAGATGGGCCATCCTTACTGATAGAACCAGCAGGGAAGTGAATGTGAATGTCATCGTGTTCAACCATCTTTTCTCTCGGATTGGAAGTAAGCTTCAAAGTAAATGCATGCGATTTCACCCATGATAACGCCAGTTTGGCAGACTCTTGAATTACATTTCCAAGAGACCCGGTTAAATGAAGATTTCCGTTACCAGGCATTTTTGAGGCTTCTACAAACAAGATGCCACCATTACCACTACCAGAATAGGCTAAACCTGTAACCACGCCTGGGTATGAATCTCTTTCGGATACCTCTTTTTCGTATTTGATATTCTATATTAAAAAAAAAAAAAAAGTTAGTGTGAATTTGAGCTTTTAAAACGTAAACATACCCCAAGAATACTTTTTATGTCAAAAATAGAAACAGAGGGGTTATAATTGTCTTCTTTGTTGTTTTCTCTAAGTTCAGCTAGTTCCACACATTTTGAACGTACTATAGAGGCCAAAGTACGCTCCAAAGTACGAACACCACTTTCACGAGTATAGTTTTCAGCAATGTACAGAATTACGTCGTCTGGTAATTCAATATGCCCCTCGTGCAAACCATGAGCAAGTGTTTGTTTGGGAACTAAATGGGTCTTTGCAATATGCAGCTTCTCTTCAAAGGTGTAGCCGTGAAGCTCTATTACTTCCATGCGATCCAAAAGAGGACCTGGAATAGTATCTAATGAATTGGCAGTGGCGATAAACAAAATGTTGGATAAGTCGAATGGAACATTCAGATAGTGATCTGAAAAGGTGTTATTTTGTTCAGGATCTAATACTTCTAGGAGTGCAGCAGCAGGGTCTCCGTGATGAGAGGAGTGTACAAGTTTATCAATCTCATCTAAAAGAAATAATGGATTGTTGACTTTACACTTTTTCAAACCCTGAATAACTAGACCTGGCATAGCACCAACATATGTGCGTCGGTGACCTCTGTAGATAATCTTGAATACTCATTATTAGATTTCGTATTAATTGCCTATTACCTTATATCTGCCTCGTCTCTTACGCCACCAAGTGATATACGATGGAATTCTCTAGACATGGATTGTGCAATGGATTTCCCGAGTGACGTTTTACCCACACCAGGCTGTGCAAAATGACTTTTTAATATTTAAAAAAAAACCTTTGGTTTCACCAACTTACTGGTCCAACGAAACACAAAATGGGGGCCTTGAGATCACCTTTGACTTTAATCACGGATAGGTATTCTATAATTCTTTTTTTTACATGGTTCAGGCCAAAATGATCACAATCCAGCTGATATTTTGATTTCTGAATATCTAATTGTTGACTAGATTTTGAGCCCCAAGGTAAATCCGACAACCATTCTAAGTAATTTCTTGAGACAGCCCATTCTGAAGAGGATGTTTGGAGGCGTTTCAATCGTTTTAGTTCACGTTGGGCAAGAATCACAATATCATTTGGTAAGTTAGCTTGGGCCAACTTGGAATGTAAATCGGATAATTCATCTTCACCCAATGGAATTTTAAATGCCTTATTATCAGTTTTCTGGTCACTTTTTAGTTCGTTCTGAATAGCTTCCAACTAGACGAAAATGTAATTGCATGAACATTTTTAAATCACTTCTAATTTTATATGCCAGAAAATAGTTGTACATACCTGCTGGCGTAAGTAAAATTCGCGCTGTCTTTGGCTTAGTTTCCCATCAATACCAGAGCCCAATGTGTCCGAAATTTGTAAGACATGCAGCTGTCTCGTCATCCATTCGGAAGCTAATGTCAGTCTATCCTTCAGCAATGGCGTAGCCAGCATAAAGAGTCTTTCTTCGAACGTAGTTTCAATAAGAGCCACCAATAAATCAGCAAGCGAGGAGACAGGTGTAGTATTTACCACCTTACTCAATTGGGCAAGTAGTGTTTCTGGCAATTGCAGCTCTCTCATTTTAGAAACAAAGATTTGACTGAGCTCTTTAAATTTAGCAACAGTTTGCTTTTCTTCAAGGGATAGCTCTTTCATGACTCTAACATCATCAGTAACATAGGTAGCATTTACCATCCAGCAGCTTGGGTAAGGTATCATTGAAGGCGTGTTCTGGTAAAAGTGATTGACTTTAAATCGAGTAATGCCTTCTACAAATACACCAAAGAGATTGGCTCCCGATCTCTGAACACGAATAATACGCGCCAAACAGCCGTATTCCAATAGTTGATGACGATTGACTTCCGAAGTAAGCCCGTCATCATTGAGTGTCTGATTTTCAACCTGATGAGATGGTAAAGGAACTTGAGGGGCCTGTGAGACAGCATGATCACCTTCCACTAACGCGGTTTCCGTTTGATTTTTGGTATTAAAGTTAGGTTGTAGAGGAATACATGCAACATAAACATCCACCTTATTTGTTGTCGTAGATGAAGCTTGTCTAAAATAGCTTCTAGTTAGATCATTAGCTTGCTTTCCCCGAATCATCAAGCGTAGAATAACAGAGGGTAAAAGTACCTTGTTTTCAAGAGGTACTACTATAACATTTTCAGGAAACCTGTTCATAATGTAAGGGAAAAAAGGAAGAAAAGGTTTAAAGGGAAAAAAAGTAAAAAAACGAAAGGTTATTAAAATGATATTTGTACAACATGTGAAATCTCCACACTTTAGTGTAACGACTGCATTTTTCCAATGCTCTATCATGCAAAGGTACGTCTTCCTTTCTAATTGAAACTGTATGTCATTTGATATTGAGCAAATGAATAGTAAGATTTATGTCTTCTGGTTGGCCGAAAATAAGAGCTTGAGAGGTCATGTTTTTCTTTTATTTATATTTATTTTATGGGGTGGGAATGTCGTACACTAACATTTTAAACCAGGATTCTTATGCATGATTATTTCATATACAAGGATATTAACTCATCCGAAGCGTACATGTGGTTCATTTGTTCAGATATTTCCAACAATGCCAATTTAACAACACTTTCTAAAAGTAACAAGTTGGATGTGAATTCCGAACTGCTTGAAACCGTCGAAACACTTGAACTGACAGGCTTTTCTTCCTCACTGTCACTACTGTCATTGTCCTCATCTGTCCATAACCCAATGGCATACCAATCCGATTCCTGCAACTCTTCTTTTATAATTTCTGGTGCAGTCTCCTTGATTTGAATTAACTTCTCATCACTGCTGTCGTCATCTTGGGACTTTACTTTGGAAACCTTCACTACAAGCACGGGCGTTTTGGAGTCTTCAATATTTAATAATTCTCCACTTTGGGTATAGTACATGCGTTGAATGCGATTGATATCGATGATCAATTTCTGTCTCTCTTCTCCCTCCTCATGATACAAACCGTCATCAATATCCTCTGTAAGTATCAACTCGTAATCTCTTTTTTCTTGTTCAATTTTCTTGACGACCAAATCACACTTGTGAAACTCTTCTTTCCAGGTAAACGCTTCTGCAGAAGCTTCGCGTTGGTTTGCAGCGAACAGGGAATACAACTTTACTTTAAATTTGGTTTCCTTGCCCAACAAGATACTCGAGGCCTGAATTAATTTCGAAGGCGATATTGTGACCTTACCGGATTTGTTCTCGATGCTACGTAAAGATAAGTGAAGAGATGGAATGGCATCGTCAACATTGGACAACAATCTCTTGAGACGTAGCTTGACCTGCTCGGGTTCTTTTACTGTGTTGACTTGCTGAGCAAAGTCATCAATGTCTTGCTTCAAGTCATTACACATTTCCAACGCGGGTTCCAAATCTCGATTGCCATCAGCGACGCTTCTTGCGATAATATCAATTGTTGGCTAAATTTATCAGTTTTTTTTAGTGTTTTATGTACGACATGATGTGGAACTGTTTGTGTACCTTCAAATTTTTTATCTTGAGATCGAGTTGACGTTGAAGCGTACGTATTTCTCTTGTATCAGGCTTGTTTTTTGGCAATTGAGTTGTGACATATGATGTGACATTACGCTATGATAAATTGTTGTCAGTTCTCAGTGGGAGTATTTTTAACATGTATGTACTTACAATAGCTGCATTAGTAGCATGACTTAGTGCGATTCTAGATACTGTAGTTACAGTAGTCATAGCTAGCTTCCCAAACAAATCTTCAATCGATGACATTTTTATTTACTTTGAAAATGAAGAAGAGCAAGAAAGAAGAAAAATAAAAAAATGCGCACACTATTGAATACCCGCAAATAAAAAAAAAATGCTGTTTGTTATGTAATCGTCATCATGAAGTAACAATAACAAGTCCTTTTCCCTGCTAATCTTGATGCGAAAATCTCCTTTGTATTACATAGGCTAGAAAGGTTTTGTTATCGATGTTCTTTTTATGCAAAAGACCCGCTTTCGGTCCTGAGTTTCAAGTTTCTCTGGGGTTGCAAGAAAAAAAAGGCTCGAGCCACATTTTCATATTTTCATATAAAACGGGTCGTTTTCTTCCCTTCGCTTTTTCTTCATTTTCCCACCTTTTTCTTTTTAAAATAAAAAAAAATGACTTCTAGTGTACCCACTTTTGAAGAGGAGATTTCTCCTGGACGTGTAGTAACAATGCCTGCTGACGGCACTGGACTTTCTGTCATTGATCCTTGGTTGGAGTCCCACAATGATGCTCTCAGAGAAAGGTAATAAAAGAAAAAATTATGCAGAGGCAAACACGTTTTTAACAAAGTTTCAAAAATAGATACTCTATCTTTAAAAAGAATGATGAGCAAATCAAAAACACGCTTGGCTACGAAGAGTATACTCAAGGTTGGAAGTACTATGGTTTCAATGTTCAAAAAGATGGCAGTGTTATGTACCGTGAATGGGCTCCTAACGCTGTCACTGCTAGTTTAGTTGGCGATTTCAGTAAGTCTCTTTTTTTTCGTTATTCTGGGGGATTATTTTGTTGGGATCTAATCGGAGAACTAATCTTTTTATTCAGATAACTGGGACGTGAATGCTCATGTCATGACCCGTAATAAATACGGTGTATTTGAGATTCTTGTCAAACCTCTCGCCAAGGGAAAAGTAGCTATCCCCCACGGAAGCAAAGTGAAGGTAAATTATTAGAGTTTGAATGTTGCAGAAAAAAAAAAAAGGAGTGTCTCACACGAGCCTATTTTAGATCACCATGACAATGCCTCATACCAATGAGCGTATTTACCGTTTACCTGCTTGGATCAACTATGTTACTCAAGATCTTAGTGTTAGTGCTACTTACGATGCTATCTTTTGGAACCCTGAAAAACAATACGTTTTTAAAAACCCTCGTCCCAAGAGACCTGCATCAATCCGTGTTTATGAAGCTCATGGTAAAGTAATGTATGTCTCGCTGCAAAACAAATAACTAAAAAAAAAAACTTCTTTCGGCCTTATCTTTTTGCAGTTGGTATCTCATCTCCCGATCCCCGCTGTGCTACCTACAAAGAATTTACCAAGAATATCCTGCCTCGTATTGCCTATGATGGTTATAACACTATTCAATTAATGGCAGTCATGGAGCACGCTTATTATGCCTCATTTGGTTACCAGGTGACATCATTTTTTGCCCCTTCTAGCCGTTATGGTACTCCTGAAGACCTTAAAGAATTAGTTGATACTGCTCATGGCTTAGGTATCACTGTTTTACTTGATCTTGTCCATTCTCATGCCTGTAAGAATGTTGCTGATGGTCTCAACGAGTTTGATGGTTCTGATCACTGTTATTTCCATGCTGGACCTAAGGGTAGACATGAGTTATGGGATTCCAGATTGTTCAATTATGGTAGCTTTGAAGTTATGCGTTTCCTCATGTCTAATTTAAGATACTGGATGGACGTTTTCAATTTTGATGGTTTCAGATTTGATGGTGTTACATCTATGCTTTACAAACACCATGGTATTGGTTATGGCTTCTCTGGTGATTACAATGAATATTTTGGCGATAACGTTGATGATGAGGGTGTCATGTATGTTCAAATTGCCAATCATTACTTACATACCAAGTATCCCGACGTAGTAACTATCGCTGAGGATGTATCTGGTATGCCCGGCTCTTGTCGCCCTGTTCGTGAAGGTGGTCTTGGTTTTGATTATAGACTTTCAATGGCTATTCCTGATATGTGGATCAAGATGTTGAAGGAAGAGTCGGATGATGATTGGAAGATGGGCCATATTGTTCATATCCTGACTAATCGCCGTTACTTGGAAAAGACTATCGGCTATTGTGAATCTCACGACCAAGCCCTTGTTGGTGATAAGACATTAGCTTTCTGGATGATGGACAAGGAAATGTATACCAATATGAGTGACATGACTCCACTTACTCCAGTCATTGATCGTGGTATGGCTTTACATAAAATGATCAGGTAATAGAAGCATGAAAAAGGGAGTGGATAATAGTTCTAAAGGGTTTTGTGTATAGAATGGTAACTCATGCTCTTGGTGGTGAAGGTTATCTTAATTTTGAGGGTAATGAATTTGGTCATCCCGAATGGCTTGACTTCCCTCGTGAAGGTAACAATTCCAGCTTCCAATATGCTCGTCGTCAATGGAATATTTTGGACGATCCTTTATTGCGTTATAAGTACTTGAATGAATGGGATCGTGGTATGCAATTAACAGAAGAGAAGTACGGCTGGCTTCATGATGGACAAGCTTACGTTTCCAGAAAGAACGATGGCGATAAGATCATTGTATTTGAGCGCGGAAATGTTCTCTTCATCTTTAACTTCCATCCCACCCAATCCTTTACTGATTACCGCGTTGGTGTTGAGCACGCCGGTAAATACAAGATTGTTTTGAACTCTGACGATAAGCAGTTCTTGGGTCATGGAAGAGTTGATAATAGCACTGATTTCTTTACTTCTCCTGGAGATTGGGACAATAGACCTAACTGGCTTCAAGTATATATCCCTAACCGTACTTGTTTACTTTTGGCTAGAAACTAAAGAAAAAAAAAACTATCATATAACCTGTAAATGCAACCCTTTTATTACCCATCATTGATCATTATTTTAATAAATGCTTTATTATAAATACAAAATAACTACCATGTAACCTTAGCAAGCACAGGGCGGTGATCGCTGATGATAAGCCCATCGTCAAATTGGTTGGGTAAGACGGCAAGTAAAAGTACCTTGACTTTTGTAACGTTACTTTCAAGAGCCATAATAAAGTCAATACGGATAGGAGCACGTTTAAATTCATCACCAGAACCAAAACTAGTGAACGTGTCCCTAAATCCGAAAGGACCAGATAATGTCCCTTGTTCTCCTTTAGTGTTGAGACGAGTCTTTAATGCATATTGTGCATCAAGAAAGAATTTTTCGGCCTTTTCTTGCTCTTCCTGCTCTTCTTTTTGTTTCTTCAAATTGGCAAGAATTTGACCTGGTCTTATGACCCTATGAGTTGGTAAATGAATATTTCCTTCTTCTGTACTTGTTGGTATGCCAGTCTTGTTCGTATAAGCAGATGCACATGTATTATTCAATTCTTGAAGATTAGCAAGCGTATCATTTGAGCCTTTTGAATGTTCATACTTTGATCCTGTCAAGGTAAGATAAGCAGGGTCCGATTCCGTCGAATTTAAATCACCTAACAAAAAGACAGCGCCCAAATCGCCTGCTTCTCTTGCTCTATTGAGAATTAATTTGGATGCTTCTTCTCTTGATTCAAGCCCTTTATGGTCCAAGTGAGCATTGAATACTGTAAATTTAGCGTCATCAGCTGTTCTTGTAAAACTATGGATAATAAAGATGTTTTTTTAGCCGTTCATCCTATACTTTTAAAATTTCTTACGTTACTTGAGTGGCCGTACGAGGATGTCTTGCGTCCCATCCCTTACTGCCAGCTACCTCCGGCTCCTATTTTCGTTGATTTATTTATATTTTTGCATCAGCGACCATTTTTTTTTTTTATAAACACATGCTTGCACAAAATACCTCTGATAACCAGATCGTTTTCCACGAATCAACTGTCAAAATCTGCCTTTTTTTTTTTTTTTTTTTACCCCGCATTATTAAACAATTTGAATGAGGGACCCCACACGATTCTATTTACCTCTTGTAAAACACGGCTGAGAATTCACCTTGTTTATCCCCATCATTTCTGCCAGCACCAATCCATTCATACTCATCCCCGATTAAAGCTTCAAGATCTTGTAGTTGGTGATACACAGGTTCCTTTAAGATTTATAAGTTGTGTGTTATATAAACAAAACGTCATTTCTTACTTGTAAGGCCAAAACATCAGGGGAATATAGAAGAATTGTATCCACAACCTTCCATTTTCTAATAGACCAAGGCTGTTCTCCTCCAAACAAAGTGACGTTAGAGGCGTCATCTCTGACTGGTGGAGTTGCAAATGGACTTGTGGGTGAATCGTCGTGATGGTCATGACGAATGTTGAACGTCATTAAGTTTAAGGCTGCTGCTCTATTGCTTGAACCATTTTCAACTTCCATTTTTTTCTTGTTTTTTTATGTTGAGAAACTGAAGAAGGCAAAATATGGCAGAAAAAAAAACAAAATATATAAGAGAAAAAAAAAATAAAAAAGGTGCGGTACTTGAACTAGGCGTGGGATCTTTACTTGATTGTGATTGTTTCATGCCTCATTGCGTATTACCCTCGTCCAAAGTAAGAAAAAAAAAAAAAATAGGGTCGACTTTTTTTTATTTATTTATTTACAAAAGGATAGTTATAATTTAAGCAGCAGAAGGGGTTTCTAAAGCCTTTTGGGCTTCGACAGCATTACCGTAAAGTAACTCATATCTCTTCTTAGTCTCTTCGTCTAATGTTTGTGCTCTTCCTCTACGTTCAAAGTTGACCATGTATCTATCAGATTTGTATGCTCCACCACCTAAACCAAAACACATGACAATATAAAACTAGAGAGAAAACATTTCATAATGTTTAGTCACAAATACTCTTTCAAATGCACACTTAAATCATTCTTACCTTGTTCACTGTTTGTGTCTTCTTATACCAAGGTGCAAAAGCGTAAAGTAAACCGGAGGCAAAGAGACCAACGGAACCCCACTGAGCAATACCAATGGCAAATCCCTTCATAGCATGACGACTGGCGCTTTCTTGTTCGGAATTTGATACAACTCTCATATTATATTATTTGTTTTTTGATAGATAGGTTTCTAAGGAGGAAAGAAAAAACAAAAACAGCTGCATTTTAGTCCAGAAAATTCATTTATAAGCATCACCCCCGGAGTTGTAAACCTGATTTCATTTAATCGTATCATTTTTTCTCTCTCCTACTTGATTTGTGTGTCGGGGAAAAATTTTAGCAGGGCAGGGGGAGAAAACCTTTTTGTTCCATCATTGCCCATCAACCGAGAGTCATTTTGATTGGCTTAACTTTCTTTGTCAGCAAACAAAACGTCCAAAAGCATAGTAACGACTGAGTCATATGACTCCGGCTTTACCCATAATCCCCCCCCCCCTCAAACATGTTAGCAAGGGAAATATCTCTGCCTATTCGTGCCCACATATCTTGATTATTGTATTGGTTACCGGATAAAGGAAACAAACGAATTGATTCTTCTTTTCCGACGACCCGAATTATGTCTTTATACCATCATCATTGTGTGTCAATGATCGACTAGCTTGTCGTTAATAATTGACTGTGACACAACAGCTTATACAATAGCAACGTTGCTTTGATGAAATGGATAATTATACACCTGAGTATTTAGCGGATCACATTTCGGCATTTCAGGGAAGAGGTTTTACCAGTCGAAAGAAATTGTTTTCTTAAATTTGAAATTTCTTTTTATCACTGAAATGGTAATAAGGCAGACCTATTGAAAAGTAGTAAAGATCGTATTCAGAAGATGATATCGGGGGACGATACGGTAATAGCATGATTCTTGAGCCGGCTTTTGCCAGTGAAACAGATGTAAAAAATAGATCAATGGTTGTTCTAGAATATTATTTAAAGTAGCGCTTTTATCTTAATATCTATTGCATGCGCCCATTAAGCAAGGCAAAAATCAATTTAGGTGCCTAATAATGGTATGAACAATTATTGTGTCTCTTTATATTGTATGGTTTTAAAAGTCTGGATTCAACAGCATTAGATCATCCGCACATAAATTGCGCTTCATTATTAAATCGAGAGTTTAACTTGTCTGATATAAAATCAGGTTTATATATCATCACCGGACATTGCTATTTCGACAATAGCTGTCCTATTTCCGGCTGGCTATCAGGAAAGTTAGCCTCTTCATCCAGCTGTTTAGAGGTGAGCAATTCATGCGTTTATCAAAGTTTTTACGGCGAGGTTTAACATTTGACATTTTTTCAAGATTTAAATCATTTTGCACGAAAGAGGTGATACCTAAACCTGTTTTCGATTAAAAACAAACTTAATATCTTTATCACATATGTTTCTTCTAGCTGGATAATACTGAAAAGCAGGCTCTCTGATAAAGTTTTTCAAAACGAAGAAATCGTGTTACACACCGGGTGACTGCAGAAAAGCCTTACCAAAAATTGCCTACCCCATACCACTTTCTTAATTTTTTTCAAACAACTATGACAGCCATCACTAAACTGCAAAGTCGCCATTTTTTTTCTTTGCCGAATATCTTGAGTTCGAAAAAGCACTATTCTGAGAGAAAATTGTTAACGTAAAGGGCATAATGTAAAGATTCGTCAGCTTGCATCTAATACATTCTTGCTAGTTTTTCACAGAACCAACTCTATAATGTTGTCTCCAATGTCGACGATTACCAAAATTTTATACCCTTTTGTACAGACTCCAAAGTGTATACAAATAAGCAGTTAGATAACGGGGTCAATGTGATGACTGCAGAGCTCAGCGTCGGGTTCAAACTGTTCGAAGAGAAGTACATGTCCAAAGTCACTTGTAACAAACCTCATTCTGTTACTGTAAGTTGTTTTTTTTTGCCTTTCGAAAACTACTTTATTCAGAAAGTAAACTAATGCCGTTGCGCCATAGGCAGTTGCAGCTGATGCAAAGCTTTTCAACGATATGACAACAACTTGGAAATTCACCCCCAACGTTCCTCATGCCAAGTTAAATTCGCCAGAAGCTTCCGACCATCCCACTTGTTGGGTTGATTTTAGCATTGGTTTTGATTTTGCCTCGCCTCTTCATGCTCAAGCTTCAACCGTATTTTTTGATCAGGTATCAAAAATGATGCTGCAAGCTTTTGTTGATAGATGTCAAACAGTTTATAGAAAATAGAATTAGACAAAAAGTTTACGACTAAAATTATGTGTGCTTACGTAAGAAATATGCATCGCACTGGTCTTTAATCCTAATAAAAGTTATTAGTAGTGGGTTTAGTTAGTCCATATTTTTGCCGACACACGAATGCCACCAGAACACCGAAATCAATTATCGCGTTATCCACTTACCCAACATTAAAAAGTAAGAGTAATCACGCTCAAGGATACAATAAATTGACTTCCTTGTACTACGCTCCGTTAACTACTCGGGCTAGATCAATACGCTGGTAAAAAAGTGTTCGCCACGTTGTGGGCTTACTGAACTGTGGATGAAAGAGAAAGGGAAAATGCGGGAAGAGCGCTTTTTTTTTCTACATTGGACAAATTGTTGTGTCATAGTACAATTGCTGATTGTAAGTGTTCCTCTAGTCATACTTCCTGCATTTTGTAGATTTGACAGTTCCCCAATTTTGATAAAACTACTCGGAGTATAATCTTTACGTTTCCCACTTATCAAATAGCACGGGCAGCAATGTCTTGCATCTTGATTAAGATTCACAATAAATCACAGTGTCATTGGATCAAAGATACGGAATAAAATTAGATTGAAGCAACTTGTAAAAGGGCTTTATGTCTGCCACGCCATTTCCAAGCGACATCATTTGTATAACTTGAGTATCATGCTTCCAATGGTATTTTCTGGCGCGACATCAAATATGCCGGCTTTTTAAAAAATGGGATCCAAAAAATAAATAAAAAAATCACTTACTTTTTTTGGTATCGTCCATGGATAAACAATGTTTTTGACACCCCAAAGTCTCAGTCAGAGAAAAAAAAATGTCTTAAAAAGCACTCTAACGTTTAGTTTTACTTTTCCTTCTACTTTTTTTACACTAAAAAAATAATGTGTGGTATCTTTGCTGTCTGTAACTATCAAGGTAATGTTGATGCCTTCCGTCAACGAGCTCTTTACCTTTCAAAGAAGTAAGATTCCGTTTTTTTAAAAAAAAGCTTTTGACATTGACATCTTCATTTAGGGTTAGACATCGTGGTCCTGACTGGTCTGGTTGCCACGTTTCTAAGAACAATATCTTATGTCACGAGCGTTTAGCTATTGTTGGTGTTGGTAAAGTATACCAGAAAAAGGAGATTGTACTGTACATTTGTTTAACATATTGTGTAACAATAGACTCTGGTGCTCAGCCTCTTGTCAGTGAAGATGGTAATATTGTCCTTTGTGTCAATGGTGAGATATATAACCACAAGCACTTAAGAAACCAATTGAAGCAACCTCATCATTTCCAAACCCATTCTGATTGTGAAGTGATTATGCATATGGTAAATATACAAGGGGGTGCGGGGGCGTAAAGGACGCGTCAAAGAGTCTAAGTTGAAAGTAAATTAACAAAAATACAGTACAACGAGATGGGCACTGATCTTGTTCAACATTTGGATGGTATGTTTTCTTTTGTCTTGTTGGACGTGAAACGTAACCGTGTTTTTGCTGCTCGTGATGCTATTGGTATCACTACACTTTATTACGGTTGGGATAGTAAGATGCCTGGTACAATCTATTTTGCTTCTGAACTCAAATCCTTGAATGAAGAATGCGATAAAATTTTGGCTTTCCCTCCTGGCCACTTTTATGATTCAGAAACACATGAAACAACCCGTTGGTTTAAGCCTACTTGGTGGGATGAAAACAAGATCCCCAATAACCCTATTGACTACACCGAACTTCGTGAATCTCTTGAAAAGGCCGTCCGTAAGAGACTTATGGCTGAGGTACCTTATGGTGTATTACTGTCCGGCGGTCTTGATTCCTCTCTGATTGCTGCTATTGCTGCTCGAGAGACCGAAAAAATTGCTGAGGGCCAAGCCGAGGAAGATGACAACTTTGACGACAGTAAGTTACACAACACTATACATATACGAAAGAAAGAAGGCTAACATAATAAAAAGGTGGGCCTAAATCATGGCCTGGTGTCCATTCATTCTCTGTTGGTCTTCCTGGTGCACCAGATTTACTCGCAGCTAGAGAAGTTGCCAAATATCTCAACACAATTCATCACGAATACACATTCACTGTCCAGGAAGCGCTGGATGCAATTAATGATGTCATTTTCCACCTGGAAACGTATGATGTTACCACCATTCGTGCATCCACACCCATGTATCTCTTATCTCGCAAGATCAAGGCTATGGGCGTTAAAATGGTTTTATCAGGTGAGGGATCTGATGAGATTTTTGGTGGATACCTTTATTTCCATCAAGCACCCGACAAGGCATCATTCCACGCTGAATGTGTAAACCGTGTCAAGAATTTACACACTTCGGATTGTCTGCGTGCTAATAAATCTACCATGGCATGGGGTCTGGAAGCTCGTGTTCCTTTCCTCGATAAGGAATTTCTTGAGGTAGCTATGAACATTGATCCTGAAGAGAAGCGACCCAACAAATCTGCCGGTCGTATGGAAAAGTACATCATCAGAAAGGCTTTCGATACCTCCGATGATCCTACTGCTAAACCTTACTTGCCCCATAATATTCTATGGAGACAAAAGGAGCAATTTTCCGATGGTGTTGGTTATAATTGGATTGATAGTCTCAAGGCCGAAAGTGAAAGTAAGGTTTCGGATGAAGAATTGGCCAACGCTGGTCAGAGATGGACTAAAGATGTTCCCGATACAAAAGAAGCTTATATGTATCGTGTCATGTTTGACCAATGGTTCCCTCAACCTGCTTGTGCAGCTTCTGTGGTTAGATGGATTCCTCGTGCTGATTGGGGTTGTCCCTCCGATCCTTCTGGTCGTGCTCAAAAAGCTCACGAAGCTGCTTACGAAAATTAAAATTATTATTGCATCATAGAATTTTTTTTCTTTTTCTTTTTACATAAAAAGCATATTACATATTAATATTTATTAGATGATTTGTTTATGTGAGTGTGTGTATATATAAGTTTGAATGGTATGATTTACAAGAACAATAATAAAAATGGAGAGGGGAGAGGGGGGAATGTGTATGGATGGAATAAGCTACAAAAGATGTTAAAAAAGAAGGTAAATTTTCATTGGATGGAAAGGGAAGGGAGTCGAACACCAGTTTTTGTGGTTGCTAGCGACAATAGAGATCTCGCAACAATTTCATTTTCGTCATTATTTTTTGCACAAGCACAAGGATTAGTCATTGAAGTATCAATCTCGGATAATTTAGCAACAGTGTTTGATAATAATTGAGACAATCTTGTTACTTCCTTTTGAAGTTCCAAACGTTGAGACCGAAGAGCTTCTTGATGTTGATTGCAAGGCTGGTAATAAGATTGAATTGGTGGTAAAATCACAGGTTTATTTTGATTGTTCCAGCCCTGATGTTCTAATATCTCGCTACTACTTGTACTACTATTGCTTGTTGTGCTACAGTTACTATCATCAAAACTCAATTTGCGATTAGGAGGTGAGGTTGACGGCCATCTATTGGCTGATGGAGAAGGAGATTTAGTGACACGTTTTTTATCAATTGAGGAAGGGCATCTTTTTCGTCTTTTAATGACTGTACGCATCATTGTCGCAGGCCGATGTACGTGGTGAAGTTTATAGTATAATCCACATGCATTACAGATGGTTTTTCCCGCTGCATCTCTTCTCCAGAGTGGGGTGGTTGTTGCTTGACAATTTGAACAGATAATATTTTCGTCAGATGTTGTTTTAGTGGTGAAATCCAACATGACACTATCTTGAAAAATCTCCGTTGTATCGAGTAATTCCTTATTACCGCTGGAGCAATGATCACAGACAGGGCCTTTACCACTTTCGCGACCCCATACGTGAGGTCTGAAGGATGATTGACATTCAACACAGCGTGTTAAGGATCTTTTGCGAGTCTTGAAGTCTGTAAAGGTTGAATAGACCATAGTAAGAAGTGTGTGTGTGTGTGTGTGAGAGAGAGAGAGAGAGAGAGAGAGAGAGAGAGAGAAATTTTTTTGTGAAAGATAAGAACCAAAAGAAAAAAGAAAGAGCGAAATGCTTAATATAGGAGTAGATCAAATAATGTTGTGTTATTTTTGATAATCTCTACCAATTACATTATATCAAATGATCAAACTTTTCCCACACTTTCCCTGATTTCCAAATAAAAAACGTTCCTTTTTCTGTGTTACTGATTTTATTATTCCAGTAAAACGCTGTTTACTTATCATCTCTTATCTACCGTCGTATAAATTCGTAACTGAGTATTTGTTTGTTAATTTTTTTTTAGTGTCAATTATATATATATCAAAAATACCCTTTCCCTGTGGACTTATCTTTAATATCCAAATTAAGAAGTTATGCCCTATTTTTTTTTATATCTAATCGCACAAACAAAAAAGTTTTTTTTTTCTTTCTCTTTTATTACTCCTTGGAATTTATCTATCACTATCATATGCACATTAAATTATCAACATTGTTATCTATAGTGTAACCATTCATAACAAAAATTTTATCATTTATTACATTCAAAGCCCTGTCGGTTTTCTAAAAGCTATTAAATTCGCATGTGTGATTACACCGCGTCTACTATAAAAAAGATGATATCATTTGAGTCCCACAAATAACAAGGCCTGACAATCTGTCAGACTGATACTTGAGCACCTTAACAAAGGGGGTGCGCTCCGCCCGTAACTATTGCAATAAACTTTTTTTTTTTTTACAATTATCGTATGCATAGAAACGCTGCGGCTAGTTCTTTTTATTGTGATTTTACTATTAGCACTCTAAATTCGGACAAACGAAAATTATTTTCGGATAAACTTAAAAGAGTATTTAGACAAATAAAAATATATATTTTATACAGCAAGTATATTGGACAAGGTAAAAAAATAAATATCCATACAAGGGCAAATAAGTCTTGTATTTTCTGTCTAAAATAACATGTTTAACTGGAAACTAAACGGAGAACCCTGGTATTATTCAGTTTAACTTTTTCTCGTCTTAAAAGCCGGAACAAGAAATTTCAATGGCTCCTCTTGAATGTAGGTGCAAAATCCATTAGATTTCATGTTTTCGCACTTACGTAGTCGGATCCATCTAAACCTTATTATCACTGAAAGACCAGGGTACTCATGAGTCGTCATGAGTTTGAACTGGGTGGTTCAAATGAGCATATTTTAATAGGGCCATCGCATGAAACAGACCATCATTTAGTTTTGTGTTCACATCTTTATAATCTTTGGGGAAAATGTCCGAACACGACTAAACAGAAATCCCGTGGGGTGTACGCTGCATGTGAATCAATTTAAGATATTAGATCGCTCACTAGTCAATGTTTTATCAAGACATGTAACTAAACATGCTGTATCATTCATACATTTGAATGTTTTTTTCTTGGCGCGAAACCTGTTTTTATATGGCTGCATGCCCTTTTTTTTTTAGCTCACATGGCTGCCTAAATATTTTTTAGCTTACGATAGTCTCAACTCTCTGTATATTTATATATTTTATTGTTGAAAAGACTGAACATTTCGGCATGATTTGTTCAAATGATTAGCTTTTGGTTTTATAATTACATTGGTGTAAATCACTACCAAAAGCCCATGAAAATAGGTCTGTTTTTATTAGGATGATATAAAATTTCCCTTTCTATGTGCACCAAAATCACCCCTACTTTTCTATAAGAAAAAAAAAAGACTTAAAAAGGGAACTGTATGCTTGTTTGAACTGCAATATCTACTTTTTCCCATCGTTTCATTTCAATCTCGGACATTTTTTGTCTTGACGCATGCTCTATTTTTCTCCTTGTATCCAGCGCCTCCAACAGCTCTTGTGCATGGCTCGTTTTCACGACTGCCATCAAATCTCGAAATTCTTTCCGTAGATTGCCATCACTACCCGGCATATGTTGCACCTTTTCATCCATCAGCTCTTTAGACAGCTGCAAGTTCTCTGAGTGAAGTTCTCGGATCTCCTGTTCGAATCTTTTGCGCTCATGGTTAAAGTCTATGATGTTGCGGGTCAATCGGTCGTATTCTTTCAATATTCGCTCAAGCTCTGCCTCAGTGCTAGCAGACTGTAAAATATAACCCGATTCTCTTGTATTATAAAGTTTGAGAATCTGTTTGAAATCCTCTTTCAATTGATCCAACTCTTGCTGTTTAGATATGAGCGCATCGGATTCTGATACGTTCTCTACAAGGTGACCATTATTTTGATTCTCCTGAGACTGCTGCAGGGATTCTGTATTTTTTATCTTTTCAACCAAGTGCTGTACAACCAGTTCTAAATCCTCTTGTCTGGTCCCAATGACAGTATAGCATCGGCTTAATATTGACTTTTTTGTATTGCACCAATCAGTTTTTTCCTCTTTTAATTCGTGCAATTTTTGTATCAGGTCCGTTTCTTGCGGTCTGTTTCTTAATAAGGCTTCCTTTGTTTTCAAGGCCTTTTCCAGCTCTATCACGCGGTTCTGTAGTGCTTGCCTGGATGTAGTTTCCTGCACCAATTGTTCTTTTAAAGAGACTAACTCAGTTTCCTTTTTCTGTGTTTGCGAGATGCGCTGGCTTCGATTTTGTTCTAGCTCCAGAACAAGACTAGCACTACGCTCACGTTGCTTGATCAATTCGTCATGCGCCGGATCCAAGCGTGCGTCAAACACTATCTTGAACTGTCGTGCTAGTTTATCAATGATGGCATCGATATGTTGATGGATATCCAGTGGATTTTCTGACTGACGCCATGTGAAAGAATGATCTTCCTCAAGGAGAATTGATTTTAATCGTGCCAGGATCTTTGTCAGAAAATTCAAGTTGTTGTTTCCCATTGGATGATGGCACAATGTACCTGCCAGGTGCTCTAAATAAGACGTCTGTACATGGTTTGCATATTTACTCGTAAAATGAAATTCTCCAATTAATTGTTCCATCTGTACTGCATAATCACCCAATTGGCATAAATGCTGGTTTTGCGGTGCATCTAATTTTAGGCTCATGATGGTAGCTCTGGTCGTATCAATGTAGATACGAATTCTTTCATACATGGATTCTATCACTTTTTTCAATTGCTCCGATTTCTTTTTTTTTGTATTTATCATCGTTAGTGTGCAACTGCTTAATAAATATAGAAAGGGCCCTTACTCCAATTAATTTATCAGCATCTACAAAACTCATGGTTTTAAACCTGAGAGCTGCAGTTTGCGCGTAGGATACATCTAACTGCTGTATCATATCTTCAAAGTCGGTATTAGGTAAAGTATGCACCGTAGTAGAAGGGATGCTGTACTGATCCCATGCTCGTGGCTGTTCTTTTGGTAAGAACTTTTGTTTGATAGTCTGCAATGACTGTAACGGTTTCTTGTCTGTCGGTTGTTCTACTGTCGACCCACGATTGGAATCAACTAGAGTCGTGGTATCTGACAACTGGCTACAGTCGGACTTCTTTCTGGGGGATGTGCGAGCCCCTATGAATGACGATGGCGGTGGTGCCTTCAAGATGGGTTTTAAACGTGGAGGATCTGTCGTCATGGGTGATTTCTTAACTAATACTGGTGTGACAGAAAAGTTCTTCCGGAGAGATCTTGTACTGGATGGTGTCACTATGTTTATGTCATTCTGCAGAGTACCATCGTTAAACTCGCACCCTTTTTTTTTTATTGTTAGTGAATGAAAAGGCTTACTTTAAATCTATTGCTCATTATATATAACAATCAAATAGGAAAGGGAATAAAAAGGAAAAAGAAGCTTATTAAGGAGAGTGCCTAATTTTTTCGAGCTATGATTTATTGTTGTGTACCAAATATAGTCACATTATCAGAACTCCCGGATATCCGTTACAGTGATTTTACGTAAAAGTGCACGTACTTTATCATCACTTGCAACCACTGTGGTACATTGACCGTTCATGATGACCCGAGCATTCATATCAGGAGGTAATTCGATGGTAGTAATACCGTTAATATCTTTAGTGATTTGAATGGGTATAGAGTTCTAAACATATAAAGATTAATATCAATTAGTTGCTCTCCCCTTATTTGTGTACCTCTTCAAATCGTTTTATCGTCGAATTTAATTCTGTGTTGATCCTCAGCTCACTTTGTCGATCCAGCACAAGAGATTGATCATCTCGAACATAGGTCGTGGGTTGAATTTGTAAATGATTATTGTAATAATTTAAGGAACCATGGATAGGAGCCCAAGCTGACATGGAAACGCCATGGTTTGTTGTGATGGCAGGCACCATAGTAGGTTCGATAGATTTAGCCAACTTTAAGGAGTCAAACAAATAAATAACAAATTACAGCGAGGAGATTTCTTTCTTACCTTTTCGCTCACCGAGACTCTCTCCCAATCTCTATTCACGTTAATATTTAAAACCTCTCCCTGTTCATATATGTGGACTTGTTGCACTTGCTCCTCCTTGACAAAATCAGCACCTTTCGTACGAGGTATCAATAAATGCTTTTCGTTCTCCAGCTTATGGTCGTTCCAATAGGTATTTAGGAGGGATGGTAAATCTTGTAGCTTGAATCGTGTGTCCAGTGGCAATCGGATGAAATTCATTTTACATTTTGTGGGTATCTCATCAGGTGTGTCTGGTTCAATAAACACACAAGTATTTAACTCGGACTGTCCCCAATGGTTCAAGAACCATTTAAGCGACCCCACGGAGGGACAGCTCGGATCTCCCGTAAACACAATACAAGGTTCTCGAATTTTCTTTCCCGATAAAGACATGGCCTCTAACGACGGAATGGGTTGCACAGCGCCTGTACGCATCAAATTACCGTGTGCTAAAGGCATCTCGGGTACGTACAATAAGTCATGACGCCCCGAGTTCATCCACTCACCACAGATATTTGCATATTTCAAACTCTTGTCCGCAATTGGGTTCGCTACATAGATAGGAATCTGATGTCGCTCATGTCCAATTTCTTTACCAAGTGATTTAAAATAACTGTCTATATCTCCAATTAGATCAAACATTAGACCCATCGAGGCTGATACCAGTATGATATTATGTTGAGAATGTATAGTACGCGCTATAAAATGGGGGTTTATTTTAGTAAACCGATACTTTTTCTATTTCTTTTTTTATATATGTATGCATTACCTATTTGAACAAGTAACTTGGTCCGTGCTCGTTCAAATGATAATTCTTTTTCAATTTGTTCACTAAGACCTCCTACTACAATAACATCTGCTTGTCTCAATACATCATGGTCAAATGGGGCCGGATGTAGATTTGTGTAGAGAGAGGAAGGGGATAAGAATGCAATCTTTTTAAAGCTGGTTTCCAAAACCCAATTCGAGCTACCCAAGCAGTAACCCGAGCTGTAAGCAATGATATCCAATGTTGAAAATAAGGATAGTTTTTCGGTATATCGCACAGGCTGGACTTTCTCGATACAGGAAGCGATATCCTTTAGGGTGTACATGGAGCGCCAGCCCTCGGATGCATTTCCTTGTGCTAGCTGAGAGAAATGCGTGGAAGAGGTTGGGTCAATGTTGGATGCACTTTGACCATGGTATGATACCAGTTCTTCCATGCGCTGTCTTTTTGTTTTCTTATTAATCAAATTCCATGCAATATTAACACAAAAAATGAGCTTACTTTGCATATTCAACGGTGGGTTCTGTAGCAATGATCCTTCCCTTGTATCCCATATATTCTGTTAGATAAGGTAATCCCAGCATCAAATTATAATTGGATATTAAGACCAAATCAATGCTGTTGATATCAATCAGGCTAAAATCGGGTATCCTAAAGGCAGTCGGATGATCACAGTTCTGTATGCTTGTTGTTAGAGAAGAATGTTGTGTGTCTAATGTTCGTTTGCCTTGCTCCGAGAATGCGGATAATATGGAGGCGAGATCATGAGCGTCATCTCTTTCGTGTTCCTCGTCTCGAGGTTGTTCTGACACTGTCAAGGTGTCCAGAGGACAGTTTATCAAGATGGTGTGTTGGTTTATTTTACATATAAATGTGTTTGAAGTGGAACCCTTATTGTCGATGCATTGAATCTTCATTTCTTATAATTAATAAAAGGGTAGAAGGTACGAGTTTCGCATTAATGTCGTGGCTTGTAAAAGCCATTAGCAGTCACCAGTCGTTTTTTTTTTCTGTCATGGCCTTTCTGAAGTATTCAAATATTTTTTTTATTTTTTTCCCTCTATCGTTATATAAATCTAATTAAAAATGTATTTGATGTATTATTTGGACCCCAAGGGTGAGCGTATCTATACACTCAAGGTAAGAACACGGAGCATGTTTAGGCGGAAGAATAAGCAACTAACATGCGGTTTTTTTTTCTTTGAGTAGAAGACCGATCCTAAGGGTTTGCCCACCAAGTCAGCTCATCCTGCACGTTTCTCCCCCGATGATAAATTCTCTCGCCAACGTGTTACCATCAAGAAGAGATACAACATTTTGCTTACTCAACTTCCCGCTCGTCCTTATTAAATAGTCTTTTTTTTTCATATTTTCCCTCAACAATATTTACAAACAGCATGTCATTTTGGGGGACTAGGAAAAAAGGGAGGGAAAAGGGAGGATTATATACATTTCTTTTAATCCAAATCTTGTAACATAACACATTTAAAAAATAAAAAACATCTTGTTTCCTACAACACCATTTCGCTTAATGATCCTTGACATGTGTGACTAAGTTTTTTTTTTTTTCTGTCCTTCCATAAAAACTTTTCTGACGTTTTATTTATTTTTTTCTTTCCACTCTTTTAACTTGACAGCAACATGGCTAACTCCAAATATGAATATGTTCGTCATTTCGAATTAGCCGATAACCTTTTGCCTGGTACTTGGCTCGTTGTTCGTATCGACGGTCGTGGTTTTCATAGGTATATTTTCCCCGAGGATATTTTTTAAACTCTATTTTATTTTAACCCCCTTTTTTTACAGATTCTCTCAAAGTCATAATTTCCAAAAACCTAATGACAAGAGATCGATCGATCTGATGAATCGCTGTGCGATTGAGGTCATGAAGGACATCAAAGATATTATCATGGCCTATGGAGAGAGTGACGAATACAGGTATTATTGTGTATCGCAGAAAAAATAAAGGTGGACTAAACAAAAATACAGTTTTATTATCCCAAAGAGTTCGAACCTCTATTCTCGTAGATCGAGGTATGCATGATTATGTAATACAGGCACAATTACATACAAAAACTAATTCTTTTTTTCTACAGCAAAATCTCTTCCACCATTGTCAGTTTATTTGCTTCGAATTTTGTCATGAACTGGGCTGAATATTTTGGAGACGACAAACTTTTATACGCTCCTTGTTTCGACTCACGTACAGTGTGTTATCCCAATGATAAAGTGTTACGAGACTATTTGAGCTGGAGACAAGCAGACTGTCACATCAATAACCTGTTCAACACAACCTTTTGGGCTCTTGTTTTAAAGGGTGGCATGACGGAAATCGAAGCCGAGAAATACTTGAAGGGCACATTATCCAAGGATAAAAACGAAATTTTGTTTTCTAAATACGATATCAATTACACCAAGATTGATCCCATCTATCGTAAAGGTTCCACCATTATTCGACAAAAGACAGAGGTCACCACCATTTCGCCACGTAACGGCGAACCCGTTACACGCATTAAACTTATACCTACCGCTGTTTATGACGATATTATTGGTCAAACCTTTTGGGATGCTCATCCGGAATTGTTGGAGGAAAAAAAAAGAAACAATAATCATGCATAAAAACTATCGCTTCTTTTTCTTCCTTTCTTTTTCTATTCTTATTTATAAAAAAAAAATGAATGATTTACACTATTTTGAGTACTATTCACAGTTACAACACCAAGTAAATACTAGATAAATAAAAACAAATACGCCTTTATTAAATCATTGATAGCAAAACATGTTGCAGGACACTAAACGTACAATTACCTATCGCAACGCCATCATGTCCAACCCATCCCGGTTTGAAAACAAACTCGTATTAGACGTTGGTGCCGGATCAGGTATCTTATCATTTTTCGCAGTCCAAGCCGGTGCTACCCATGTGTACGCTGTTGAAGCATCCACCATGGCTCATCAAATGCAAACGCTTATCCAACACAACCCTTCTTTCCAAGATAAAATTACTATCATTCATGGTAATTAGTAAAATCAGGACAACGTTTTTTATTTTATAAACTTTGAATTGAATCTATTTAGCAAAAATCGAACAATCCGACCTGCAAATACCTATGGTAGACACCATCTTATCCGAGCCTATTGGTGTCTTTTTATTTCATGAAAGAATGGTACGTTTCTCTTTTAATTCTTTTGTTGTATATTTTTAATTAATTAGAATTCTCCCTGATTCCAAAAGCTTGAAAGTTATATTTATGCAAGAGATCATTATTTAAAGCCAGGAGGCACGTTATTCCCTTCCGCCGGTAGAATTCATTTATCTCCATTTACCGACAGCAAATTATGGAAAGAAACAAGCGCTAATGCCGATTTCTGGAAACAGGATTCATTTCTTGGTATCAACTTATCTGCATTACATACTGACGCTTGTCATGAACTTTTCAGTTAGTCATTATTACATATGTATATCATAAATCACTAAATCGAGTTTGTAGATATGCCTGTCGTAGGCCAGTTTGATCATCGTAGTATCCTGACCAATGACAAAAACACACACGACATTGATTTCAATACCATCACACTCGATGCTCTTCAAGATATGACGATCCCAATTCGCTGGAAATCTTCTAGGACAGGTATGATGCATGGGATCGCCGGTTGGTTTGACATTGTATTTGCTCCAACAGGTGGAATTCCAATCTCACTCTCCACTAGTCCAGATACGGAACAAACGCACTGGTATCAAACCCGATTTTTATGGCTTGATCCTTTACCAATTAAAGCACACCAGGTTATAGAGGGATCAATGCGATGTCAAGCGAACGATGCACGCAGTTACACCATCACAGTCGACGTGACAGTAGGCGAAATACAACGAAACGGCATATGGCAATTACAAGACCAAACATTTACTCAATAACAAAAATAAAAAATCAATTTAATAACGAAAAAGTTTTCAATAAGATGTTTTCTCGAATATGAATAGGTTCACCTAATGGTATTTCCGGTCCATGGGTGATCCAGAATTTATAGGATTTGGTTTGTGAGAGTTGAGCATGGAAAACGATGGGATAAGTATAGTCGCTGTAACCATTTTCTAACGCAAATGTCTGAATATGGTCAAATCGTTTATTTTCAAACGTCCATAATGCAATATCATTCTCATCCGATTCATACAGCCCTAAAAAAAGAAAGAAAGAAAGAAACATTGTAAATTCAATAGTCCCTCCCTCACACTTACTAACTTGTGTTGTTCTTACCAATTTCAATCTTACATTTCGTAACTTGTGATAGATAAATGTACTGCTCAACCTCATTATTCGGAAATGTCGAGACCTTTGTATTTTTTAAAATAATCGGAAAGTATTCTCCATCCCCTGATATCCGCCTTTCGTCTCCCTCTTGAAAATACACAATGGTATCATGGTTTGGTACTATATCCACTATTTGCACACACAGCGCATACGTGCGATCTGTCACACGCTCAAACAGCCTATTACGCGGATCTAAGCTATATGCAATAGCTCCTTGCAACACAGCATTGGCAATTGAGCACGATCCCTTCATTGCTTCATCCTTTATCATCACCTTGGCTATTTGCGTATTTCTCGTCATGCGTTGCAATACTAGATTATCCAGCGGATGAAATTTGATCTCCTTTAATTTGCTAATCAACATATTCTCAATGTATACATAACTAGCTTGATCGCGACACACCAGAAATTCACCCAGCAAGAAAATATCGCTAAGTTGGATACCACGGAATAAATGTTGGCTTTGTGTGCTGGCTTGGATAATCGAGACAAGCTCGTTTAAAGCGGGGCTAATGCCAAAATCGGATAGATCCATATTACTTAGTGCCACTTGACAGCAATCGTGTGTTCCATTACATATATAGATAATATGCGTCTTTTCACTATCATGAATTGCTAAGTATGTCTAAAAAAAGAAAAGACACAAAGGTCAAAAACCAAAACCAGAAAATAATATAAAAGGGGGAGTGAAGAAGGGGGGTTTACCAACTTTTGACAGGTAGCTTTGAAGTTTACGTTTAAATATATGTCGGTTATTTAACCGAAAAAGCTTTTCAAAGTGTTGATGACGATAACAACGGGTTATAAGCTTTGGGTACACTTGTAAATGGGTCCATAAATGATTACAGATCTGATCCATGACATCCATAGCCACAATTTTTGTTTTCGCTTGCTTATACATGCCTACCCATTCCTCTTCCGACGACAATGGACTATCTTTATCTTGTGTTGCAGGCACATGGTGTAACATCAAGGCACATTGTTTGGAGTCCATCTGAACCTGCAAAAAGTAAATCTGATTCCGTTTGTTGTTTAAGGTTCGCTTATGAATCAAGGTTCGGCAATGAATCGCACACGCTTCCACACGATTTAAACTCAACAACTTGTACCGATATTGCGATACGTCTGTTATACGACGGACGATAGTCATGAATTCTTGATCCGAGATGTCGAGTGCTAGATCACGTGTAATACAATATCGATACCGAGATACATCATGATACCCAGTGCGTTTTGAAACATCTTTACATACAAAATGACGCACATAATCTAAATACAACAAGGAAAACTCTTGTGCACTGATCGGTTCCTTTTGTACAATGTACTCAAAGGATTCGATATATCGCTCACTAGACCGTCTGTTCCAAAATATGTCAACCTCGTCTAATACTTCTTCTTCAGCCTCTTCACAGTCAGATACAATGAGATGTTGAGGCTCAAAGTATTCTTCTGGTAAACTATCCTCCTCCTCTTCTTCTTCTTCTTCCTCTTCTTCTTCCTCCTCCTCCTCTTCTTCGTCCTCCTCCTCCTCCTCGTTATCAGACTCGCTGTATTCAGGTTCTATATAAGCCTCCAGCTCGGCCGGATCTACCTCCTCTTCCTGTACTTTCTCCTCATAGCCCCTCTCTAATTCCATATCTTCATCCGTTTCAGATCCACTAGATACCATATTTTGCACCGGATCCTCTACAATATGTGCTATATCCAGTGACTCTACTTGCTCCTCGTTTGTGTCCACAATGTCCGCATTATACCTTCTTGTATGTGATACAAGTGTGATCCCATACTCATCTCGTTCAAATGTATAATATTTCTCATACCCCATCTCATCCAAATTCACTCCTTTTTCTTTCAAACTTAGGATTTTCTTTCCGTTGCTTCTTGTTAAGAAAAAAATAGAGTTAGCCAATTATCAATCAGTCTCGTTTTTTTGTTACTTACTTGGGTATAAGCACAGTATTAAATGTAGGGAAATTAAAATCGTACAAGTGATCTTGGCCTGGCCATTCAGTGATATGAAACATGTGTTGAGCCGTGGCAAATGAACATCGGGTACTTTCCAGGCCATAATCTAAGAAGACTATTGTTAGAACAATTACACATTTACAGAAATAAGAACACAGACAATACCGAGATAGATAATGACATTAGCGAATTCGGGTTCCTTCACTCCGTCATATTCAATTTTAGGCACGGGGTCTTGTGCAGCCGAGGTATCCATGCTTTTAAAGATGGCGCCACATACCACCTCAAAGCTCCTATAACGATCTTGGTCTACGCTACTGGTGTCCTCTTCAGACGGTATGATCAGCATCAGTTTTTTTTCTGCACATGCCTTCTTGATCAAATTTAGCATGAAAACTGAGTGCCGAAAGCCACCTACTAAAATCATGGCCTTCACCTTGTGGAAATAGAGGTGAATGACGTTTCGGATGTAGGACATAATTTTTTCTGCTACAGGATAGTATACTTCGTCAATCAACTCTTGTGTCTGAATCGCTAATTTATCACTGCCACGGTCCTTTTGGACGTCAAAGATACGCGGGAATGAGAATTTACGTTGTAGTTCGTCAGGTCGAAATGATTTGGTTTGTAAGCGAAATGGGATTGGAATATATCGTGTCTCGGATGATTCACCCGAAAAGCCCTTTTAATAGACATGACAGCATTAAATTGAGAGGGATAGAAGACAGAAAAAGAAACACACTTACCACAATCATCCTTTGAAAGGTTGGTTCCACAGTTAACTTTGCAAATTCTTTTCTTCTATCAATAAATTTGTCTTCAAAGAATTGTATCTCAAAGTCATGATTGGGATATAACTTCTTGACGGCCAGCAATTCGAGATTTTCCACAATATTTTTTCCGCCCTGGACAAATGTACTGGGAATCTCGTTGGTGGGCCAAGGCATGCGACGTTGACCTAAGACACCGTCATGGATAGGCTCCTTCATGGTATAATGTCCCATCTTTACTTTTGTCCCACCCACATCACACACCAAGTACTCATGTCCCTGTTTTAGCTGAGCCCTCTTTGAGTGATGCTTGCTTTGCTCTTGTACAAACCGTAGTACGGCTTCTGTCTCGTCATACATGATCAAACGCTGTGGATGATCACCTGCACTGACGATTCCCGCTTCCACCGCCAGCGACTTTAGATAACTCACTTGTGCCTTGGACCAATGCGATGGATGAGTCATGACATATCTGTTCTTGGATCCATCACAGCTCTTTCGGTACTTATCGTTAATAAACGAGTTGATAAAACTGTGTACCTTGCTCAAATGGTCTGTCACGGCTCGTTTAAAGAATCGATCAAGCGCATTCTCCAGTGGTTCGGGCTGAAGGTGGAAAAGATGGTCGACTTTGTCCAGCAAGTTATCGACATAGACTGTACCGAGATTCATACGTCGTGCATATTCAGCTCCATTGCCCCATTCTTTTAAAACTGCATTGTCATAATCTTCATCCTCCACCGTGTATAAACAGGCAGAAGGTTGGTTACTAGAATGTCAATGAGTGAAAGGTATAATACTATGTGTGGGTGTCTCTATTTTTACCTACAGGTACTTGTATAGTCAAGTTCGAGCTTTTCGTTTCGGATATCGTAATATGCAAATTTTGTCAAGGAAGAACCAAAATCTAATAGGACACTTTAAAAGACAGTTCTTTTCAATTTCTTATTGTTCTTATATACCTATACTAATAAGTCGATCATAATCAAAATAATGAAACTTTTCCTTGGGCATTTTTTCTCTCTTCTTTTCAGTATGAGAAGAATAAAAAGAAAGAAAAAAAGGTATGAAAAAAACATTTATTTATAAGACTATTTACTTTGTGTTCCTTGGGCAAAAAAAAAGATAAAAAAAAAAACTAAGCCAAGGTCATCTGAGAGACAACCCTTTATTATATGCGTGTGTAACTCTGTTTATTGACATGAATTACCCCACGAGCCCTTTTCATACGGATAGTTCGCTTCATTTAACATGGCACTATACTGGTCTTGCGGTAAATAATTCATCTCTGAATTATTCACCTTGGTTGAATCCAATACCATCTGTCCAAATAACGTCGAATCATACAAGTAAGCACAACTATTAAAGTCAACTTCTTCGGGTCTATCTTGTCCATAAGGTAACATTGGCATCTGCATGGGCATTGTATTATCCATATACCCATATCGCACTTGCTGCTGTTGCTGCTGTTGCTGTTGTTGCTGTTGTTGATGATGATGTTGTTGTTGTTGTTGCTGTTGTTGTTGATGCTGATGTTGTTGCTGTTGTCGTTGTGATGTCTCTACACCCGCTGCTGGTGCCACAGAGGACGAAATTGGCCCCATAGATCGTACTTCGTCACCACTTTGGGCTTGTATCGGAAATCCCTTCTTATCAAACCCATACTCATGCCGTTGCTGTTGCTCCTGAACATCGTATAATCGACTATGTGCCGCTAACATATCCCGTGTTGTTGACGCTAATCTCTCGCTCATTGGCCAATAAGGACGCAATAGCTGAATTTAAAAAGTGTGAAAAATAAAAAAAGCGTCAACGATGCATCACAATAAAAAGAAATGACAAGTGTTACCTCAATCATGTCATATAAAATTGCAAGGCTAGCACTACTCTTGCGGTACGACACCGGGTCAGACGAAAAAGCTGAGGTCATCAGCACAGTTGAAAAGATATAGGCACAATAGCACATGTAAGGCAGGACATTGACACCACAAACATCATGTAGCGCTTGAAACACTTCGGTGGCAATATTCACATTGACTTTACACACATGAATACTAGCTTGGATACGATCATAGACATCGGGAGGTAAATCTGATGCTGTCAAATCGCTATACGCCAGACTACCACGATGCAAAGCCAACATGCCTGTACAATACATGGCATGTGAACACAGCCAGAAATTGAGATAATTCTGACTGGCATTTTCCTTGTATAACTTGAGATGTGCTTGTGAAAACTGATATACTTCTGGTAAAGACTCTAACCAGTGCTTCATACGGGCATCGAGCACAACAGATTCAGCAATAGGAGGCCATGTCACGGCCGATGTGTTTGTTTTAGCCCGACTCATGTACTTACAAACCTCACCAAACCTTTCGAGAACATCAATATATCTTGGAACGACGTCCATGAGAGGGTCATTGGCAATGGTATGTTTATCTATGGTAAGGGCATGCAAAGGGTCTCGGAGTAGACTACTTTCACTCAGGCTAGGATATGCTACATCATAATCACCAATTTCAAATCCTTGCGGTCGATTTGTACTCGTACTGGCAAATTTATCAATACATAAGCAACTCCAAAAGATACGTCGACGAAGAGCCATCGCCACATAATCTATTGTGCCTGATTTGGTTAAGATCGGTGTCTTTAACGTCTCTTCCTTATCTAGACCTAATTCTTGGCAGATACGGACTGCAATACCACCATAAATCCAGGCTCTATAGTCATGCAGAATAGAGGTCAACGTCAAATAATATATTTTTTTAAGGCTTTGTTTTACTTTGATCCGGATGCTCTGCCATATTCTAAGCAAGACATAATACCCCAGAACTGTAGATTGGGAATAGTGGGTTCTAATAAAGAAGCATTGATGAGTGAAGTGGCTTTTGTTGCAAATCGTTCGCCTGCCCAATAGGGAGGGTCTGTTATGATTTGAGGATGATTTGAAAATCTATTGTATTTATTAGTCATTTTTTTAAAAAAAAATTAATCATTCGACTAGTTTACCTGGCAGCAATAGCCATAACACCCCAGATCAAAGGTTTTGACACGTTGCCGTCTAGTATCGATTGCTTTAGTCTGGCCCGATGCACAAATGGGAATACCGAGTTAATGTGTTGAAAGAATAAATCAATTAAGTGAGTCACGATTTCTTGAGGCGGAAAATCATCCACAACCACATGGTGCTCTACATACATAAAATAAAACTATCAATGCCTTTATCTCTTGGGTTCATAGGCATACATGGATATATTTACGCTTGGGTGGAGAATAGGGTGAAAGAGGCGAAATGGGGGGTGGAACTTCAGCTCCAGTACTTGCCAATCTTTTTTCTAACTGAGCAAGACGTTCCTCTAATAGTCGCACATAACCCTTGTGTGGTCCACGTTTTTTATATTCGGTATATTGACACTTCAAATTGGCGTCCAGGCAATGAACACATTCAGGTTTGGCGCCGTCGCATTTGATCTATTTTTACACACAGACATTTAATGACTTTCTTTTTTTATATAGTTATTAAAGAAAGTAACCTTCTTCTTTCGACATAATATACAAGCTTGTGTGATTCTTCTTTTGATACCTCCTTTGCTTTCGGAATCTTTTTGCATTTTTATTTTATTTGATATGAGAGTGAAAAGAGAGAAAATCAACAACTGAAAAAAAAAAAAAAGAAACTCCCCCAAACTGTGTGTGCCGTGTATTTTCTTTTACTACCCTTTTATACTCCGGTTAGATTTGCGAAGTTTCAAAAAGACAAAAAACCACGTTTTTTGATCGTTGCCAATTCGTAGAATCACATTTACTACCGATGACAAAGACAGGGCCAGCTGAATTACGCCCAGATGTTGTACAAGGACCTAATATAGGGACTTTGAATATCCTCTCGCTTTGTAAGCGCATCTAAGTATAAGACTTAGAAGTAAACCATGCATGTCATAAAGTCTGCATACTATACACAACATATGAGAACCTTGGAGTAACTTCAGTATAACATCTTTTTGAATACCACATCAGATATGATAACTGCAATCTGAAAGATCATAGCCCGAGAACAGGTTTAGACCGATGGTTTGAATCTTCCACTCTGCTCCAACTTATCGAAATATTTAGAAATTGCAACATGTGTCATTTAAACATTTTGTAAACACTCACGTAATGAATGTTAGAACAGACCTTTGTTTTATTCATCTTTTTTATAAACCCAACAATAGAGGGGGAGAGCCGCTAGTAATCGGACACAAAATCATTGGATCAAATTAGCCCCACAAATTACTATCTAACCCTATTCATCCATCTATCCCTTTTTTATAAATATATGCTTAAAACTATGTATATGCTGGCTAATGTCTTTTGCTTCCCTATAACACAACATATGTGTACATTATAACAAATAGCTGGCCTGGTCAAGCTCAAGGCTTCCCATTAACCTCTTACCATTCATTTAGCAACACTCCCTTTTTTTTTACTTATTTCCATTACCCACGGAGAGACAAAACTACCTTCAATGTAGAAGGGATTTGCAATAAACAGCTGAGTTTTCACGAACTAAAGTTTGGCCAAATTCCATTACCATATTGTTAAATTGTGAAGTCCCCGAACTTTCACAAGAAGAATAATAGAGGTCGAGTATATCATGCAAAAATTACTATCGAGTTCTTTATTTGCTTTAGTTTAAACTGTTGTAAAATAACTTGTATGACCAAGTGCATGATTTCATTGCTGGCTTTAAATATTACTTTTTTTCTGCATGTCCAGCAGCAAGATGAAGTTATACTGTCCACTTTTTTGTTGAGTAGAATGACCCAGGTAACATGTCTAGATAATGAGTTGAAGGTAGAAATTTACTATATGAAGTCTCTGGATCAACCGGGAGCTTTGATGTCGCTAAGCTGGCGTATATCACCGCATTTCTAAATCTTTTTAATATCTCAAACTTTAAATTTACCGTGGCAGAGTTGTCAAGAATTGATAGTAACAACAGGGCTGCCTTCTAATCCGAAGCGAAGAAGTTGCTCTTAAAAAAGGGTTACTCAACTCATCTACAATGAAACAGATTAGAAGGCAACTACCATAATGAATTGGCAACAAATTAGAATCACCCGTTTTGAGCCAAAGCGTATAAAATTACTTCATCATAATACAGATTAAAATTCTGCATTTCCAACCACCATGTTGGAAGTGGGTGTTTGTTGTTGATGTGTACCTGATATAAAAAATAAAAACAAGGTAAAATTTAAGACTTATTTAAGGGGATGCCTAAATGTGCATAAATCAATCGATCATTGTTGACTTTAAATAATAAAGACAAAGCCTCTTTCATAAAAAAAAAAAAAAAAAAAAAAAAAAAAAATCGGGTTTCTTGGGGACAGCCGGGTGCGCGTAGTCGTAATGTTGAGATTATGATATTTTAATAGACACCAAGAGGTCAATATAACTTGATAATTATAACTAGCTACAAATTTATCACAACCAACATAGTCCAAACTAGTATATGTGTGTTATAACTTACTTTCGGCTACTTGTTTGGACTTTACCCTAATATCTTTGCGTAAGATTATGATCAAACGAGCTTAAAGGCGAGGGTGTGATGGTAGACCTTTCAAACCAAGTACAAATCATTCAATATACATGTATTCGTAATTATTATATTGTTTTTGATAATATATTCTTGTTTCCAAGTCTAAGGGATAGCCAAATCACAGATCTTACGTTGTGACTACGTGCACTCCGACTGTCCCTTAGAGATGCGTAAATCAATTCACGTTTGACTTCATCTTTTTCTCTTTTTTCTTCATATTCTACATTGATTACATCTACAAAAGCGCCCAATATACCTTAAAAAGAAACTATAATCGCGTACATTGAGGAGAATTATATCGCTTTCGATGCACTTGAATATCGTCGAGGCTTATTATATACAACGTCTTTCACAACATGGTCAAAGATTTTAAGAATGCAGTGAAAGAATTTGGTGATAAGGAGCTGTGGTCAAGCAATACAGATAAACAACTGATAAATTAATCAAGAGCTCGTGAGAAGTCTAAAATAGACGTAAACGGGATAACTTGGCTTGTTTCTTGAAAGCCACGAGTTTATTATTGTCTCAGTAGAGATTTATGCCCATTTTTACTTTGTCGGCAGACAAAAAACTCTTATATCTAAGTTCAGTATGGATAGGAAATTGTGATTAAAAAGCTCGAAGACGGTCAAGAAGAAGAAGAGCAAACATTAACGGTAACTGAGAAGAATCATAAATCAGAAGTAGATGATATTGTCGCAGAGTCTTTTTAACAAAATCCAATAGTCGAAAATATCAACAGAAACTTACTTCGAGATTCGAGGTTGAATTTTGAGCGAAATCTCATTTTAGAGAAAGACAAGCGTCATAACCAGTCAGAGTTCCAAAATATATCTGCAGAATAGTCCACATCAAAGCTTTGTTGTTTAAAGCTCCCGTCTAATTTCTTTAAAATACGTTTTGTTGAAGCTGTTGAGATAATATCTCAGATCAATTGGCATTTTTGTCCTGTCACCTTCCTCTTAACTTCTTTGATCTCTTCCACTGTAAAAAGAAATATAAATAAAGATGAAACTTTTAAATTTTTTTATTTGATGAGTTTTTTTTTCTTTTTTTTACTTTGATGCAAAGAAATATTTGCTGTTCATGACGGAATTCAAATTTACTCGCGTATTTTCATCCTTCAATAGGTGGGCTGTCTCAGTTTATCAAAGTACAACCATAAATAAGAGCCAAGATCGGATGAAGGAGAGCTGGTACCTGACTGATATGTTCGGGTATCTTTAAGCGAGGAGAGGAAAACAAAATGTCAACAGGACATTTGGTGGCTTTTATCAATTGGGCTGCGAAAAAAGAGGCTGATAGTGAGCTCATAACAATATAGCACTCAAGCGTAAAATCCGCTTGTTATCGTTCTTTCTATAAAGGCTGCTGATTAAATGGCTGCTAACTGTCCGAGATGTAGATGTATAAAATATTATAAACATAAGTGGTATAATTTATCAACAGTTATATGATAATACCTTGAGATTCATTTCATCACGCCATATGTACATTTAAAGAGTTCATGCTTGGTTGCTTTTACGTCAGGCCCACCGCCCATTATTTCCACAAGCTGAGAATAGTTGCGGTGTGTAAGCTAAGCTTACAGCGCTTTCTGGGACTACTGCTGAGGACCTCATAGTCTGAATCAAGCTGTTTTAACAGCACAGCATCTGAAAGAATAACAATCCTCAGATCCACTAGAAGCCTTAAATAACTCCCACTACGGATGGTCTTAAAGTTTTGGTTTTCCATTATTATTTCTTGCTATTCTACAACCAAAGGACTAGGTAAGCAAAAGAATGACAACCATTTAAGCAAAACGCTGAAATAACAATAGATACCAGCCCAAAAGTTTGCTCGATATGAGGGTGTCTTTATCTTTAATACACGCTTAACATAAAAACCGATACATTCTCTATTCACAATAATAAATTAAGACCTAAAATCATAGGATTGATTAAATTGTAAAAATTGCGGAATGGCTCCATAAAAGATGGTTATTGCAACATACTTGATGTTATATCGACCAACCCTCCTTTTTTTTAACACAATAACTAATGTACCACAAATAAAGTGGCATAAAGGTCTCTAGAGAGAAAACATATCACTCTGATCAGTTTATCTTTAAGCTAAACTATCTTCAAAATTTTCTGATTCTATCGTCCCACAAAATTAACTCCGTCGATTCAAGAAAAAAAAAAAAGGGCCAATGTGTGTAACCTAGTTTTGCATGATTTGTAATCTTATTTATTGAAAAAGCCTTGTTTGTTACCAGTCCTTTAAAGAAGACTGAACCTTGTTTAAAAACATATCATCCAAGTCTAAATTATTTTCTGACTTGAGTTGCCTTTGTATCCATGGCATACGCGATGCTAAACTTTTAATCATTTTCTGTAATTTCGTTTCGGATGCATCTTGACGCCAATGCTCGCCAAAAACAACCTTTTCCCTTGAATCCTTGTACGTCGATAATAAATCAAACTGCATAAAAATAAGATGTATCAACGATTAATTGTTTAAAAAGAAAGAATACCGACGAAAGTGTATTTTCTTACCAATCTTTCTATCTCGACTGGATCCAACGCATCATTTTCCTTCAATTCATAAATTAGTTTTTTAGGCACCGGACGATCTGTATTTGTATTTGACACATGAAACCAATTGATGACACTGGCAGAACCAGGCAAAGCCGGATCATACGGGCCAACAATAGCACCGACAAAGGGTTCAGATGAAGGGAGATGTGGCATACTTTCATGATGATCTTCACGACAGAGTAACTGATAATTCCGTTGATTCTCAATATCCACTAAACTAGGATCGGGTATAAAGGTAGGATGTGAATGGTACCAACCCACCACTTGCAAATGACGCTCTTCAATTAACCCTCTTGTTTCGATAGCACTGGTAGGATCCATCTCTACATTGACATCGTTCTGTCCGGTCTCGATGGATCGACAAGGGAACGCTTCACGTATACTCATACGCATGGTTTCTTTATCCCATTTACCAGCTAAAAATCCGATAACCTCGGTTGTCATCAAATGCGCGTGAAAATCCATGGCTAATAAAACGTTGGAATCTACACTAATTTCAAATGGTTGACATCCGTTTACGTTGGATCCAGGTTTGCCCATGAAAGGCTCACATTTAATCATCGTCAACGGGTCATCATTGTTGCTGATCTGACCATAGTTGACAGAGCTTGGGTCGCGTTGTTTTCTTAAACGAGATGTGGAATAATTTGTTCTTCCTCTACTATCATAAGAATCGCTCGTACTACAGTCAAAATTTGCATTAGATAAAAAAGAGTGAACAATAATAAAAAAAGACAACTTTACGAGGATGAGTTGCTAGGTGATGGTGTAGCAGATTTGGCGCTGCTGGATTCTGTAATCAGCGTCTTTTTACGATCGTCCCCAATCACGAGTTCCTTTGCCTGACGCTCAACAGCCTTCGTATCAACATCCATGTATGTCTCTTGTACATTTGTAGGTGTCTCTTGTACATTTTTAGGTGTCTCTTGTACATTTTTAGGTGTCTCTTGTACATTTTTAGGTGTCTCTTGTACATTTGTGGGTGTCTTTTGTTCTTGTAAGGGCGTTTCTTGTACTTGCACGGGTGTATTTTGTACTGACACAGGTGTCTCTTGTACTTGTACAGAGCTATGCTCAACTTGCATAGATGTATGTTCCACTTGCACAGGCGCTTGTTCCGCTTGCATGACCGTCTTTTCTCCATCCACTGCAGCCTTATCAACTTCCATGGGTGAAATTTCATCTGTCTTTTCCATAGGTACCTTACTCGTCATTTCTACGTCTTGCATAGGATCATCCATTTTTTTGGGTTCAGTCTTCTTTTTGGGGGCACTAGAACCATTATTACCTAAGTTACGCATATAAGGTTTTGCAGCGGCAGAATTGGGATCCAAGGGCTTTCCAGATAAAGTATAACCTTCACCGGATTCTCTTATTTTATCGGGTAAAGGAACCTGATCTCTAAACATCTTAATAAAATGTTTCTGGGCATGACTTCGGATTGAATTGGAATCTCTTGTGGCGACGTGTCGTTGAAGCTTACCCCAGTCTCTACCGAATAACTCGAGACCTTCCAAAAAGTTTTTTTCTTCCAGCTCATTGTAGACGCCTGAATTGAATCCTTCGCCCAAGGGCTTTTTAGGTTTTTTGGCGGCGGGAGGTTTGACAGCAGTAGCAGTAGCAGTAACAGTAGCTTTGGTGGCGGTGGTGTCACCCGGGGTGGCAGTACTGTCAGTGCTAGGTTCAGGTGAAGGTGCTCCGGTTGGTTTGGTCTTGACTTCCTTTGGAAGCTTAGGAGCAGGTGTTGTTGCCACAGTTGCCTTTCTCTTGCGTCCTCTCTTTGCGACTAAGAAGAAGGAGTACAAGTTAATATTGACAAGTGTCTGTGTGTAACTGTAAAGTAAAAAAAAAAAAAAAATACCATCTTTTTTGCTAATATACTTCTTCTTTTTTGGATCAAAATCGTCTTCCGAGTTCTCTTCGTAGCTATCATCTATGTCTTGTTGAGCGTGATAAGGATCATATCCTCTAGCGTCGTTACTGTATTCAGCATAATAATTTCCATTTCCATGAGACATATTATCTTCTGCCAATAACTGAGCAATCAATGCCGAGCTCATTTCTTCTTCTTGATCCTTGCTAATCGTTTTATTTACTGCCGCCATATTGTTGTTGACAATTCGTAGTAAACAATAATAAAAAAATTTATTTCTAAATTAAAATTGACTTGTGTTGAAAGCGAATTTTTTTTTTTTTTTGACTGACTGACTGACTGACTTGATTAAAAGCGGTGTTTACGCGTTTTTTTTTAAACTACAAAAAAAAAAGGCTGAGTTTGCTTTTCACGATTTTTTTTTTTTCTTTCTTTCTTTTTGACATCTCTTTTTGTCCTTATTCATGCTATCTTACGCTTCGTTTTACCTAGAAGTATTAAAAACAATCAAGTTTGTTTACAAAAACACTAAAAAAAAAACTTTTTTTTTTTGGGACCTGTCAGGTCCATCTGAACAGTCACGATTGATTTTTATTTATTTTTTATAAGTGAAAGAATTGGGACATGATAGAGGATAATGAAGCATGCCACAAAGGAGAATGATCAAGTACCTTCAATCGACCTTCACAAATACCCAAAAGTCGCTTTAAACATTTTTCTTTCAATTCATCATGGTTCGTCTCTGTTGTTAACTTCTTATGAATACCCGGAATATGGTTGGCATTGCTACTGGACCATCGCAAGTAGTACCAAATCACTTGGTATAAAATATCTCCTACTTCCTTGGCTGACATGAAGGGTAATACATGATATGCATTCACCAAAAATTCCGGTAGTACCTAAATTATTGATAACTCCTATCAGCACAAATTCTCTCTCGCTTTTCCTTTATCTTACTTACCGGCTTCAATAAAAACAAGAGTCGTGTGGTTTCTTCCAACTGGGTAGCAAATTTTAAGGTAGTAGGCACACTCACAACCTCCTTCATGTTCCAAAAGACAATAAAATACACAAGGATACTTCGAATGATATCATTGGTGACTGGATAATCCTTGGTTGCTGTGGTTTGATCATAGGTATATTTCTCAAAAATGATGAACAAGACGGGATGATCCTTGAAAGCGTTTCCAATAGCAATGTCACTTGCATACGGTATATTTCTAGGCAAGACATCATCATAGGTATCCAAGGACACGGGATTAGGTCCCCAGATGGAAGACAGACGATGCAAGATATGACGATTGATCTCGAGATATTGCTCAGCGGATAACGTGGGCAACTCGCCAAACTGAAAGAAAAGGGCCGCGGTTCTTTCAATATTGTCTACATAAATCACATCACGCACATCAATCAGACCCCCTCCTTCTTCTTGTTGAAAATCAAGCGTGGTTACAAACTGTGGTGGTTTTTTGAATAAAGGAGGTTGGTACTCTTCTCGTACGACTTTATCATACAGGCTCTTTTTTTCTTGCTGTAACGCATTCACATCAATAGTCGGGAAGATCTCGAGTGCACCGCCCAGGATACCATCCATCGCAAACGAAAGCATGGCTTTGGCAAGTTCCGTGTGTTGACAGCAATGCGCGATCAAGCGTTGTTGTTCATTGATGGCGGATATTTCCTCCTGCTGACCATAACGTACGTACCTTCCTTTAATATGTCTAAACCAGGCATCCACTAGCAACTTGGAAATGGTCTGTGCATCACACCCCTCTACCTTGTTTGTGTTCTCCCAAAATCTCGAGTTGGTTAAGACTCGATATCCAACAGCACGACATTCCATAGAAGGATGATTTAAAAACAAGAGCAAGACTTGACGCCAATGGCTGGAGAGATAGGTTTTGAAGGCATCAAAACCTGGTCTTTGGGAAGAATCCGGTTGAAACAACATGGCCAAATTGCTGAGGATTTTCTCGACATTGACAGAGCCTTCACTATCAGCAATATGCATGGCAATCGCTCTCGAAAAGATATTCTCGAGGACGGATTGAAAGATGGTGGGCCATTGGCGTTGTGTGGAGGAGACAAGATTGAGAATAAGATAACGAGCACCTTCATTGCAGGTTTCATCGTCTTCTTGAGGCCTATCCAAACGAATGATGAATTGAACAAACATATCGACCACCTGTTTTTCAGGCACACCATTTTTCAACACAACCAATTGTAATAAGAATAAAGGGATTTTCAAGTCGTTCACACCTCGTCCTATTTTCATTGAAGAAATAGCCCAGTCTATTAAATCAATCGAGGTTGGTTTTAAATCCAGTTTCTCTAAGGACGGTCGTAATGTATCCAAAATTGACTTGTCTCCCGTCTATGACTCTTGTTTAGTCCTCTGTTAATCCCCCCTCTCATAATTTTCATACTTACAGGAATCAGATATTCCAGTCCTAAACGTTCGTCGTGTCCCAAAGTATCCAACATGATGGCTACATCCATGGCATGCTTCATCACTAGCCCGTTTGAATCGAATGCAATGGATGTCAGCCAAAATGGAAATACGCTAGCAATCGACTCTACTGTACCATCCCCATGTTTCACTACAGAGCTCTCATTCTTTTTCTCATACAAAAACATGCTGCCTGCAGCATTCCCCTTATACAACCTTTGAAACAAGGAGGACCACGATTCTAAAGAAGATCAGCACACAGATACAAGAAAAAGAAAAGGGGTGTGTTCATATCCTACCGTTGAATAAAGAAGGTGATATTTTGGGCAGAGAGAGTAAATATCCAAGCATATACTGTTGTACCTCAGTCACAAAGGATTGTTCCTCATCAATCCAACGGAAATAATCCTCGACGAGGGAGAGCAATGAATCAATCACCAAAGATTTATGCGAACTCAATAAATGTGTGAACACTTTGTCGCCCATATGGATAATACTCGATTGTTCATCACGGATCGTGTCACTAAGTGTATTATTTTAAATATAAGCACTTTTGTTTTTTTTTTAAAAAAAAAAAAACCATATTTTAAAATGTTACGTTGCGTTTAGAAAGGGATTGGTGTGGGTAGCGAGACCAAGTATCAAGTAGTGATGCATGCGGGGTAAAATGAGTTGAGGTAACTTCTCTCCAATGAAACAGAGCAACCATGTCATTTGTCCGCTTTCTTTCCTAACAAGCTTTATGAGAATTTAGCATCGTGTCTGTTTTGGATGAGCACTAAATAAAAACAAAAATTGCTTACATGAAAGAGCGTATCCATAGGGCTTATATACAAAATATAAGAAACATGGTAAGGTGTAAAATGTAAATCGTATTACCTAGTGTTGTTTAAGGCTTCATGAAACCATATACAATCCTTGATCAGGTCTACCAATGCTTGATTGACTGGATCTGACATTTCTATATATAGTAATTCGTATTATTTATTTATTTCTCCAATCCTTGTATATGTAGCTACCGTTTGAGTTTCTTGCTTTTAAAGTATTGTAATTCCACTACATGTTGATTAATACAGGATTACGGCGAGGGGGGGGGATAGACCTTCCTTACTGTAATGATCGTTTCAGGGTCCACAGACATAAATCGTTTTAATTTTCTAATCGCCAACACTAACGGTTTCTGGTCTTTGTTAAGACTTTTCGAGGGTTTACAAGATACAATGGCGTTTGACAAACTGGACCATTCTTGTTCAGAACATGAAGGTGACATTACACGATAGATAGAAAAACACAAAAAGATGAATCGCGTCACAGCTTTTTTTTTTTTTTTTTTTTTTGTGGTCCAATTGTGCGTGGGACTGCGGGTAGAGTTTGTACGGATACAGCCAATCAAATGAATTGCATATACACATAGGTTAAGCAACTTTTTTTGTGGGAAGAAAAAAAAAGATATAGAAAGTGCCACGAGGTATAAGGTTAAGATTTCCCTGGATAAACTGTATAGCATGTGTATGTTAAACTATTTGAAAGACAAAGAGACGATTAGTATACTCCATCCCTATCTTTTAATATTTTCATGTGTTTGAGTATCAGTAACGAGTGTATGGATTTTCACATGAACGGTTACACTGCTTGCCGTAATGTCTGCTATTTAAGAGAAAAGTCGTGCTTCTCTTTCTCAATGATGGGGGGGGGGGGTCATGCATCCCTTCTTTTGCCACGTGTTCTCCACCGTTGCTGTAAAAAAAAAAGGGCTGGATGGCTGATGAGGTTTGTCCACAGCCTTAACATGTATTTATATAGTTTGTATGTATCTAAACACACAATGCCCTCACTTTTTTGTTCATATAAATAAAAGTCGAGTGAGGCTTTTAGGTGTGCAGTTAAGGGTTTTTTTTTTTTGCATCTCCGAAAACAACACTAGAGAAAGAAGAAAATATTTTTCAAGAACGAGCTTTTTATTGTACATTTTTTCTTTTTTTTTCATATATATAAAATGCCTGGATCAAGAGAAGACGGCCAAGGCTATCAATCATGTAATTCCGTTTAAAACCCCCAATCTATATAGATATATATAAATTATACACATCTTTTTTATTTTTATTTTTATAAATCCATCTGACGCCAAAAAAAAAAAAAAAAAACCAAATGTTAGATGACGGAGGATATCAACCTTCTTATGGAGGCGGTGGTGGTGGAGGAGGAGGATTTAGAGATCGTGGTTACGGTAGACAAGATCGTTTCAATGGTGATTCCAGATACGATAACAAACCTCCTGTCAGTGACAATGGTAATCTCAAGGACACACGATAAAAAAAAAGATGTTCTTTCTTTATATTTATACAGTGGAATTTTAGGCATTCATCGCATCGAAGATACCGTTTACATTAACAATTTACCTCAAGACGTTACGGAGGAAAAATTAGCTGATCATTTTGGATCCATTGGTATCATCAAGATTGATAAAAAGTTGAAGAAGCCTAAAAGTATATTATAACACGCTCTTTTTCTCTCTCTCTTTTTTTTTTTTTCGCAACTCATTCTTTTTATTTGTAGTTTGGATTTACGTTGACAAGACCACTAATCTTCCCAAGGGTGATGGTACTGAAAAGAACTTGCTTTTTCTTTTTTTTTTTTCTCATTGCATACTAACTTTATATAAAAGCTACTTTGACCTATGACGATCCTCCTTCTGCTGATGCAGCCATTCAATGGTTTGGCGGCAAGGAGTTCATGGGAAATATTATTGAAGTCACCAAAGCCGAAAGAAAGATGACCATTCCACGTAAGTTTTTTTTTTTCTTCTGTTAAACTAGAAAGTTGAAAAACTCATGCTGTCTTTAGCTGAGCGAGGTTCCGGTGGCTTTGGAGGCGATCGCCGTGGAGGCGGTGGCGGCGGAAGAGGTGGATTCCGTGATGGAGGAGGACGCGGTGGAGGAAGTATGGGTGCCAGAGAACCCCGAGAAGGCGATTGGTCTTGTGATGGGTAAATAGCGTATATAATTGGTTTTTTTAGTGGAGTCTAACCCTCAAAATGTTATAAGCTGCGGAGCCAACAATTTCTCCAGAAGAGACGAGTGCTTCAAGTGCCATGCCCAGAAGCCTGGTGGAAGTGGTGGCGGAGGCTCTTCTAGCAGTCGAAGAGGAGATCGAGGCGGAGACCGTGGTGGAGACCGTGGTGGAGATAGAGGCAGTGACCGAGGCAGTAGTTTCCGTGACCGCGATAGTGGTAGAAGAGACCGCTATGAAGACAGCCGAGGAGGAGGAAGAAGTAGTGGCGGAGGAAGAGATGAATATCGTAAAGACAATAGTAGACATGAAAGACGTGACCGACCTTACTAGTGTAAATAAATAAAATGAAAATAAAAACATACACTCTGAACAGATGTATGATTACTATACTGTCAAGCCATGTTATAAACATCATCAAATTATCAGAACGTTGTCTATTGACAGTGGTCTCATACACTATCATAATTTAAATGTGTAGCTATACCAGATGGGAATCTCACCAACGAGAGCGATACGATCAAAGTCCTTGAAAGTACAAAATGGAATCAAGTGAAATGCAACTATTCCTTTTGTGACTAATCTATCATCTCATGCTGATGTAATAATCCAGTCCTTGTTTATCATTCTTATAAACCCGCTCCCCCAGTCATTTTTTTTTCCTCCTTTTTTTTTTACAAGTTTCAAGGAAGGCTTAGTCAATGATGAGTTCTCTCGTTTTCTCAAGCATATATCCAAGCACGGGATATGATTATAAGGACATATTTTGATACAAGAAAAGCTGCGTTCTGGTGAGACATGGGCCAATATTACGCTTGCAGCTAAACCGCACTCCACTGTGGGAGAGGAAGGCTTCAACCACAAGTCTTGGATAAAGGTATGCCGCATATATGACCAAAAACACGTAACTATGTTTAGATGTTGTCGAATTACTATCTTGAAAAATGACACGCAGAAAAAAAGACTACAAACTGGGATCCAGTAATCCTGCTTAATCATGACTGCCGAGACATGCTCACATGCGAGAATACGTGTGACAACGTTTCACCAGTTACCATGCGGTACAATTCAGAAAAAGGTTTCCTTGGATACAAACAAGGTGTGTGTAGTCATTTGATCGGATGCCTTGGCTGTACCCAAGAGGTCATTATGGTGTATCGCGTTACATTGTATCTATGAAATACACTGATGGTGTCCCTGTATGTATATACTTTGGATTACTCCAGTATCATTATGCTTCTGCCAAATTATGATGTAAATTAAACGAAGCCTAGAAGGGCGATATCTCTCTCTCCGCTGCTGTGTATTTTTGTTTCCGAGCCCTTGGAACAGCCCAATATACCCCATACTAATGAACCAGATGGACCTTTTTGCTGTCGAATTATAAATATAATATACACTCAAAGTTCTGCTCATATAACACGCAGGTTGTAATGCCTTTTGTTTTACTAACCATTGGAGATTTACGGTAGTCTCTATATATATATATATATATATTCATAGACTTTTAGAAATGGTAGAGCTCGCGTGCAAAAGTATGAGTTGAGAAAGAAAAAAGCAGGAAAGTTGCCTTTTAAGGACTTTAGGTTGGTTTAGAAAAGTAATATGAAATGGGAAAAAGAGGATTGTACTCTCTATGAGCCCAATAAATTACATAAAAATAAGGTGGGTGTGCCTTAGGACTCTTACGGGGGTGAGGGGATATTTTAAAGTTTTAACCAAAACCAGTAAGCTAGGAGACGAGGAAAAAGGCAACAGAGGAAAAAAAATACGCCATCGAAAAAGGCTGACCGTATTGGGAATAAAGAAAGTTGGTTGTCACACTTTATTTCCAAGCACGAGATTTTTAGTTGTAATTTAACACAAGGTGATTTATTCCTTATTCGCCCGTGTTCAAAAAAGCACACTCCCCTCAAAACTTTTTTTGGGTTGAAAGGGAGTTTTTAATAGATTTTGATTGGTCATGCAATTTATATGTTTACCATTTAGAGGATATTGACGGGTGCATTTGAATTAAAAGGTAGTATAATGTTTATTGTTCTCTCTTTATCTTTCTCTCTTCTCTCCTTTTTGGCGTGTTGTTATTTTTTTTTTATATATTTTTTTTTTTTTTTTTTTTTTTTGCTCCTTATTTTGTAAAACAACAAACAATTTTCTTTTTTTTTTCCTCTCCTTTTTTCTTTTTTTTTTTTTTTTCTTTTTCCTCTCTCTTACTTTTTCTTTTTTATATTAGCCAATGACATCCCTTTTAGCTATTCAATATGCAACACTCCCAGCAGAACGAAATATTTTAACAGTGAAAAAGAGTAACAATCGATTAGCTTATGTGGATGCACTTGTTGGTAAATATTATTTTGGGGGAGGATGGGGTTGTGTTTGTCGGTATTGAAATAATTAAACATAATATAATATGAATAGATGCCAACGCCCTAGTGATTGAGAGTATTTGGAAGATCCCAAAGATGAATACGAGTTCTGTGGTGCCTTTACGCACATTTATCCAAGAAGTCTTGAAGAGAAGCAGAACAACCTACTCGACGTTACAGACGGCATTATTTTATTTATTTCGTTCAAGACCTGAAATTAAATTACATATCGAAAGAATGCAACAACAACAGTCCAAGTGGGATGCATATGTTAGCTGTGGAAGACGCATGTTCTTGGCTTCCCTTGTTGTAGCTTCCAAATTCGTCCAGGATAAAACCTATCGTAATTCAGCTTGGGCAAAAATAGCAGGTTTACCAGTATCTGAAATCAATGCAGCTGAACGTATCTTTTTAAATATAATTGATTATCGTCTTTATATTTCGCAACCGACATTTGAGAAATGGCATCACTTGTTGCATTTACATGTGGAAGCAAAGACACTAAATCAACCCAACAATCTACAAGACTTTAGTAATCTTGCTTTTGCCCCCGTACAATTACAAGAAAAGCATTCTTATTCACCTACACACAGTATCAACAATAGTCCAGTTACACCCACATGCTCTCCTCCTCACCCTAAGCATCATCCCCCTCGTTGGACACTTGTGCTCTCACCTACCAACTTTTTACCTCCTCCCGTGAACGAAAAGAACAATCGAAAGCGACCTTATTGCTATAATTATCCTTTACCTGTTCTCTCCATGTCACTGCCTAGTTCGATTAATTCATCGCCAATGCAGACACCTACACAAATATCACCTGTACGAATGAATGGTCAGTCCGTCTTTCACTGGTCTCCCATGAACAATAACAACAATAACAATAATTATAGCAACAAAAAGAGAAAGCTCACATTAGACTCCAACACCACTCGTTCTTATAATATCAGTCATGTTAGACAACAATCCAAAAGATTTCACCCATAATTATTATCCCTTTTATCCATACTCTCCTCAACCAGTCCTCTCCTTTTGACAGCAAAAAAAAAAAAAAAAAAGACCCCCTCTTCGCGGCAAACAACAACTCTCCTTTTTTATTATGAGCATTATTATAACCATTTCCATTCTTTGTTCATCCTTTTTATTCTTATATCTATCCCCCACACACACCAATTTATTATTTATCTATGACTTATTGTTATGCCTCTGTTCTTTATTCTCTTTTTTTTTTTCTTTTTTTTTTTTGCCTTTTATACATATATATCCCCACACACACACACACACACACACATCAAATTTTTTTTTTTTATCTTTTTTTTTTATTTTTATTTTTTACCAAAAATCATTATAAATATCTCTTTCTCTCTTAACCAATCAAAATAGCAAACCCTAAAAAAAACATTTACAACATTTTTAACAATTTTACTTTTTACTCTTTTTCATACTACTGATGTTCCTTTTGCAGAAAAAATGTTAAATCCATCATGTAGACGTATTATTTGGGTTTCATTTTCCAAACTATGTACACTCTTTATACCCACCGGATGCATCCGACTCTTCACCGGTAAACCTCTAAAAGAAACCTCCTCCTCCCCCCCCCCAACCTTAAAAAAGACACTAACATCAATAAATAAGCGAGACCCGTGTTCTGGAGAGAAAAAGTTGCTTTATTTATCTCATATATGCTAGTTTCTGCCTTGTTTTGCTTTTGGTTAGAGTTCATTACCACTTTGTTTTGTGACCCTCCGCAAACATTTGATTTCGAAACCGTTTTCAGCAACCATTCCGAACTCTCCAGCATCAATGGACAGGTCATCGACTGGCATCACTATGGTAACGCCACCGCCCTCACCTCATTCGTCAATGCATACCCAGCAACAGACCTTTCCGCCAACTTTCCGCTCTTCATGCAACTCAAGCGGCCACTCTACCAGCCTCATTACAGTAACCGCATCGTTGACCAATGCATCGCCCGCTTTAACATGTCCGCACAGGCAGATAACTGGCTTCACTACAAACTCGAAAAGGACAGTGGGTACCTCTACGGGGACGGTACCTTACTCTCTTGTCCTCTCCCCGGCCACCGAAACAAGACAGGTGCACCCTGCTTCGATTCGACTGAACTCAACCGTCTGCCAAAGAATGGAGGTAAAAACAGAGAAACTTAAGGCACATTCAAGAGGCTTAACTACACCCCCCACATACCCATTCTTGCTTCTTCTTTTTATTTTTTAAAACAAAAAAAAAAATTATAGCCCTCAAGTATGAACCCGAATTGATCAAGTCCAATTTCTCCTCGCTACCTTACAAGGGCTCCCCACACGCATCCGCCTATGTCATCTTGGGCAATTCCGTCCTAGATATCACCGATTATTTACTGGCCGTCACCAACATTGTAAAGGTAGCCAAGGGCGCCCATTCCCGATCATTTGCGCTCGACCGCATGTTTCTACCACTCGATTTGACTATCCTATTGTTCACCAATATGGGTCAAGATATCACCACCTTGTTTGAAAATATGCATTATGACGACAATTACAAACAGTGTCTCGATCAGTTTTTCTTTCATGGCGTTGTCGCCGCTGACGCCCACGATGAAGGCTGTGCCAGAATGAACGTCGCCCTCTGGATCACCATGGGCATCTTTCTCATGTACTTTTTGCTCAAAATTAATCTCGCCAACCTCACTCGTTTGCCCTTTTTACAACGCTGGCTTTTTAAATCTTCCGCATTCGCTCTCTCAGAACGCCACTTACCCCCATTTACCCTCTTATTTGTACCTTGTTACGCAGAACCGTCACAGATCATTCGACAGACATTCGATTCCTTGGCTCGTACAAGTTACCCAGATACACGCAAACTCCTGTTCTTCGTATGCGACGGTTTGGCCACGTCAGCCACCGATGGCGGCAAAGAAACATGGCGCTGTATACTCGAGTCCTTGGGTTACAGTTCCACTAAGGACCCCCCTTTACGTCCTTACCTCTCGCTCGGCAGAGGTCCTCGACGTATCAATTACGCTAAAGTCTATGCCGGCTTTTATGAATCCGCCGGTAACCGTGTTCCCTTTCTGATGGTCGTCAAAGTCGGCTCCCTGCGTGAATCAGAGGCCTCCTTCCGGGTACCCGGGAACAGAGGCAAACGAGACAGTATGTTGATCGCCCTGGGCTTTTTAGAGCGATGCATGGATCTATCGCATCATCGGATCTCGCCCTTGGAATTCGAGTTGTTTAACCAATGTTATAATTTACTGGGCATTGACCCACGTTGCTTGAAATACATGCTGGTCACCGACGCCGATACCCAAGTGAAGGACGATGTCGTGGTCAGGATGGTGGCGCGTTTGGAAGCAGATCGGTCCCTGATGGCAGTGAATGGTCATGTACGACCTGCCAACCCTGAGGAAAATATCGTGACTATGCTACAGATCTTTCCCATCTATCTGTCCTTCTATTCGGGCCTGGCGTATGAAGCGTGTTTAGGAAGTATAGCAACTATTCATGGTGGTTTCATCATGTATAAATTGTGGGATGATAAAGCAGACGAAACACCCTTGCATTCGGTCAAATGGTCGAAAACAAGTGACGATATCCAAGAAATGGAAGATTTCGATTCCAGTAGTGATGAGGAAGAAGAGGAGGAGGAGGAGGATGGTCTAACCACCACAACAACCACAACAACCACTGCTTCTTCGCGTCACATGAACAAAAGTCGTCGTCGTCGTCATCATCATCGTCCTGGCCAACACAGTGGAAAGAAAACAACAATGAAAGGAAGACCCATTTCTTTAGCGCCTGGTCATGAAGTACAAGCCATCTGTATCAGTCCTACCGTCTTACGAGGACTGGCGGTGCCGCGAGCAACTACCATGCATATGGAAAACGTTTTATTGTTGGGTGAAGATCAATATTTTGGCTCTGTGTTGCTTCGATCTCATCCGCGCTACCGTATCGGATTTGAGCCTGAGGCGATTGCCTACACCACCATCCCCACGAATTTCTTTGCCATGCAAGCACTCCAATTGCGATCCTTACGCTCGACCTTTCACAACCTTATGGAATTTATACATATGGCCAAAGACGTCGGGTTCAAATATTGGATCACGTCCTTTACAAAACTCATCGACTTGATCTTGTCCATGCCCATCATTGTATATCTGTACGGTGTCTATATTCGTTATTTCGTCGACGCGTATCAAGTGTATGCCATCATTGCAGGTGCATTTACGGGACTCATTCTCTTGCACGTGTTTTATTTCGTGATACGAAGACAGTTTAAATACGTGGTGTGGTTTATCATTTATGGCTTGTTCTCCGTTCCCATCTTTAACATTTATTTTCCCGTCTTGGCTGCCTGGCGCTCCGATGACGCCTATCAGTGGTATGATGTCTGGCCCACCGAAAGAGGATACGGAAGTCGTCTCCATGGTATTGTCACAGATCCCAAAGAACAAGAAGAACAAGAGGAGGAGGAAGAGGATGGAGAAGAGGTGGTACGTATGCGGCTCAGTGATTTCGAAGTGTCTGAGGCGCATCAACAAGCACAACGCGAAAAAGAACAAGTGGAATTACTCGATGCGAAGTTTAATGGATTTACAGCAGGTTATGTTCATACCAAGAACAAACCTTCTTGGTCCTCCTCGTCGTCATGGATACCGTCACCTCCCTTGGCCCAGACACGCGAAAGACACTCCCGCCTCGCGTCGGAGGAGGACGCTAGGTTCTTAACCAACCATTCCACCGTGTCCAGTCATAAAAATCCCTTCTCCTCCGTCTTGGATGATCCCTTTGATGATGCCTACAGTGCCTTTAAAAAGCAACATCGTCCGAGCCATTCACAATCGTCGTACGTAAACACAAATAGTCACTTTGCTGATAGCTTTGCACCGGCCATGACGACGGAACCCATCGTACAGGATGACATTGTATATAAAGAAGAAAGTAGTGATACGATCTCACTTACCAATTCTGTGATGGAGTCACAGCCTTCTCCTCCTCCGCCCATTGATGTGAGAGGCAGAAGACGAATTCATCATCACCATGCACAAGATGAAGGTCGAAGTGCGCCTGTACATTCAAGATTTGTAACACAACATCATTTATAGAAGAAAAGAAAAAAAAAATAAAGAAAAATATACACATAAAAAGCTTTTTTTTATTTTATTATTATTATTAATATGATTAAACTCGTTAATAACTTCTACCAAAGAGCATGAAATGTTTAGCATGATGATCACAAGCAATACACTTGGTGACGCCAGGAACAATAGGGTTTTCAGTGGGTTGTTGGAAAGGATTACAGAGAGACTTAGCGCCCATGGAAGGAGCCTTTTCATCCTCCTCCTCACCATCGTTAGCACTACGAGCGGAACGTTCCTTGATATCATCCTCACAAGCAACACGATCACACCAGGGGACCAAAAGCAACTTCTTTTGGTTTAAAGTGGGTACAAATTCATCCCATTCAGAGATACGCACAATGGATTCATCCATCTTTTGACAAGCTTTCTTGTACATGTCATTTTGAATGGTTTCCAAGGCCTCCTTGATCTCGCTTTCCAAGTTCTCGAGGGAACAAGAGAAACGAGCACCTGTATCACGACGTACACAAGACACTTGGTTCTTGGCAAGATCCTTGGGACCCAATTCCAAACGAAGGGGGACACCACGTACCTCCCAATGATTGAACTTGAAACCGGGAGTGTAATTCTCACGTAAATCGGCTTTACTCTTGAGTCCGGATTTCTTGAGACGAAGGGCAATGTCTTGACAGACATCAAAGATCTTATCGGATTCTTCCTTAGTGGTCTTGACGGTTAAACCACAGGGGACGATGACGGTCTGAATAAGAGCTACACGAGGAGGCATGACAAGACCCTTATCATCACCATGAGTCATGACCATGACACCAATAGTACGTGTAGAGATACCCCAAGAGTTTTGCCAGACATGAAGTTTCTTGGCTTCCTCTGTAGCGTTTGCAGGAGCGTTAGGATCCTCTACAGTGATGTTAAACATCTTACTAAAGTTTTGACCCAAGCAATGAGAGGTACCACCTTGAATGGCACGACCGGTTGTAGGAATAAATCCTTCCACGGTTGTGGTATAATAACCACCAGCAAATCTTTCCTTTTCAGATTTGACACCCTTGACAACAGGGACAGCTAAAAGATCGGTATAGACCTTTTCATAGAGATCAAGGATTTGTTTGACTTCGGTATCGGCGTCCTTCAAATGTAAATGAGCGGTATGACCTTCTTGCCAGAGGAACTCACGAGTACGTAAGAAAGGTTGAGGGTTCTTGAACTCCCAACGGACAACGGAACACCATTGATTGATACGTAAAGGTAAATCACGATGAGAACGAATCCATTTGGAGAAGTAAGGATACATGACGGTCTCGGAGGTAGGACGAATGGCAATGGGTTCTTCTAAATCACTGTTACCGGCTTTGGTGACCCAAGCAACTTCAGGGGCGAAACCTTCAATATGATCCTTCTCACGTTGGAGTACCTTGTTAGAGACAAACATGGGGAAATAAGTATCCTCGACACCCATCTCAGTAATGGCACCATCAAAGAAATTGGTGATTTCCTTCCAGACATTATAAGCTAAAGGACGGAGAATATAACAACCAGAGACATCGTAGTATTCCAACATGTCGGATTTCGTTAATACTTGTTGGTACCATTTAGGGAAATCTTCTTCCTTTTTACAACCAAGACCCATTTGATTACTGTCGTCAGCAGCAGCAGTAGTAGCAGCTATAGTATTTTTTTTTTTTTTTTTTTTTTTTTTTACGCGTCATCTTTTCACTTTAGTTTTTCCTCTTTCTTTCTCTCTTCTTATTTATCATCTTTTTTTTTTTACGTTACCTTCCTTCTTGGCCTTGGGTGCCTTGGCAGCGGGCTTCTTTTCACCGGTAGGTTTAGCAGCAGCAAGTGCCTTGAAATCCAACTCGATAAAGTCCTTGTTGATAGACGCCAAATAAGCCTTCAATTGATCGAGCGAGACAAAGACGGTCTTTTGAGCATCGTTAGGGTGGAAAGCGAGTAAAGTATCTGTAGGCAAGTCAGCGTCTAACACGACATGGACTAAATCCAATTGAGCCACATGGGACAATGAGAAGGGAGAGACGTTGTCCTTGGTAGCCTGGAAAGTGGATGCCAAAAGCTCTTCATTGGCAAAACGACAATCCTTGAGCGAAAGCTTCTTACCAATAGCAGTGGCGTTGGTCTCGGTGGATTCCAAAGCAATGACCACCACGGGGGTGACGGGTGCTGTTTTACCTGTCTTGGGCTTCAAAATTAAGGTCTTGGTAAGAACAAAGCCTTCACCTGTTAAGGCCTCAGACCAACTCTTGGCATCACTGACGGCAGCATGGCTGACTTCTTTAGCACTAATGGAAAGTTTCTTGAGTGTCTCGCTAACAAGGTCTGACATTGCTTTTTTAAAAAAAATTTTTTTTTTTTTTTTGAGAGAAAAGAGAGGGAAGAAAAGGGGTAGGGGCGGGGCTCGATACTCTCTCCCATCCACCCGGGCGCACACCGCACGCACACACACATACACACAAAAATACACAACCCAGAAAAGGAAAAAAAAACTTTTTGCTGCGGAGTCAATATTTAGTGGATTAAACCTGTCAAATGCTTTCTTTTATTGTGATCTGTAGAGAATTGTGTAACCATCATGGGTAAATTTCACGCGTTTTGGGGAGGGGTTGTTGTTTATATGTATGTATGTATATATAAAAAAAAAAGTGAATGATCATAGACAACATAATTATGATGAATAGTAAAACATAAAGGCATAAGGGTGACATAAAAAGATTTTTTTTTTTTGGTTGTTACTTTGTTGTTTTACGCCATTGTTTGGTTCGAAATCTAGAATATCGTAGTCCGCAGGCATTGCATAAGGTTTTATGACCATCGGGACCACGCCTCCATTCAGGACTATGACTGGTACGACATCGAGCGCATACTTTAACCGTACCACCATTCCCTTGCTGCAAACTCGTCGTGATGGTCAAACTCGTCTTTTCTTGCTCATGAAACAAGACTCTGCGTTTCTTTTCGACAGACGAAGGTTGACTTTCTAACTCGACTTCTTGTTGCAATCGAAACTTTTGAAAGGATGAAGAGGCATGGCTTGTGTTGGTCACAGGCGGAAGTCTAGGTTTCGGATAAGGATCCATGACCGATGTGGGGGGAGGTGCGACAGCTGTTTCCGATGCCAAGCTCATGGTAGGCATGTGTGTTTCAACCTCTTTCCTTTACATAGAATGGTGTTAGATAAAAAAAACGTCTTTTAAAGCCTTCTCTCTCTCTCTCTCTCTCTCTCTTTGTGTGTGTGTTATATGTGTATATCTTTAAGTCTAAATACCATAGGTTAATAAGACTCGCTTATGAGTCGGATCCTCCTCCATGATGTTGGCTGCAAGAGTCGGGTTCATATAATAGTGTTGATACAAGGAATTGGCTGGCAGTGGTTTGACAATGGTGGGAGAAATCTGAAAGGATTCGAAAAATATGTTACCATAAGGTATCAGGATACGTTGAAATAAGCAAGATTCCTGAACAAATACGATTTTGGTGGTAGCATAGAAATGACGCGTGCAAGAAATATCTTCTTGTTCCCCGTCCTCTGTGAACGAAGAACTTTTGAATTCCTTGAGGATCATGTCTTGGGCCATGGTGCACACAAGCTCCGTCATTTCCTTGGGTGGTTTGGGGGGCCATACAAAGAGTGGCTTCTTGTGTTGGTTGACAATTTGAAATAGTCGTAGCGGAAGTAGTGTGGCTCTCTTTTTATCTTGTTCTTTTAATACGTGACTTAATTGCATTGCATCCTTGATATTTTTTTAAAAAAAAGGGAAGGCTTTCTTTTTAGATGGAGATGAAAAAAAAAAGATATATCGTATGGAGGTCTTACTTGTGTAATAAAGTTACTGTATCCTTGGCAACAGCTTAACCCAAATGTTCTCGGTTGTTCGACGTTTGTATGATTGATAGAAGTCACTCCTTTGAAGAATAGATTTTTAATTATAAAAAAAGACAAGTAAGGAATAGTTTAAATAGTTACCACTGTTATGAAAAAACACGAGGACGGTGTCATGGGTTGCTGTGTAAACAACGAGGTCTAGTATATTCCAGGCGGTAGTTGATACGTTACTATGAATGAGATAATCTAGCTGCATATTACCACACTTTTTGTTGTATATAAATGAAAGAGTTTAAATATATTTTTTTAATTCCAATGTGTGTTGTTTTATGAACTGAAATCTAATATTTATTGTTTACATATACACTTTAAAAAAAAACTTACGTTTGGATAGGACGAAGCTTCTGCTATACTCTGAAACGATAATAATCGACATCTACAAGAAAAAAAAATTAGTAGGAAGAAAAGGTGTGATGAGTAGTTGTAGTTTTTACCTTGTGACTGAACCAGCCAAGGTATTTAATTTTAAAAAGCTTGACAGGTCAAACTTTGCCAGAGCAGTTTCGTTGGGGTGCATAAATTCGTATAAAGAGTGATGTAGTAATAAGTTGCCAATGGAGTGACCAGCGACTCTAGTGTCGCTGACGGAAGAAGGAATATAAATAAATTTCATCTCATCAAGAGATAAAAGCGACCAAAAACACGAAGTTTTCATTTTTTTTTTCTTTTTTTTTTATCGCGCGCGTGAAAAAAAAAACAAAAAACAAAAAAAAAATTTGTGTGTGTATGTATGTGTGTTTCTGTGTGTGTGTGTTTGTGTGTGTCTAGAGGGGATAAAAGGTGTGTTTTTACAAGGAAATGTAAAAGTTTGGAGCTGATAAATCGTAGTGGTTGATTTTTATCGTAGGTTGAACATAAATTTGTATTCTAATTTGTTCATACAAAAAAAAAAGATTTTCTGAATTAAAAAAGAAGAAAAAAGAAAAAAAAAGGATTGGGAATATTGTAAACTATTTAATGTGGTTTAAGAACAAATAAAAAAAATTCTTTAAAATAATATTGAGACTAAGAAGAATAGTGTATGTCAAGTTTATTAACACAAACCTACCAAATTAAGATTTTAGATATTTATAAAAATAGTAAATCATTATAAAAAAGCAGTAAGGGGGGCTGCTTACAGTAAAAAGAAGGGCCATTTATCGATGATTCATCCAACATGTATAATTCTGTATTCTATTACTTTTTTTTTTCAAAGGGATTGAATCGATGATGGTGATAATTTAATACAACCTGGGAGTTTTTTAATTTTTTCTCATTTGTCAAGTATAAAATAATTTACTAACAAACCGTTCCCCTTATCACTTTTAAAAAAGACAATCCAAGAACATTCTATTATTATCTCCTCCGTGGCGTTTTTTGTTAGGGACCATGTTTTAAATTGTCCATTGTCATCTTTTAGACGCGCGCGCGAATAAATGTCCTTTTGGTAACTAAGAAAAGGGATGAGATGAAATACATTTAAACAAGGGGAGGAGGGGGGCATGAAGACCGATTATTTCTATTTGTTACTAATCACTGAAAAGGTAAATAAGAAGAAATAGACCTTAATAAGGCTAATACAAAAAAATTATAATTGCTGATGGCGCAAAATTCTTCCATGCTTCTTTTTTCTCTCTCACTCGCACACGCGGAGGGGGGTGCTGTATCCCGCGGGCTTATCATGTAATTTACACTTTTTATAGATGCCCTTATAAGGGGAATCTTGATACATTGGTAACACCTCTACTTTATTTACATGTGAGGTGTCACTTGAATAACGATGACCGATACAGATCGAAATACACTCACTATACACCTTTCTTTTATCTTTTCTTTTTCTTTTTTTTGCACGTCGGCTTAGTATCTACCGTATCAGTACTAACATGCTGGGAATGAGTTTTCCCGTTGCTAGGGTAAATGGCAACGAGTGGCAAATATGTAAGGTTGTCATGGGGTTTAAACCTGACACTATTTAGACGTATATTAGTAAGTTGTGGCTTCTTAGTTGACTCTTATAATCTTGATATCCAGTAAGTTCTCCTCCGGGAAAAGAAAAAAAGTCTAATTTACTTGTGTTCACCTCATTATTATATACAATCGGATCTTGAGTATCCCGAGGTTACTTTAAAAAAAAAGAACTAACCCAAAACTCTAAATGATCTCACTTTGTTGTAAATCATCCCTGTGACATATTTAGATTGTGTGTGTGAGTACAAAAAAGTCATTCTACTACTAAACGAACTATGCTAAATAACGATGCTAAATAACGATGCTAAATGATAGACACCGTTTATTTAGTCATCATAAATACGCACGAGATTATAAGACATTTCCCGTCTGATGTGGGTAGTTGATAACGGTCAATTCCAAACAATCATGTGGCTGATCTGACTCAGTTTCATGTATCTCATTTAAACGCGTTCCTGAGACTTGGACAAGTAGGCCACACTGCTTATTGTTTCAACCTTCTTTTTTTTCCATTTAACCTTTTTTTTTTTTATTTTACCCACAAGTCTTTTTTCCCAGCTGTTTTTTTTCCCGGCCGGCTCTGAATCTGTCATCCTCCCCCTCTATTTGTACTACACCCCTGTATCCGAGTTCTCGGATTTCATGTCGTCAGAGCACATCTTATTCGCTGACAGAACGATTATAGAAAAGAGAAGAGCCATAAGACGAGAACGAGTGTGAATCAATATAAAAGATGAACGCCACAGTCCACTTTTTTTGTTTAAAAGACACGCGTTTTTCGGTGTGTGTGTGTGGAGGGGAGGGGAAGAAATCATTTCTATTTTTAGTAGAAAGAAAAAAAAAAGTCTGGACCAAAGGGAATGAAATAGAAACACAAGAAGATGTTGAAAAATATATTATTTGCTTTTCTTCGGTTGATCTTTTTATTAATAAACAAGATCGAGATGCGGAATGGTGTGGCTCAGCAAAAAAAACATGGCTTTTTCGTACTGCATACACTACACGTTTATTCATTTAGAAAGACGTTTAATTGATATTTTATACAGCAGAAAGTTCTCCCCCTTGCATCGAATACCCGTTTAATGAGGGGGGTGGGGGCTTCTTCTATATAATTTATGTTTGACGCATCTGTCACACACACACACACACACACACACACACACAAAGCGATTATGGCCTTTGCCGTTTACTATTTGTCTAAATATGTCGGTTTTTGGATCAGGGTCACTGGATGAGTCTCCCCCCCCCCCTTTCCCAGAAACTATAAATTGATTTTAATTACATTGCTTAATTGTTTGACATGCCACCTTTTTCGGTCCGTCCATAACTTGTTTGATGTTCCTATTTTTAAACCTCTTATTTTGACGCGAGTAAGAAAAAAAAAAAACCTTATAAAGAATACACATTCTTCTTTTTTTTTAAAAAAAAAAATATAATTTATTCTTGTATCCATTTGTTATTTACACGACAGTATGGAAAATGGGGGTTAGGATGCAATCACTATTTTTTTTTTTTTTTTTTTTGAAAGAAAAGGGGGGGTCTAATATCAATTTCCTGTCTGTTTATATCTAAGGTTTCTTTAATAACTTTTTCTTTATTCCATGTCCATCTCAACATCTTCCTTCTAAAATAATAAAAAAAATTTATAAGTAAATCCATTCACTCGTAAAAAAATAAAAACTTACCTCAATACGACGTTCACCAAAAGTGACTTCGACAGAAGGCAAAGCCTTGGCTTGTCTGATCTCCTTCACAGCAGGTGTCTTCAAGACATTAGCGGCAGTGGTGAATTCGGGTATGCAGTATTGAGAGTGAACATAAGGGAGTTGCAAGGCACGTGTGTTACGGACAGGTCCTTCAGCAGTAACAAGAACAGTGCCCTTGAACTGAGCAGCAACATCCGAGGGGAGCTTGGTGCGCATCACGGGGTAAGCAGTAATGAGCTCATGATACAATAAAGAGGTGAGACCGAGACGGGCCATGTTACCAGATAAAGAACGTGTGGCAAAAGGGAAAACTGTGTGGTTAGCATTGACTTCGGCATAAGCTTGACGAGCAGACTTCATCTTGAGTTGATATGACTTGTTCACATCTCTTTGGTACACAAAGGGCTTATATTCTGTGTTCTTGACTTCGCCAGATCCAGTAGACAAAATCACATTTAATTGATACACTTGGTTAGCTTCAACTTCAAAATCAAATTTATCTAAATCTTGAACAATCAATTCGTCCAAGAATCGGTTCTCGATATCCTTTCCTGCACGTAAAACAAATCTCTTCATGGGAGATGAGAAGGTGCCTTCAACGGGTTGACAACGGAAATAAGCAGCAATCTCGGTAATCACACGAGTGATTTCAGAAGCCTGTTTTTTTATATATATATAAGTTTCCTCGTTCTTTCCTTTCCTCTCTCGCTCGTTCTCTCTTTTAAATAAACTTTACCTTGACACCGGGACGGAGCATACGAATAGCAGCTTCATATGCAAAATGGGTGGCAGCAACTACATCAGCAGCTCTACCGGTAACGGGTTCTCCCGTTGTGTTGGCAACGATGGTGGTGTGAGCAGCAGTAGCAATATAACCATCAATGTGAACACCCAACTCACTGTAGAATATATTAGATACATGCACTTTTTTTTTTGTTGATGAATATACAATAACTTACATCTTGACAATGTCACCAGCCTTCAAGGTAATGTCGTTTTCAGCAAGAGGAGAGAAATATTGAATGTAATTGTTGACGGAAACACAAGTGGGTACAGCAATACCTCTTTCAGTAGACTTGTACATGTTCTTGGTCTACAACCCAAAACTGTGTTATTTTTTTCTTGATCTCGAACAATTTTTTTTTAAGCAAAACTTACTTGAGCTTCAATAAGATCATCACCGTATTGACAGAGATCGCAGACAGAAACACCGGCAGAAACCTTGCTAACAACGTTAGGGAGAACAGCTAAAAGAAAGAAGAAAAAAAAGTTTAATGATCAAGATCTAAAAAAAAATTATTGACAGGACAGATCGTTTATTTACCGTTGACGATATCAGCAGCAAGTTGATACTTTTCCAAAACGACGGGGTTGGTCAAAGTGTTATCAGCCTCAAACTTGGAGGCAGGGTAACTTAAGGACATCTCCATATTAGTAGCCATTTTTTTATATATGTATATTTTATTTATAGGGAAAAAAGGGTTATTTTTTTTTTATTTTATTTTTTTGCCCTAAAAAAAGCAGCACCCTTTCAAAAAAAAAAGCCACCCGAGAGAGTGAATGAGTGTGAGGTGTGTGTTACCAACATTTTAAAAGCCAGACATCCGTTGTCGTCTTGCACGAATTCCTTCCATATTAAATGCACAATTGTGAGCTTCTGGTTTATACGACTTCTTTCGTACACCTTCTCCATTAAACACATCGGATTCATAATCACAGCGTTGTTCAGATTTACCCGCACGAATATTACAAATCGCATTCTTTTTGCAATCACCCACACAGGCCTTGGTCATGGGTGATGATTTTGTCGTATATTGGTAATATTTGTCAAAGGTCGCTTCATCATTCTCCATATCCACTGTAACGTTATGCCACCATGCAGCCGATAAGGGTGACGTAGCCGAATTTAGTTTAGCTCCACTTGAATTAAATGCCTCTCTTGCGGAATACTCAATATGCCAGTCCTATTTACCCTTTTTATTTAATGAATTCATGCAAAAAAAAAAAAAAAAAAAAAAAAAAAGTAAAAACTATAAATGACTTACGGGTCCATCTAACCATGTAGACGCTTGATCTAGATTGGCTGTATACGTAATAGAATCCACCACTTCAAATGTGACGGTATCAATCTTGTACACGCTAAAATCATTTTAAATTGTTAAATTTTTACGAGTCATGTTACGTACACAAGAAAGTATAAAACTCACCGGAAGCCAGGGTTAAGATCCAGATAAGGCGTGATAGAGGGAGCTATATAACCTACAGAAATGGCTTCTTGGGCTGTCTGATTCTTTCCGTGTCCATAAAAAATAGTCATTTCATCTCTAAATACATAAATTGAGTAACATATATAAAAAAGAAAGAGTTCTTTCTTTTACTTGTGTGTGTGTCCAAAGAATTGCGCAGAAATAATATGTGCATATCTGTCTACAATCTGGTTATAATAATTTGCATAATCATGGAAACAAGTATTATCACCCGGTGCAATATGTCCAATAATCCATACACGCTCCAATTTATCTTCAGCATCCTGTAGTTCCTTTATAAGCCAAGAAAAGATACCATTGGGATCCTTTTGCATCGGATGTTCGTAAAGCCACCAATTCAAAATGTAGCAAAAATTAGTATTCAAACTAATGAGTTTCAGCCCATCCACCGGACGAATGGCATAGCTTCCCGTGTTTAATTCAAGATCCGCCTGTGAACGGAACGGCACCCAACGCTCCCAACTGATCGCTAGACTCTTATAAAGCCATTTCAGGTCGAGATAGTTCTTCTCAATCTCAATGGGTACGTTGGACGACCGCAATGGGAAATTATTCGAAGGTGCTGCTTCATGGTTACCCACGGCAGGGTATAGCATGGTGTGTAATAAGGTGGGAGAGTCGAAATGACTATGCAATAATCGGTAGGTATCGTCTTGTATCAATTGCGTTTTTAATACGGGTAAAGTAGCCCAGACCTCGTGAGGTGGTACATCACCTGTCATGATACCAAATGTAATATTTCGCTCTATTTTTGGAATGTATTCTAATAATGACTGAATCAATGACAAGGGAGTATCACAGTTATATTCACCTATTTTAGTGTGTGTGTGTATATGTTAGTCTTATCTCTTTTTCTTTCTTTCTTTTTATCTCATGTGGCCACTTACCCCAGATAGACGCCGACTGCGTAATGTTGGTATAATCGGTATATGCAGGTCTACAACAAATTGGCTTATCACAAATCACTTCTGCTCCTGGCTGTTAGAATGGGTGGAGTGGTTAAAAATTGAGACAGTTTTGTGATATAGATTGCTTTTTGTTTTTACCTGATAATGAGGATCAATATGCCAGTCGCTTAATTGAAGTACAGTCAATGTTTGCCCTTTTGATTTTTGAGTGATGGGTAATACATCTGGCTTTGGTTTAGGAAACGGAACATTCCACTCTTCCACCTCTGATTTAAAAAAAGTTAGAACTCTTTTGTTGTTGTTGTATATATCTCTTATTACCAGGATAGGGGCATGAATTAAGAATAGCTGCACACATGAGATGACCATCTCTGCCGGATATAGTCATAGACTAAAAAAAAAGTTGCAATTTCAGAAAACAGTAAATAAATAGTTGAAATCAAAAAAAGGAAATTCACATACCGGCAGAACTTTACGGATAATTGGTGCTTGTTCTCTCATCACACCTTCGCACTAAAATTTTTTGTTAATTTGTTAATTGTTTTATCTCCATCATTTTAGAAATACTTTACAACTTCGTCGTCGACTTTTTGTGTTTTTTTACAGACTTTTGTCAAGGTATTGACCAGGAAACTTTCTGGCATGTATGACATTTTCTTGATAATATGCAGTAAAGATATGCAACTGCTACAAGACTTGGTGATCGATTCAGCTTGAACCAAGTCATCCACCAACGCATGAACCTGATTTTGAATCCCAATGTCGGTTTGTCCAAATGCCATTTGTTGTTGCTCATGGGCTCTTGTCATGGTAACAGTGCTTGTCAACAACAGTACACTGTACGATAAAAGATGACTGTATCTCATTTTTTTTTATTACTGAAAAGAAAAAAAAAAAGAAGGAAAGAAAAAGAGTTAATTTATTTTTTTTTCCTTATCTTTTTATTATTATAACTCGTAGTGTCAAGTCAGATGATGATCGAATCATCATGCAACTCTTACACAAAACTCAATTTATAAATTTTTCTCCCTATTTAACCTCAGAGCATTTTTTTATTTTTTCTGCCTAAAACAAACCCTACCTAAATGTCAATGTTGACCCATTGTAAACTCAATCAAGTATTTTCTTGGTCTCATTTAATAGAATCCAAACAAAGAATGACAGGTACAAACAACCCCACATAATATAAAAAAAAGGGTTTTTTTACTTTATTGATTCACCTTGTTTTTTACAGACTGGCAAGAGACAGGTTTATACATTAGCCAACCTTGTCATCCAGAAAAGACACGTTTATATAAAAAGAGTACAGTGAAAAAGCCAACGTGGTATGGCGTTATTACCTGTCATGATTACCAAACGATAGCCTATCTTTTGCGTGTCTTTCAATCCTCGCCCGGGGACACAATGACGTTATTATTAGGCGCATTTGGCCGCAAGAAGATGGACACCCTGATTATCTTGTTGGACAAGCGATATATCATCCGATCAGCTGTTGTCAATATGTCCTGGTGTCGTAGAATGTGGAGTATCGCCTCCAGGGCTCATATGATTGCGATCACTGGTGTCTATTATTCTGTCTTGGGCGGAGCTTATTGCTCTTTAGGCAAGAGCAATACCAAATATGTAAGTAACAAAAAAGTTATTAAAATACATTGGTATTAAACTTTTTTTTTAGGCGTATAAAGCAGGTGCTTTAGCAATTGAACAGATCAAATTAGCAAAGAGGTTAAAAGATCCCGTATTAGAATGCAAATGTTGGTTATATTTTGCCGAGGATTTGATACAGTTGGGTAATATACAAAAGGCTCATAAAATCATTCAACGTCAACTAGAGTTTGTGGATTCCATCCATGATCCAGCTGTAAGTAGAGAGAGCTTATTTAAAAAGCGTCTCTTTTCTTTTTATTTATTCTAATTTTTTTTGTAGTTATCAAGTATGCTGGAATCGGTTATCAGCAAGTTGGATGTGGCAGTGGCCAACAGAGGAAATTGATGTCTTTTACGAGTAATAATAATAAAAAGAAGGATTGGTTCTTGAAAGTTTATTATTTATATATTACAAGAAAAAAGTGTGATATTACATGATGGAGCATTTATCATTTGTGCTTTCTCTAGGATTGTAAATCGACTTGTTTCTTTTGGTAGGAGTAGTCGATGTCTCTTTCTCCGGTGCAACAGGTGTACCATACGGCTGCTGATAGACTCCACCCATCATGGGAGGCATACCATAGTAAGGGTACGGCTGCTGCTGCTGCTGCTGCTGGGGAATCATCATCATTGGCTGCTGATACATGGGTTGTCCGTACATTTGCTGAGGCATGACGTACATGGGTTGCTGTACTACAGCCGTTGTGGTAGCACCAGCAGCATGACACGTTTCACTATGTTTGGATTTCTGTTTATCGTTTTTTTTCTTACTACTACTGGTTGTAGGTGGTGGCTTAAATGCCATGGGTCTCTTGGGTTTCGTTGCTTTGATTGAAGGTACTTTCTTGGGAACAATCACTCTTTTTACCACCACGACTTTTTTTTTGGGTGCCGGAACAATCACTTCCTCCTCTTCTTCTTCTTCCTCTACTTCAATTTCTTCGTATTGTTCCTCTTCTTGTGTCTGTTTTTTATTGGCCGTTTGTCCTTTCCACCAACCTTTAGGTCTTTCTTCTCGGGGTTTCCAAAAGCTGGGTTTTCTTTCTACAACCGGTCGATGCGATTCATCTGATTTGGCTACTACTACTGCTGCTGCTGTTGTTGCTGCTGCCGCTGTTAATGCTTTGGCTTTCTTGTTCTGCTTTGGTGTTTGGGTTGGCTGTGATTCCATGTAAACTTCTTGTGCTTGCAAGCGAGCTTGTTCTTGTAGTCGAGCTTGTTCTTGCTTTCGGTTCTTGTATTGCTGTTGTATTGTTTTCTCCTTCATGGCTGCTGTGGCTGCCGCTGCAGCAGCAGCAAATTCTTTATTTCTGCTTGTGCGTTCAGACAAAGCACGGATAAAACTCTTCTTTTTGTTCAACTGCTTCTGTTGCAATGGTGGTGGTGATCTATTTTGTTCTCCGCTAGGGTGCTGCTGTTCCTGAAGATGTTGTTGTTCCTGGATAGAAGGTTGAATGGATGGTTCCTCTTTTACGGGTTCTGGAAGGATGACTGGAACAGGAACGCGAGCAATTTTCTTGGTTTGAGCGGGAGGAGGAACATCTTCGGTGACGGGTGGTGTGGGAGGAGTAGTAGGTTGGATAGGAATGGGATGAAAGGAGGAAGGATTCGGAGATAATAATTGCTGCTGTCTTTCTAATAGTAATTGCTGTTGTTTTAATTGTTGAAGTAGAAATAATTCGTTGGTGTTGTTATTTCCGTAGAGTTGGGGTGAGGGAAGACCTGCTTGAAATAATTGGCTCAAGAGTCCGTCTTCATGGCTTACGACGGCTGCAGGAGGAGGAGATGCGGTTTGCTTTACATTTTGAAATACGCTATTTAATAATTGATCAGCATACTGATCATAAGAGTTTGGGTTGGTCATGGTGAAGTGGTATAAAGAAGAAAAAGAAGAGAAAAGAGTATCTTCATCTTAATTAAGTAAATTGTAAACATGTCATGTTGCACAGAGTTTGTGTGTGAAGCCTGCATTTGTCTCGTATGCAAACATTTCTAAAACAGGAGAATTCACTGTGGCTTTATTTTTTTTATTTTTTTTTATTGAAAATGCAATGGTAATAATGAAGTGAGATGGAGTGAGGCTTTCTTTTTAAGCTGTTGTTTGTGCTTCGGAAATTTCATAATTGAGAAATGATAATTGGTTTAATAACTCCTCGATTAAATCTTGCTTTTGCTTGGTTTGTTGCACTTTTTCATTTTCATCGATTGGGTTGAGAATGGCAAGTAATTCCTCTTGCTCCCCTTCCTTCTCTGCAATCTCTGCTTTTAACTCTTGTATATGTGATTTACGTAACTTTCTCTCACGCACGACCTTCATTTTCATGTCGCCTAACGTTGTGATGTGATCGTCCTTTTGTTGCACTTGGTGTTTGATGTTGCTTAATTTTTCTTTCAACTCGAGCACACTGGTTTGTGTAGGGCCACGATATAAACCCTTGGTCATTCGATGATGCAAATTGACCAAATGTGTTTCGTCCAATACAGCGGATTCTTCTGCCTGACTCGTATCGGATCTTAGCAACTCAACAGCAGGTAACCCTCTTTCCTCTAACATCGCCTTGTTGGGTCTCTGCAATAAAAGTGGGACACTGGGTGAGGTTCGGTTTAGGCCTTCAAATGTTCTTCTCGAGGTTAAAGGTGCTTTGGATTCGTTCTCTACCTTGCCCTTATTTTTATTGCTGTCTTTGGTGTTCTCGTCATACTTGATGCTATTCTCGTTGTTGTCATTCTTTTTTTGTGGTATGAAAGGATTAATGACACGCAAACAAAAAAAACAAATAAATGGATCATGAATACCTTTTTGAAACTGGAGGTACGCTTCATGTGAGAACGTTGTTGAGTACTGATATTTTCCTTGATCAACGACTAAATGAAGAAGACGATGCTTTCTTTTTTAATAACTATGAAATAAACTAAACAAGCATCTATTTTTACCTTTAAAGAATCTGAATCTTTGGCGTTTAATGCACTCTAAATAAAAAAAAGGGGAAAGTAAGCAAGGATAAAGGTTTTCACTGTTTCTTATTTTTTTTTACGTTTTCATTCATGTTGCGAGCTCTTAAAGATTGGTTTTCTTTATTCATTCAAATTTATTTTTGTGGGAGTGAAGGAAATAATAATAATAAAAAAAAGTTTTTGGAGCGCAGATAGGTGGTGGGGGAATATATTATAAAAAGACGGGGACAGCAATTTATGCAAAAAATAAAAGAGAGATTAAAAAGAGTAATAAGCTCTCATAAGTTCTTCCTCTTCAGATGGATGCATGGGTATCTCTTCTTCATCTTCTTCTTCTGCTTCAATACGATCTAAAAGATGTTGATAAAGCATATGAGCCAGTCTCATATCTGTAATATAATCAGCAGAGCCGAAATCCTCTTCCTCTTCCTCCTCTTCCTCCGCGTAAAAATAGTCATTGTCTTCTTCATCATCGTCATCGTCGTCGTCTAACCAGTCACCCACCATCCACCCTTGTTCGCGTAATATAAATCCATCAGGTAGACCCATCATAACAATCTTGTTGGGGTTAACCTTACCACGATTGGAAACATGGCTGGTGGCCTTGTATTTATAATTGATATTGACTCTACTCATGCCCACCGTATAAGATTCCAAATCTCGCAGTACTTTATCAGACGCTTGATTAGTTAAAGAATTGTCTGGTAGAATATTAAAGGTGATCAAACGTAGATTGTCCACATTTTTAAAGCTCGTGACAATGTACTGCAAGAATTGGATATCCATCTGTGCAACCTTAAGCTTGAGTTTAGTTATTTTGGGATATTCCTCCATGACCAAATCCTTTTGATAGCTGATTTCTCCAATACCGTACAACTTGAGCTCTTGTAATTTCGGGCCTGCAGATAGTAGTTCGGTTAAATTCACACAAAGATCTCTGTCGACAATCGAGTGACACTTTGCTCTCAAATAGGTTAGGTTGGGAAACATCGAGACGAGATGAATTAATCCGCCATAATTTTTCAAAGCACCGTTATCTTCCAAGTCATCAATCTCCAGTGATGTGATGGAGGCACGGAACCTATAATTCACCCATAAATGAAACCGTCGCACAGCTGGTGAGCAACCCTTCAAGTCCAGAACCCGAATGTGTTGAATACTTGGTAAGACAGCACCGTGACAGTTGAGTGCTTTTAAATATTCGTACACTTCTGTGAAATCAAACTGCAACTGAAGAAGGTTGGGACACATTTTCAGGACAGACCTTAGAGTGACAGCCGATTCGGTTCCGGAGGACAAGTAATTTAAGGTGAGCTTTTTCACTTTATACCCAAACGCAGGAAGATCCTTTGAAAGTCGTTTTAATGACATGTCATCAATGCTAAGTCGGATATCAGCGCTGAAAAATCCTTGAGCTACCGAATGCCATGTTTTACATACAAGCAAACAGGTCTTTAACTCTACGTTGCTTTCCAATTTATCAAGTATCTGCTGAAGTATCTCTATAGGAAATCGATGGTTGCCAGGTAGACTTTTACTCATTTTTTTATAGTACAAACAAATGAAAGAAAAAGAAAAGAAAAAAAGAAGAAAAAGGTGATAATAACAGGAAAAAAAGGGGGGAGAGAGAAGTGTGCCCCCTTTTTTTTTTTCTCTCTTTCTCTCTTTCTCTCTCTCTTATTTTCGCGCTATTATCCATCCTTATTGTGAAACGTGACTGTTGCCACTAGTTTTTATCAGTGTGTTTGGATGGATTGAGGGGGGAGGCGCGTCCGCACTGAAGGTATGACATCAAACGAGCTTTTGCAAATATAAGATTACGTATTACGCGACATGCATGTAAATTATTATTATTATTATTTTTACATTTATCTTTTAAAGTGAAAATTAGATGTCTACCTACCTCGCTTACTGAATACGTAGACCATCGCATTTTACAAAGAAGAGACTCCGTTGTTACCAAATAAAAATAAGGTTTGGTACCTTTAAGCATCTTTTTTTTTTCCCTTTAATGCGACCAAAGTGTAGATAACAAAAGTTACATTTTGGTTTAACTGTTTAAAGAAACAATTATGATAGAGAGGAGGGTAAAGGATTATAAATCTTTATCAGGTTCAGAAATCACACCAAAAAAGCAAAGACGGTATGCAAATAAATAAATAGTTTCATGATTTATGCTTTTTTTTTCTATAAAAAATGAAGGAGCTCAAGAGAACTCATGTTTCCATTGGCTGATATCATTCCTTCTCTATCCCATTATGGTAATCATCAAGTATGTTTCAATTATGTTGTATACAACGCAACTGTAAACAATGAACAATGGATATAAAAGCACACGAGATCAAAAGCATTCCATAGGACTATTAGACTACTATTTATTCTCTCTCTTTTCTTTTTTTTTTCTTTTTGTTGTGGTCGTTGTTGTTGTTGTTGTTGTGAAGAAGAAGAACAAAAAAAAAATGGGATACAGACAAAGTGATCAAGACGATGTTAGAGCTCAGCAAGTGTCTCTGACCGTAAATACAGGAAATTTGTTGGAATTGCCTAGTCCAAGCTCGCTTGTTGCGTCAAAAAAAGTGACCATGTCACCCGCACTCAAGGCAGCATTGCCTATTGCCACCTATTGTATTGCTAGCATTGTCATGACCGTGACAAATAAATATGTAGTCAGTGGTGACTTTAACATGGTCTTCTTTTTGTTGACTATTCAGGTAAACCTTTTTTTATCTTTCTTTACATTCACACTGTATTTTTTTTTTTTTTTAACCTGGGATGATATATGTAGAGTTTGGTGACGGTTGGATTCTTACAATTCTTTAAATTCTTAAACTTGATCAAATTCAAGTCGTTTGACGCCGATGTAGCCAAGAAATGGTATCCCATTGTTGTATTCTTGGTAGCTATGATCTACACTGGCTCCAAGGCCTTGCAATATTTACCCATTCCTGTCTACACCATCTTTAAAAATTTGACCATTATTCTGATTGCGTACGGAGAGGTGATTTGGTTTGGTGGAAGCGTTACTTCTATGATGATGGTATCGTTTTCCTTGATGGTAAGAAGAAAGAAAGAAAATTAAACATCGTATTTAATCATATGTATAAAAAGAAATGTGGATATTAACGTAGTTATCATAGACATTATCATCTGTGATTGCTGGTTGGCATGATGTGGGTAACGCTCTGCAATCACTTTTCGAAGTAACAACCGTGCTCTCTACTGATACCACCATGATTGGTTACTTTTGGATGGCCATCAACTGTTTGTCCTCGGCCTCATTTGTGTTGTATATGCGTAAACGTATCAAGTTGACCAATTTTAAGGATTTTGATACTGTCTATTACAACAATTTGTTATCCATTCCTTTGCTTCTACTCCCTAGCTTACTGTTAGAGGACTGGTCTGCTAGTAACTTACTGGTGAACTTGTAATTACACTTAAATGCACACATTGTATCTAGTTTCTAAACTTTTCTTTTTTTACAAAAAAATTATAGTCCCCCTGAAGAACGTCAGGCACGTATTTGGGCAATGGTATTTTCAGGTGTTTCAGCATTTGGTATGTCATATGCATCTGCTTGGTGCGTACGTACCACCTCTTCAACCACTTACTCTATGGTTGGATCATTAAACAAGTTACCTATCGCTATTTCCGGTCTTGTGTTTTTTGGAGATGTTGCCACTGTGAGCAACGTTTCAGCGATTTTAATTGGTAAAAAGCTTCATACATATTTTGTTCGTGCTGTCTAAAATTAAAAAAAAAAAATTGTTCTTAGGTTTTATCGCAGGTATGGTTTATTCACATGCAAAGGCCTTCCCAAGCAAAGCCAAAAAAGAAACAAGTTTTACTATTTCATCCGCTTCTAGCCAAAGCTATTCTGACGCTACCAATGTGAATGAAAAAATCAATATCGACAAAATTGGAAACCATAAATAATTTTTATTTTTTTTTAATCATGCAGTTTTTTCTATATATTTATAAACATCTAATTTCTCTCTTTTTTTAATATTTCATAATATACATCAAGCGGGGGGAGTGTCGAGGGAAAATCAAGGGTATTGCGAAAAGTTATAAAAAAAAAGGCCATTCTTAGTTATTCTTGTAACCCAAAGACATGTTAACAAAAAATTGATGAAGACGGTTATCGCTTGTTAATTCAGGATGGAAAGCAGTGGCGAAAAGATGATCTTGAAGAACAGCAACAGCTGTTTCAGCTTCAGTCTGACCATGCTTTTGTTCCAATCTACCCACAATCTTCACTTTGGGTGATCTAATTTCAGAGATAACAGGGGCACGGATAAAAACCGCAGCAAAGGGTTCATCACCCAAAATCTCTGGTAAATGCAACATGGTCTGGAAACTTTCCTTTTGCGTACCAAATTGGTTACGGTTCACACAAACATCCAACCCATTAAATAATTGCTGTCCTCCCTTCTTGGCTCCCGTAGCTTCTTTAGCCAACATGATCATACCTGCACAGGTTCCCCAAGTAGGCTTTGTCTGCACAAAAGCACGAAGAGGTTCCAACATGTTGCAACGCTCGGCGATAAGTGCCATAGCAGTGGACTCACCACCAGGGATAATCAAACAATCAACAGAGTTTAATTGTTCTTCGGTACGCACAGGAATTGCTTCCTTGACCTCGGGAATTCTGTTCAACATATGGATATGTTCGACAAAGGCACCTTGTAAAGCTATACAATACATCATTTAGTCATATGATAAAAAAGGTTATCCAACAACAGCAACAACAACAACAGAAAGTTTAATTACCAAGGACACCGACGACAAGAGTAGGAGCAGACATTTTGATGATATTTAAAGTGGGTGGGGAGAAAAGCGAAAAAGGGATGATGTAGGATAAGAAAAAAATCTTAAATAGTGAGATGAGTCGTAATGAGATCTGGCAAGTCACTTATAATCTCCTATTAAAATGGGCTTTCACACGGGGTGGGGGACTTTACAGTGTTCACAAATGATCCTTATTTAGTGCTGTCAAGGCATACGAAACACGATCGACTCTACTCAATATTACTTGAAGTTATATCCAAATAACTGGGTTTTTTTGTATCCAAATCGTGATCGTCCAACGCAAAATGCATGCTTTTTTTTTCTTCTCACAATTGTGACGGCTTTTTTATTTATCCGACGTCATGGAATTGAGAATATTTTTTTTACACCTTCAGTAAAAAAGAAAAAAAGGGTTTCGAACTATCTCTACAACGTTTTATTCTACAACATGTCGTTCGATCATTCCAATGATGATAAGCTCGCTTTCGAGACTTCAGAAAGTGTAAGACATCTTGGAATTCAAATAGGCAAACACAGCATATTGATTAGTTAATTTAGGTCAAAGTCGTACCCACTTTCGATTCCATTGGTTTAAAAGAGGATTTACTTCGTGGCATTTATGCTTATAACTTCGAAAAGCCTTCAGCTATTCAACAAAGAGGTTTGGGGTTTTGAAAACAACGCATTGACATGGTCTAGGAACTAATTTTTACATGTCCTTTTTTTCTTTTTTTTCTTCTTCCAGCCATTGTTCCCATCATCAAGGGACGTGATGTTATTGCTCAAGCCCAGTCTGGTACTGGTAAAACCGCCACTTTCTCTATTTCAACTTTGCAAGCGATTGATACCACCATGAAGGAAACACAAGCATTAATTTTATCGCCAACACGTGAATTAGCTACACAGATCCAGAGTGTTGTTTTAGCACTGGGTGATTACATGAATGTGCAATGTCACGCTTGTATCGGTGGTACCAGTGTGGGTGAAGATATTCGTAAATTAGAGGCTGGTGTGCAAGTCGTGTCAGGTACACCCGGTCGTGTCTATGACATGATTCGTCGTCGTACCTTACGTACCCGTAACATTAAAATGCTTGTACTTGATGAAGCCGATGAACTTTTAAACCGTGGTTTCAAGGATCAAATTTACGATGTTTACCGTTATCTTCCTCCTGGAACTCAAGTCGTCCTTTTATCCGCTACTCTTCCCAACGATGTATTGGAAATGACCAGTAATTTCATGACAGATCCTATTCGTATTCTTGTAAAGCGTGATGAATTGACTTTGGAAGGTATTAAGCAGTTCTTTGTGGCTGTTGAACGCGAAGAATGGAAATTCGATACTTTGTGTGATCTTTACGATACCTTGACAATTACACAGGCTGTCATCTTTTGTAATACTAGAAGAAAGGTAAATTTGAAAGAGGGAGGGAGGGACGCGTTTTTTTTAAGGAAACGGGCTGGGATGGTTAACCCCCATTTTTTTTTTTTTTCTTAGGTTGATTGGTTGACTGAAAAGATGAGAGAGGCAAACTTTACAGTTTCCGCTATGCACGGTGAGATGCCTCAAAAGGAGCGTGATGCCATTATGCAAGAATTCCGTCAAGGTGCCAGGTAAAAAAAATCATTTTGAAAAAAAGGAGAGGTAGTGTGGGGGAGAATAAAGATTAATTCTTTCTTTTTTTCTTTAGTCGAGTTTTGATTACTACTGATGTCTGGGCTCGTGGTATTGATGTTCAACAAGTATCTTTGGTTATCAAGTAAGTCTTAGTAGTTTTACTTTTGTTGATGTGTAAAACAATGTAATTTAAAACCTTCCCTTTTTTTCAAAAGCTACGATTTACCTGTTAACCGTGAAAACTACATCCATCGTATTGGTAGATCAGGTCGTTTCGGCCGTAAGGGTGTCGCGATTAACTTTGTAAAGAATGACGACCTCAAGATTTTACGTGATATCGAGCAATATTACAGTACACAGATTGATGAGATGCCCATGAATGGTAAGTGATTAGTTAATTGGGGCATTTACAGTTGTTCTAATTCTTCTTTTTTATAGTGACCGATTTGATCTAAACTACAAAAAAAGCAATAGAAATCCCTTACAAAAAAATAATAAAATAATGATATTGTAAAAAAAAAAAAAAAAAAACCTAAAAAAAATTGAAAATCGTGTAAATCAAGAATCTTTCTCGAGGTAGAAAACGTATACGTATACGTAGGTGATAAAGGGGTAAGTTCCAATTCGCGCTTACAAATATTTGCAAAAAAAAAAAAAAAGTCATTAGTTTTTTTTATGTTTAGAAAAACGCAGTAAAGTGATTTTTTATTCATTTTCGGTTCAATACAAAGTAAATGTATTTAGACGACGGTACCAGAGGCAGAGGCAATACGGGGCCAGAGATCGGCACATTCCTTGGCAACGGGACCAGTGATGGCAGAACCCTTCATTTCACCCTTGGGGTTAACAATGACACCGGCGTTATCCTCGAAGTAGAGGAAGACACCGTCTCTACGACGCCAGGCCTTACGTTGACGAATGACAACAGCGGCCATAACTAATTTAAAGAAAAGCATTAGTCCATTGTTGAAAGTGGCCATGTCACACACATCTTTTTAAAAAAAAACTTACCCTTCTTTCTTAATTCGGGCTTACCCTTCTTGACGGTAGCAACAATCATGTCACCACAACCAGCAGCAGGAAGTCTGTTCAAACGACCCTTGATGTTACGGACAGCAATGACGTACAAGTTCTTAGCACCAGAGTTATCAGCGCAATTCATAACAGCACCAACGGGGAGACCGAGGGTCATACGGTACTTTGTGCCGGAAACGCTAACTAATGACGAGCAAAGAATAAGAGAAATGACGTTAGTCTTCACATTAACACACGTAACGATGTTTCGAGTATAAACAATAGAAAAGGACAGTAGAAGTTGTGTATATGAAAGTCATAAGCTGTGAGTTTTGCGGTGGTGGGCGAAGGGTGATGAATGAAAGAAACCTCTAAGTTTTTTTTTTTTTTTGTTGGTGATTGACGATATGAATCCATCTATAATAACATCATCCGTTGTTTGTAGTGATCCATAAATTGTTTATAACTGATATCTATTGATGGATGGATGTGTGTTATCCCCTTTCTGCTACTTGACGCATCCGATTTTTTTTTTTTTTTTTGAAAATCCTAATCCATCCTATCCATCCATCAATTCTACTGTGCTTCTGCTATTGATTATACCCTAAACAAATCTATATTTTCTTCTTTCAATCTTTGGGCGATACGCACCTTTAGGCATTGCGTGTGGAGATACGGATGAGAGAGGGGGACTTCTTCGATTTTTGGTAAATCGCTCAACTTGAGTAGAAATTCCATTCTCCCAGATTTGTCCATTTCAACATCCGCCATCGGGCGTGACGGTCTTCCGATATTTCGGTTTTTTTTTTTTTTTTTTGTTTAGTGGTAATGCAGATGGTTTTTATTTTTAACTTATGAAATTAAACGTGTTGGTTGTACTTGCACAATATTCTTCTGTATCAATAAGAGGCGCCATTCCATTTCCTTTGTAAATTAGCTCTTTATTAGCCAATGATACCTGTCTATATATACGTTCCACGGATGGCATTTCGGGTCGGTTTTGAAAGGCTAAACGTGCCAAACGATGATGGGTTTTAGCCAATCATTCCAACATATGACTATCATAACTTACCTAGTATAGCTGCATTTACCTCGGTTGCTAGAGCATCTCTTCGAGAAATATCCATCAAGTATGCTACGGGGCTGTTATCAGGATCACGGTAAGCCAATAACGAGAATATTTCCTGATGAGAAGGTAAATACAGTATGTCAATGGGGATCCAAAAATGCTTCATGCTTACCACTAGACAAGATCGTGTTTTATCTCGTGTATCGTGACGATATTCTTCCTGTAATTTTTGACCATATTCCATAACATGTTTAAGGGATTCCGCTGTCTCTATGTGATTTCCATTTTCGTCTTCTGTTGAATTATTGTCTGTGCTCACCAAACTATTCGTAGCACTACTAGAGGCACTTGTCCTTCTCGTCCAAACATTGCCATAAATAGAATGACTCCCATCATTGGAACTATCTATATCCATCATCTCTGTATCGCAATGAGGCTCTTTTGAAGAATAGGTTTTTGGTAATTCGGTGCTGCTAGATGGTGATAAAGAAGCTGCCATCTCTGCATAGCTTAACCTGCGCTCTCTTAAGGCTCCAATGGTAGGGATGGGAGAATTTACACTGGTGGTAGGTGATAACGCGGTTGGAGAATCTGAGCGTGATTTTTTATTTTCGCCTCCGTCTTGCATCCCTCCCTTAAGATCATCACTCGAGTACTTTCTACTCCTTACTAGTCCGTTACCGTTTTCCAATCTCGGAAGTGATCCCGCTCTTTTACCTTTATTACAACACTCTCGCATCATTTCAACAAATCTTCCGCATTTTAGCCATAATTGTAACTCTTGTCCGCGTCCTTCTTCCTGAAGCACACCCGGAAAGTACTTGTTAATTAATTTGATACCCTCATCTATTTTTCCTTTTACTATTGCCGAACGAATAACTAGATTCAATTTCTGTCAGTATCCAGAAAATATATATATACATCAAAAAAAAAAAGATGCCAAATTAACTTACTTTGTCTCTCCTCCATATCTTGCTCTCCTTGTTGAGATATTTCATTATGTGCGTCCGACAAGAAAAGCTCCTGACCGGAAACATGACCAGCGTTTTGTACAACTGCTTTGGCTGTTCCTGTATAACCGTGATGGATTAAATATGATAGAACCAGTTGATCCATCACCTCCTTTGAGTACATGTCTCTATCTTGGGATTTTACAACAGTGTTTGAATCAAAGTATTTATTTGCGGTTGGAGACTTTGTGATATCTTCTATTACACGTATTTTTTGATCCTATATGTTTGACATATATGAGCAAAAACATTTTATTAAGCATTTTCTGGATTTAAGCTTTCAGTAACTACCTTGATATATTGTTCAATATCAAAAACAAATGGCTCATGGCCGAAATTTGCTGTGACCTGTTCACCAGGTGTGCGTAATCCAATTGCTGGATAGACCGGTTTATCAATGACCATGTCTTTAAAGGCGATTCCCAAATGTCTTCCGTTTTTTGTGTAGAAAGCAGAACTGTTAGAGAAATTTACACCACATCCAATCACATCTCCCGTTGTAAAACAAGGACCATAATTCTTCCCAGTGCCAGATCCACCAAAGGAATGTCCATCATCGCCGTGATATCCCCACGATTCAAGATCCCAGCCTAATTTTAGATTGTATTTTTAATGCACCCATCTCAACTTGAACCACTTCCCTTCCCTTTTTTTTTTTTTTTTTTTTTTTTTTACCTGGGAGTCTTTCCAACTTGTTAGAAGCACAACAGAATCCTATCCCAATATATCCATCATTTCCTTTAGATATAACTTTCATTTCAAAGTAAAATATACCACACTGAGGTCGCATTGGGAAATTCGCTCTAACTAATGCTGCATCCGATTCCTTTTGCCCAGGTCCTAGATAAGCTTACCAGTTAAAAAATTATGCGAGTGTATCCTTTAGACAGAATAATAGATTTCTTATAATACCACAATACGATAAATCCAATCCGTTTGTCCCGACATCGATATTCTTGGACTTGTCTTTGGAGTTCCAAAACGTTGGTAGACGTAAGTCAAGTTGTTCCAGTTCTTCATCCTCTAAGGGTGAGGTTTTCGGTAAAGGTTGAGTAAGTCCACTTGTTGACTTTAAATGATATTTGTTTTGCTGGTAATTATATTGCTCTAGAACCAGAGCTGCATATTTTGTTTGCTTTAAATAGCTTGGAATCTTGGGTGGTGCTAACGGGTGATGAATCGCTCTAGGTAAAGCAGATGAACCTTGTTGGATCGATTGCCGATTCTGAATGTTCATTAGCCCTGCTGCATTAAGTGCGGGAAAAGCTGAATTGTATGTGGGCGCTTCAGACGACATTAAAGATAATAAAGGAAGAAAAAAAGAGAGACAATCGTTTTATTTTATTTTATTTTATTTTTTTTTCTTTGAGTTTGTCTTTGAAAACTGAAACACGTGATACGTCACTGATGATGATACTAACGGTGATCTTAAAGCACACACAGATAAACATAAAATATTCTCACCCTGGGTTGTAACACATAATTTCCCAGTCTGTAAATTCATAACCTGCGTGTTTGCATGAACAACACAATCTCTGGGCGGACAGTAAAATCTTCAGAGTACACTGAACTTGCTTTTTTTTTTATTTTATACATATATTTTTATCTCATTACATACGAGGATCGTACTCTATGTGCCATGAACAGCTTGTGTTAAATCGGTGTTACTAATCATGTTTATTATTATTTTTTATGAAACTTTCAACCCGGGAATACGTACATTGCAAGAAAATTTCCCAGCTTTTATTACTGAAAGAACTGTGTAAAAATTCAGACCATAAACACCTTTGCTGTCTTTTCAAGACACTTCTGTCTCTGTATTTAGAGTAAACAGTCTTGCTTCTTTCTATACTTTTATTAGAAATACATGTATTTTTTCAAAAGCAATATTCAAAATGTATATTCAAAAAAAGAGAATGTGTGTGTGACTCTTTAGCTTTTAAACATGTATATTTCGATCGTTTCTGTATTTTTCACTTTGTCATTTTATTAGTGACTTCCCTTTACCGATAATTGTTACTGTAAAAATTTTAATTGCATTTTATGCAGATCATCAATGTAAACAATGATTCTTTTGTGTGTAAAGTTATCAGAGAGCTCACTGTCTAACCACTGTGTAAGTACAAATGTGCTTTCTCAGCTCAGATCTTATTAAATCCATGGAAAACTCTCAGACCTATACTTATTCAAAGGATACATCGACTGTATAAAAAGAGGTATGCCTGAAAGTAAAGCAGCGTACAAAAAAAAAGCGAGAAAATTAATACCGTGGAAAAGTACAAAGTCTACACAGGGGTAAAGCCGACAGATGGATCAACGCTGTCGTTTATTCAAAAGAAACGGTTTATAAGAGAATACAGCATCTTGGTAAAGACTGCTTTGTTTCTGCCGTTTCGAACCTGGGTATGTTTATCCATCAAGGGTTTAAATAGGTTGATGTACGCAACGTTCAGAAATAAATTAGGCGGCAGGCATATCTCCAACATGATTTCTCATAAGAACGATGTTCTAATATATCTGCTTCAGCCTTTTGTAATCAAATGTGTATGCAGCTCTCTGATTTTAGTGCTCTACGAAATTTTTAAATACAAGGTCAAAGGAGATCAGCATTTTGATGAGATATGGCGACACAGTTATGGATCCTTTTAAATCAGAGTCATGAGTTCCAAGGAATTCTTTCAGAAGTATTTTATAAATATTTACATAGTATGGTGCAAAACCATAGAATAGGTAGAGACATTGTATAATATTAGTACTTGGGACAGTGCGCGCGTTTTTTTTTCCTTTTTTTTTATAAAGAATGTATAGCCATATAAAAACTCACATATACTTAGATGCTCATTTCAATGATCTCTGGCGTAGAAGATGAGTCGGGTAAAATACCCGCGAAATGTAACACGTTCGTAAATAATCAGATCATTCGACAAAACAAGCAGGGAGAAACTAAAATAAACAAAAAGATCAAGCCCCATTTTTTGATTGATCATGTCTTGACCCACATGCTAGATTTATATTTAACCCCGCTGTATGATGTTTGGTTTTCAGGTACCTGAGATGGTATACGTAAATAGTAATTAGATTTTATTCAAGGGCAGAAGGGGATGAGTTGCCATGTCCATTTCGTGCTAGAAATTTACAATTGAAAATCTATAAAGGCTGGTTGTTAAGAAGTATCACTGATACATAAGATCACGGTGTTCTTGTTTACAAAACAGTAATCATTTAACCTGGGGAATAGAATGATGTTTCCCAGACTCACGATATGCATCTTGGTATCCGGGAATATAACTACACTATAGTAATGCAATTAGTTAACACGATGAACAACAGTGTCACTTGGAAATCAATGTCTGTCTATACTTGATTTTTATGTATTTTTTGTCTCGTAGAAATATTCGAGATGAGACAAAGCCCATAGTTTGTGTAGCACTTTTTTTTGTATCACTAATCACATGTAAATAAGAAGCTCTCCTGGGTTTTAATCGACCATTGCATCCTTTTTGTTTCTTTCTTTTTTTGAAATAAAAAAAAAGAGTACAATTACACTGTCTAATTCAATCGATACAAAAAGGATTTCCGATCCACGCCATACCCCAGACGCTGATGAAGGTTTTGCGTCCTCATCGTCAATAGAAGAAGATCAAATATCTGAAGTGATCAGAAGAAAAAGAAGCAGTTACCAACTTCAAAATAACGTAGAGAAGCGATCTACCCTTGACTTTAAATCAAGCCCTATTGACGCAGGCAGAAAAATTCTGGAAGAGAAAATATCAATGGCTCCAGTAGAAGCCATACTTTGGACTTTTTCTTTTATTTGGGTATTTTTTCAGCTTTATACAGATGGCAATTCTTCATTCAACAATTCTATTATTGCAGGTAATACATTAGCTTATTAACAAACCTGTGTATGCTAACTCCATTTTAAGGTTGGACTACTGTAGTTTGGTTTGGTATACTTTTGGTCAATATATCAAGAAAAAGCACTGAATTTGAGCTGAGTGAGTCTTCAGCCGCCTCGTCTGATGACCTACTGGATTCTCCAAAAGAAAAAAGACGGGTTATGTACGATGGGAATAAAAAGAAACTGTCAAATGGATCACCAAATGAATCTGTCAATAGAATTTTTGGTGCCAGTAAAACATCATTCAGGTAATTTATAGACAAGAGGTGATTTTTTTTTAAAAAATAAAAAATTGACTTTATTTAGAGCTAATGCAGATGATGGATTATTATGCGGTGTCCTGTTGTTGCCTATGGTTGCAGCTGCTAAACTAGTTGACGGCTCTAGAAAAAATATAGATCAATACCAAATTGGTAAGTACTCATAGATAGAGAAAGATATTAAATAATTGACCTTGTCATTTTACTTTAGCGTACGTTCAAGTAAGGTTGGAACTAGTATTATTTATGAGTGTGATATTGCTATTATTAGTATTCACAAATGAATATTTACACCCTTTAAAACGTGTCATCCGCAAACGAGGTCTATTTGTGTCCAGTATCCTCGTATCCGCATTATTTACAATATTGATTACAAGACTGTCTCCCTTGACTCCGATTTTAGCTGAAACTCCTATTGCAATGACAATAGTATCAATCACCATGTTTCAATGGTTTCTTTACATATGTGTGGTGACCCTTAAAAAATGCTTTACGTTGGGTGAAATGTGCGTCATATCACAAGCTGCTGCTGTAGTTGTTCATGGTGCCACAGAGTATATTTGTACAGCTGTAATGATTTTTTACGATTATGCATGGCTATACAGCATTAACACCTCGTTTTTATTCTAGTATTATTCGGACAGTACACCTACATATTTACATTACAGTGATATTTCTCCTAGTATGGTTTTAATACATGCTCTCGTTGTAGGCATGATTTTTATTGGTGTTATCACTTATCCTCTACTGCGTCAATCTCGTCGTCTTGCTCAAAGGCCTTACTGGAGATCGTTACCTACAGTGGAAAATGCGTCTATATTTCAAAACAAGAAGCTTTTAGCCGGGGTTGCATTCTATATTTTAACTGCTATTATTGTACTTTTCATTATTGCTCCCATTACCAAGGCAATAACTGGAGAAAATCCATTTATGTGGTATTGTAATTTTTTAAACAATTAGTTGTAAAAATTCTAGCTAACCAATTTTTAAAGGACCCTTGATTTCCTTTATATGTCACCATCTCGCATGTTTCTTTGTTTGTATTGGTCACTCACCGTCATTACAACGGTTGTGGTATGGGTTCTCATATTAGATTTTGTTCCCCAGTCTACTCAAAATGAGCGACCTTTCTTCGGATCTAATAATGGTGCTGAGGGTAAAGCCTTGACAAGTGCCTTGAACAAGAAGAGAAAGTTGTTTCATGCATTATCCGTCATAATGTTTGTTCCCGGTGTCTTATTCGAACTGGCTTTTCTTCAATTGGCATTTGGTGTTGCCCTTTCGGGATTCATTTACCTAGAATATTTGCGTTATTTTGCTGTATGGCCTTGGGGAAAAAGTCTCCATGTTTTCTTGACAGAATTCATCGACAATCGTGATTTGGGTCCTGTAATTCTCAGTCATATCTACCTTTTATTAGGTTGTGCCAGTCCAGTTTGGTTGGGAAGGTAAGGGTTTATACATGTGGGAGTTTATAATACTGATAGTATTTTAGTTCCAATGTGTTAGCTAGTCTATCAGGTATCTTAGCATTAGGGTTTGGGGACGCAGCAGCATCGTTAGTTGGAAAGAGATATGGACGATGTCGCTGGCCCGGTACAAAAAAGACAGTGGAAGGGACATTGGCTTTCATCGTGGCTGTTTTCATTAGTTCTTTGTTAATAATGTACAGCTCAGCCCTTATTGGTGTGGATGATGCGACTCGCTTTGTTGCTTCGGCTGGCCGAAGTGAATGGTTGAATTACTCATTGGTCATCACTTTAACAGGTAAAAACTAAAATAATATTTGTTCATGCATGGACTGACTTTTGTGTAGCACTACTCGAGGCCTTTTCGACTCAAAACGACAACATTATCATACCACTTTATATGTATACCCTTGTTGTATTGGGTCATACACTGTAAAACAAAATACTCGGCTTCTTTTTTTCTTTTCTTTTTTTACAAGAAACAATATAATACATCAAAATTTAATAATAAATAAATAAAAATGGGGGAGTAGGAGAAAATGGTTAGAAATTTAGTAACTGTCTTCTTGACCAGGTTTGAATTTCTTTCGGAGACATGTTGACATTATCAAAGGTACTGGTGTCGTCGTCCTTTATTTCGTTATCTTCGGCCAAGGCTACAATTAGTCGATCATTTAATTTTAGGTAAGACACTCTGTTATCATAAATTGAATCAACAAGACGCAAGGTATTTGTTGGTGAAAGATTAAGAATCATTTTCTGGACATTATAAGGATCTTTGCTGTTTGGGACCATAACACGAACGGCCTCGTATAGCGACTGCCGATGAATTGGACTTGTTGCAAGCTGCACTACCAAGTTACCAAGAAAACAAAGAACAACCGAGCCAAGTACAATGACAATTACCGGAATATCGATCAAAATGCCAACTTCGTTATGAAAATATGTTGCATTCACCAAAAACCCACCAACCGTAATAGTCGAGCTTAACTGCCAAATATTCGTCGCGATCACCCCCAGCTCGTTAGTATCTACTTGGCCAAGCTTATCTCGTGCACATGTATTCATCCATGATTGAACTGTCTGAGTTTGGTAATTCCAAGGTGTATCACATTTACCACTACTGCGTATCTGATATACAGGTACAATCGGGAAATAAGACCTTTCAATCGATAATTCGGGAGGTGGAAAAACAGGAAAGGGTGTACCGTGATTTCCCAAATCTCTGACATCATGAACCTCATTATAGTTGCCAAGAATTGTGTATGGATTTCCAACATGAGAAATAGTCCAAAGCTGAGAATAGGTATGTAAGCAGTAATAGGAAAGTCCGTTTGTTTCCTGATCAAGTTTTATTAAGCATAGTGTAGTGGAAAGCCGAAGTTTGTTGTCGATGTAAGAATGGATTGCAAATGTCTGTGTATCGTCTGATGTGGATGCAATAAGGCTGTTCTGGATATCCATCGCCTGCGATGATTCTTCGTTGATATCTAGTAAGCTACAAAAAAAGCACGACGCTCTCCAATCGCTGCCAACTGTTCCTTGATGAGAATTAACCGTCTGCCATAAGAGACTCGACAATGTTGAGTTTCGGTGTACTGAGACCCAGCGTTCTGCTCGATCTATACTTCCATTGACTGGCAATTCTTTGTTGCTACCTTTTCCTTGAATCAAAAGATCAACCAAATCCGGTGTAACCATTGGAAATATCTGGTCAGAGTGCAAAAAGTCGAATGGGGCTGTTAAGTTACTATCGTACGCATCAATAATGTAAAACCCTGATAAACTATTATTCGACCATCTTCCTATCGAGCTTGCACCCATAAAAGGGGAGGTGCTATTGAAAACAGCTCTTGCTAGAAACATGTATTGTTGTGTTGTACCAAACACGTCGTCGATACCAATTGTCAGGTCGTTCGGATTACTGCTATCAGCATGATAAAATTCAACCGGTGTGTCTTCGATAGGGTCCCAATTAATTTGTGCGATCGTAATATTTTTGGCATCCACGCATCCATCACGAAGGTAGGTGCATAGAAACTTGTTTGTTGCGATTTTTGAGGTGGATAAATTCGATAGGCCGGGTAAATTGATATCAGTCAATGTCGGAATAAATATATTAGAGATTGGCGCCAAGGTGGAGTTGGTATCGTACTCAATTCTATTTACTGTGATAGGACTCATTTTACTGAGAACAGTAGGTAATATGTTGAGAGCGACAGCCGCAATTGTACATAACAATGCAATCACGTTCGTAGATTTTACACCTCGTTTGCCGGTTGGGCCAAATGGATGAAACATGGACGTTACCTTGGACACCATGTCAGGTTGTTCATACCAAAATCTTGCACTGGATCCACCTGGGAGTTTGCTAAATAATATGAGTGCTATAGAACCTAGCACGGAGTTATAGAAAAGCCGGGTCACTGTAAATATCGCTACCGCCGCAGCTTCAGAAATAATATAGACCATTATAAATTTTATTCTAATAAAAAAGGGAAGGGAAGCAAATACAGATGAATTTTGAAAAGGATGGCGATGTATTTATATGTACTCAGCGAGGATAGTGTTCAAAGCCTCGTTACGTATCTAAGCCCTGATTCTGCCTAATTTATACCCCTCAGCCATTACTCTTGTTATATAATTTTGCGGCATTGTTTGCATGTTTATTTTTAGGCAAGTAAAACTGTGTTTTAATATTGGCCTCGCACATCCTTTGTCAACCCTGCAGCAACTTGGCTTCTAATAGATTTAAACGACAATAAAAAACGGCGTGACACAAAAGTTTAAAATCGTTATAATGTGACTTACATGGTCACTTCTTTCCAACGCTTTTTTTCAATTATTTTCACTCTTTTAGGGTATAAAATTAATTACGTGGATGCATTTAATTGCATTTATTATTAAATAATTGCAGTTTTATCGATTATAATCAATTGTTAAATTGTTTGACTGATCTGCTTATTTCCCAAATAGGTATCCATACATCCACAAATACACATATGAAAGACACCTTTGTTGAGTTCGTGCTGTATAGCCTGTTCCTATTCTTCGAAAAACAATTTAATTTCTTTTGAAGAGAATACCCAATATTTGCTGTAGATGAGCACTATAATAAGTGCAGCTGAATAAAAGCAGTCTGTAAAAATAAAATTCAAAACTAGACTTGTGATAGCATCAGTTGTCGTCACCTCTTTGAGTCTCAAAGCAAATGATAAAACAAATGTGTCGGTTACTATTGGGACTGTTGCTAGCACGCCAAATGCAAGAATTGAATTATAGGCTTTTGATATCAACTTGAGATATTTCGCAAAGGAAACAAACAAAATTAAAAGCATTACGGTGAATATACTTTTGTTAAAATAAGCAAAAAGTATCAAATAGAAAGGTTGTAAAAGATTATCGAGCTCCGGACCTTCTTGTTGATGAGCAAAGGTCATTTCCGTATAATTTTCCACCAATATCTCTTTAAGATAATATCCAGAAACAAAAGTAATCACCGTCCAAGCGTACGCAGTATATATGTGAAGTCGACCAATGATACGTGTACCTAAAGAACCAGCAACATCTTTCAATTCTGTTGATAGTGAACTAAAAGTTGTTATGCAAGACAACCAAAGTACTGCATTATAACAAAGATTTCCCAACCAAAACGTTTTTAGATCGTCCAAAACTGTAACATAATTTATGTTGGCGACTAGCCCAATGATTGCAGCACATAAAACAAAACCAATGTTCCAGAAAGAACCCCCTTTTTCTCTCCTTAATATCTTGTAACATGACCAAAGAGCTATAAAACCGTTAATTGCTATGCGGATGTATGCTATTATAATAGCTGGATAACCAGCAGTTTTCCATGCGTCAGCAACAAGAGCTGTAAACGATAAATATTCCATAAAAATAATAAAATGTTGGAAAGAAAAAGAAAGATTTGGGAATGAAACGTTATTTTATGGCCAGAATGTGTCACAAGTTTTCATTTGATCTCGACAATCAGATTGATACTATGTATAACTAACTTAAGTGATTTTCCCTTTCTTTATTATAAACACTGTAATACAATTTGAAGCAATCATGTAAGATTTAGATAGATCAAAGGAAATAACTATTTCTGTGCAAATAATCATAAAAAAATTACGTTGTCTCTTTTTGTTTGATGTTACACTTTCCTTTGTACCCACAAAATCGGTCTCCACTTTATTTCACGATAGGTGTCTGAATAACAAAGAAACAAAAATACCACTTGCGCTCATTCAGATATATAAAATTAAGCCTTCTCAACCAGCGTCGGATACCAAGTATTATAAATTATGTGCTGCAAACCCATATTTTGGGAATCAGGCAACTTGCTTATTGATGATTATTAATAGGTGTGGCATCATGGTTTTTAAGACCTAATTGGGGTGTTCATGTCCGGACTGGACAGTATTCCCAAACAGAGTCAGTTGCCGGATGTCCGGTAAATATCCGGTAAATGCCCGGTGCAATTAAAACCCAGACGCTGTCATTGCTTTATATTAAATTACAAGTGTGTAGAATTAAAAGTTTTTTTGCATCTACGATTCGGTTGAGCGGGTTAGCTACTTGCTTTTCGGTTGCACAATCGAAACTTTGTGACCAGAATTGTAGAGGTTTTAAATGATGATAAAGTCAGCCATATATGACGACAGATAGGGACATTGGCGCGTACTAAGTACTATGCCATACCGGTATCTTCTGAAAGAAAAACTTTTTTTTTTATTTTTTTGTCTGATTTAAAATGAATTTGCATCAAGATTATTTATGGCGTAATCATACATGTAAATAAGCACAAATAACTAAAAATTTCTAAGGTCATTCCGATTTTTTTGTGAACATTAGAATGTCAATTCTATTGATCTTTATTACTTAAGAATTTTAAAGGTTTTTTCTTTCTCCCGAATGCTTTCTGAAAGAGCGTTATAGTATTATATTGTTAGTAGCTATTGATCTAATGCTTTTCATAGAAAAGGTGTGCAACGCAAACATTGAATTTATTGTTGCACAGCATATGTCCAACCTTATTTTGAAATATTAAACCAGAAATGTGCATGGCTGCATAATCACTCAAAATCATTTTAATCAAAAGATCTATCTAAGTGTCCATAAATGTTGAGAAGATCGTGGCGACTAGTAATCATTTTTTCCTCCTTTTGATGAGGGTAAGATGTTTCCATTGATGTTGGCGCTAGTACGAACGATACATCGGCTATCTAAGGATGAACGCCGTCTGGGCAATTAGGTTCCAATACGAACAGTGTTTTATAATAGTGCAGGTAAGATATGTTTAAATTATTCTTCTGCTTATAGTATTATACCATGAGGATTTACTCATTGAAGCTATTCCCTCAAGGTTCAATGGGTGGTAAATTTGGTTAATTGGTACGTGATATTATTTAATACAACTGTAACAGGTGTTTCAATATTATTGCTAGTTCAAGACAAAGAAAATAACGAGGAACCACATCTTTATCATGTAAGTCCATTCCTCATGGAAAAGCAAAGAAAACTCTGACGTGGCCTTTATATTTTTATTCGGGTATTTAAGTGCATGCTTCTAGTACAGCTGAAAAATTGTTTTATACTATTGTGCTTTTCATTCTTTGCATATTTCGTAATGTGTATAAATACCCAAGTCTATGCGCTTTCTTCTATTTAATTAAATTTTACACAGCATTTTAAATGCATATTACTTTGTTGGCTCTACTTTCTTTGTACTTCACACTCTCACAGGCTGCAAACTTAAAATGTATCCATTCAGAACATCAATTAGCTAGACATGACGAACCACTGACAGTAGACACTGGGAGGGCTCCGACAGAATGCGCGAAAAAAGTACAGACTGACGGGGATCCCGATCCCGTTGGCGAGTTTCTCAGTTGCTATTTACCAGGAAACCCATAAATGATTTTTTTTTTATTATTTTCAAATAAAATCTACTTTAATTATTTCCTCCCAATTCCTCCATATCCTGTTCAGAATAACCAAGCAATGTCAGTACATATTTCAAACTCTTTTGGTTGATTCTTGCACCCGCTTGTTCTTGAACACGAGGCTTGGCGTTAAATGCGATACCAAGTCCAGCTTTGTTAAGCATCCACAGATCATTAGCACCATCCCCGACAGCAATCACTTGTTTTAAAGTTAACCCCTCAGCTTGTGCAATGACTTCAAGTAATTCCGCCTTACGGACGCCATCTACGATAGGGCCAATGGTTTCACCGGTGAGGGTTAATCCATCAGAGGAAACTTCAAGCTAAAGTGGTGGTGAGTAAGCGAATAAATAATTTTCCATGATAAAAATATTACCTGATTGGCAAAAGCATAATCTAATCCCAATTCAGCTTTGACATAAAGTGCTAAGGGCATAAATCCACCGCTAATAACAGCCAATTTGAATCCAAGCTTCTTCAATGCACGACACAAGAAACGAGCACCCTCAGTAAAAGTAAGAATCTGTTTGACGTTTTCTAGAACACCAACACTTGTTCCGTTTAAAAGATTTACGCGACGACGTAATGATTCTTTGAAATCAATTTCACCATTCATAGCAGCCTCAGTGATAGCCTTTGGAAAAAAAAAGTTCCTGTTAGAAGAAGGCAGATTAAACATGGTCTATTTTACTTACAGAAACTTGATCGACAACACCGGCATACCGGGCAATTTCATCAATGACTTCTTGATAAATCAAGGTAGAGTCCATGTCGAATACAACAAGTCTCTTATTCTTTCTGAAGACATCGTCACGTTGCAAGGCCACATCAGTACCATAACTTGCGGACAAACCAATGAGCTCAGTACGAAGCAAACTCATATCCATACCTCTTGGCACACTCAAACGGAGATCAGCACAAGAAAGTTTATCGTTATCCTTGTTCAATCTAATCATTTTCTCAACAGAGATACGATGCTTCAATAGTAAACGAGTCCATTCACTCAAGAAAGTAGAGTCTAATCCGTCTTGATTTAAGATAGTGGCAGCATATTTAATACGTTCTGAATAAGGGGCTTCTTCAAGAGATGATGGGATATAAATAGGTGCAGAAACGCGGTTTTCTTTCTTCTTGTCTTTTTTCAGATTTTCTTTTTGTTCGCGAATCAAAGGTTCAGTCGCTTGAGAATCAGGAATATCATAAGTCAACGAAGCGTCCCATTTTTGGGCAGCTTCAGCTAAATCACGGAAAATGGCGACATTATCAGAATGTAAAGTGATGAGGACACCAAATGTGACGTTGTGATAGAGACGGGACAACATAAAATCATCCACATTACAAGGATGTCTAGCAAGACAGTCAAGTACTGCACCAACAATATCTGTACCATGAGGGCCGGATAAGGAAACGAGCACTTTTTGATTTGGAACAATAAAGGTAGGTGGTAATACAGTGGATGGGTTTAAATGATGAGAGCGACTTCTTACCATAATTGGCGATGTTGAAGACAAGTTTGCTACAGCAGCATTGCCGTCCAAATGCTGCTCATTTAGCTTGTTCATTACTCTTTTCTTTAATGCTGTTAAGTCTTCTGCCTTGACAAGGGGTAATTGAGCAACACGCTCCAGGTAAGGTTGGGATAACGAGAGACCTGAATGACGATCGTTCTTCTTGAGAATCTTTGTAATGCCAGTATAGTTGAGAAACACAAATCTTTCAAGTGTGATAATTCTTTTTAATAATGTGGTGGTTGCTTCAGCAGAGTTATCGTTTATGATTTTTGGGCCTTCTTGTACTAGCTTTTGTGATTCTTTTTCGAAAAATTTGGTGGATTTCTCAACTTGTTGGTCTAACTTTTCAATAAATGCGACCACGCATTTTTGCAGTTGGCCGAGGCGCTCTGACACGAGTTGGGCAAAGGGCTGTTGTTCTACCTGCGTATTTTCGAGTTTAATTGAATTTGAATAGACTTGTTCCTTTAAAATGGTTTTCAAGTCATTATAATCGATACAGTTGATAGCATATTCTTCTGGCAAGTGCGATTTACGCTCTTCCAAATAGTTTCCAAACTTCATTTTGTGTGTTTATAGTAAGAAAAAGGGGAAATATGAAATGATGTGGTTGAGATAAGATACAGAAATTGGAACAGTCCCGATGAGTCAGATTTACACTACAGGACCCAGATGCGGAAGTCTAAAATTGGGTTTCATTCAAGATATGATGCAGTCTAAGGAACAGCTCGAGTTGGACGACCCAAAGGTGAAGTTCAAAACATTAACTTTCTATCCGAAGACGAAGTGGTCAGCTGTTTTAAAACCTATGGTAATGACGTTGAAAAAGCAACCGACTTGATATCAAGTTATGAGTTCCTTCAGGTAGCGGAATGTGTAGGGGAGGGGGTAATCCAAGATTAGTCTCAAGACAGGACTATGTATTGTGCACGCGAGAGCAATTGATTCAAAAGAAGAACAAAAATAAGAGCTGCAAGATCTGAAAGTCCTAAACAGTACTTAATCCATAATGAATGTGGACAATGATCTTTATTGTTTGCTGGCATCAGTGTGGGATTAAATGATGCACTTTTATTTTTTACAATCGCTACTAAGAGATAAAAATTATTAAATTCATAGCACAGATCTAGAACTATAACTTGCTATTGTAAACATCATTTTACTTAGCATTTAATTTTGCTTTATTTAAAAAAAAAAGCAGATCATCTCACGAAACGCTGTTAAAGACGATCTTTGGTTGATTCAAAAGACTGATCTATCCAAGGCACTGATTATAATAGTTTATAGATACAAATATCCCGCATAAACGAGACTGCTTCTTAAAAATCCGTACACTACAAAAGACCACCTGTTTCAAAAGATTGTAAATCAGCTCAATTGATAACCAGAAACCTCTAAGATATCGTTTGCAAGAATTATAATGGCAGTTGATAAACTGAAACGTGAGATTATTTCTATGCAAGATAATTTAAAAGCAAACAGTTTATCGCTGTCATAAGTGCTATGCGTGTCCCTCTTTAAAAATATTATTGCAGTGGTCTTATCTAAAATGATACAACAGTCGTTTTAATCTTGTAAAAAAACAAGTGACCGTGTGACACCGGGTTTCAATTCATGTAAACGTTTATGAGGGCCATCCTTGTTCCTACAAAGTTATTTCACACAACATAATTTCTGGTGAGAAGGGTGTAATCCAAATAAGAAATCAAAATACACCCATACAACAACTAAATATTGAAGCTGCCTCAGTGAGAATTGTCCAGGACGAGTTTTTTTTTAGACATTGCTCTCAATTTTAAGCTTTTAAGTTGCTGAGCCATGTTTTGATATTTTAAACTTTATGTTCTGCATCTTGACATTGAAGGCATTATGCAATCAGCCTGAATAAAATTGGAAATCATGGTTTCACCAGAGGCGGGGTTACACGAATACGCTTGTTGATCGTAGTAGATGATCTATTGTCAGAACACTCTGCAGGATTATGAGCATTTTATAAGTTATCTCAAAGTGTATCACAATTGATATATTATGCTCTTTTAAAGACGCCAGCCATAGCTATTTTCTTCCAGTTAGCCATATTTATTGCAAGGTAAAATATATTTAAATCAGAAAATATGCTTACATAAGGTATGAGGTTTTCGATAACCAAGTATACATTAAGACTATAATAAAGTTGATATTTGAAAAAGAGAGGGTTGAAAATAACAATGAAGTGCATGTGGTGATGATCGGGCATTAAAATAGTTTCTGACACTTGTACGGGTATCAAATGTAAAAAATAAATCCAACAACCTTAACTACTTGAAATCTCGTACTTTAGGTATATCCGGAAATTGTCTTAAATGTGATGCAAATTTTGGTTTTGATATGTGACCATTTGTGGTATGCTTGATACCTTACAGTATGCCCGGGAACATCAGCATCTGATGAGGGAACTTTCTTTGTTTTGGGATAATTAACACAGAAGTAAAATATATCATTAGAACTTTAATATTATTTTAGAAAAGTGACCAATCTGCATACTTTTTTTGCAATCGAATGTATCGTTCACTTGGGACGTGACTTGTTTGCGACACAGCCTTAATTTGGATTTTGTTCAATTGATGCACACTGCGGTACTATAAATGAACGCGTTCCCAAAAATCATGGAGGAAAAAAATATTCAAAGCCTTTTTTAATACTATTCTAATTCTTGTTCAACATGTCCGATTTAAGCAGAATATATTCTGCTGTATACTCTGGTGTACCTGTATTTGAAATGGTTGTTAATGACGTTGCTGTGATGCGCCGAAGAACAGATTCATACATGAATGCAACACAAATTTTAAAAGTAGCAAATATTGAGAAAGGAAAACGTACAAAGATCCTTGAAAAGGAAGTTCTCATTGGCGAGCATGAAAAGGTTCAAGGAGGATATGGAAAATATCAGGGAACTTGGTAAAGAAAAAGTGTTGCGCGTGCTTCTTTTTTATATCTCTATCCTAACACACCACCGTACAAAAAAAAACAGGATTCCTTTTGATAAAAGTAAAGAGCTAGCTGACAGATACGGAGTGCTTGGCGATTTAAGTCCATTATTCAATTTCGAATTAGATGCTTTGGGCACCGAAGACGGAGAGGACTGTTCGCTACTAACAAAAGAACAAGCCATTGCTGAAAGAAGAAAGCTAAACACAGAGAATTTGCAACATACACACCCACAGCCAAAAGCTCCCCAAAAATATAAACAGAAAGCACAACACAATTTAAAACTTCATGCTCTGTCTCCTATCGGGCCTGCAGAGCTTTCACAACCACGTAAAAAGGCAAAAGTAGCTGCTTTAGAAGAAATAAATGAAGACACTGCAGCTGCCGACGAACGTGACCGAAGTATTCTCATGTCTATATTTTTGTCAGATAAGCCGGAACATATACCTGATTTACTCAAAAATACCCAAGGAAAATCAGGTTTTAATATTGATATGGTGATTGATGAACAAGGCCACACTGCGCTTCATTGGGCCACAGCGTTGGCTAGAGCAAAAACTGTTGAACTACTTGTTTCAAGAGGGGCCAACATTGCTTGCACGAGCTATACAGGGGAGACTCCGTTAATGCGTGGTGTCATGGTGACAAATAGTTATGAAAATAATAGTTTTGAAAAAACTTTTGAACTATTGAAGGAATCTATTCAAATTGTAGATAACAAAAAGAGAAGTGTCTTTCACCACGCTGCTTTGACGGCTGGTATCCAAGGTCGTACACATGCAGCCGTGTATTATATGAAGACTTTAGTAAAAGCCATCAGTAAAGAGAATGATGACACAGAATCAATTATTAATGCTCAGGACTCTCTTGGGGATACTGCCCTTAATATTGCCGCTAGATTGCATTGTCAACCTCTTGTGGATATTCTACTCAAAGCTGGTGCAACACAATCGGCCGAAAACAATAATGGGTTGCAAATGAGAGACTACAACGACGGGGTAGGAGGTACAATGGTTAAAAATGCAATTCACAAGTTAATTTTATCTTTGTACTTATAGGATACATATATGGAAGAGGCATCTGGATCTCAACGCGCGTATCCCACTTCATCTTTATATTCTAAAAGACCTTACGCCCCTAGTCAAAGAGGAAAAGAGATTGTAGCGAGTAAGACACAGGCCTAAAATACCTAATACAGTATTTTTTAAAAAGAAAACTAACACTTTATATGATTTTATAGCTGTGCAAAAAATTGTCGATGCATTAGATGATGAATACGGGGGACAATTAACGATAAAGGAACAAGAGCTTCAGAGTGTACAAGAAAGTTTGGATGCTGTTACGCAGGAATTGGAAACGACAAGGAAAGGTTTAGAGGAACGTCAAGCCCAGTCACAAAAATTATCTGAGGCTCAACAAAAGACCAAAAACATAGAGAATGCTCTTCAAATTGGATGGAGTCGTCTTGAGAGTGTCATGAAGCAGGCGGATAAACCCATGCCCAGCCTTCATGAAATCGAAAGTATGAGTGAAAGTGAAGATATCGATGCCATGTTCGACGCTCCTGAGCTCGTCTTTTCAGAAAATGCAACAGAAGAAGAGAAAAAGCAGCAGTTGGAAGCTTATGTGAAAGATATTCAGGCCAAGGTCAAAGCATACACTGCCAATGATCAGGAACTTTTGAATGAAATTAAAGATTTGGAAGACCAGTTTGTTGAAAAGGAAATGCAATGCAAACGTTTGATAGCTGCTTGCTGTAACTTACCGATTGAAAAGATTGATGATCTAGTCGAACCTCTTACATTGGCCATCGAGAGTGATCCACCAGATCTTGATCTTGCTCGGGTCATTGGCTTTATGGATAAAATCAGACGCCAGGGTGCCTTTACGGAGCCCTCATCGAGTATCACGTCTTTAAATATACCCGATTCACCACATATATCCATGTCACACGATCATGATACTATCATGGATGATGTACACAACCCTGTTTCTCCAGCATATAGAGACGATTCACATACACCAAATGCATCCCGCATTGTAATGAACTCGCCTAGCTACCATGACCAACCTGTGGCTCATAATACAGCTGGTACCTCCTACACAAAGTCCAGCGATAAAAGTGCTTTTAGCCGCTTAACTGAATCTGTTGAGCACAAGCTGGATTACCCCTCAAATGCAACCACTATTAACGCAACTAAAAGTCCAGAATCATCGTCGCAGCTGCCACCACAGTTAGAAAAACCAGAGTCATCAACAAATAAGGATGTCGAGATGAACTATTAGTAAACAATAATGGTTCTCATTTTGTCGATAATCATAAATAAATAAAAAAAAAAATCTATTTATCAGTGTATGTAATTGAAGTTAACCGATAAACATTTAAGTCCTTCCACCTTCTAAAGTAGCCTGATAATCGATTGTCTTTTATTTTTATTTTTTTATTTGTTCGTTAGTTTGTTAATCGCAAAAGCCTTTTTCTGTATACGAGAGTGTTGTTATCCTTAATAACATCAGCTTGTTTGTTAAACATTCAGGCTATTGCCGAATGTGATAAGGAGCACTACGACCAAGAAAAATGCAACAAATTTAATAGGCTGTAAATTTAGTGCAATGGGTTGATGTAAATGCTTTTTAAAAAACGTAGAGGAGAGAAATAAATTTAATTTATTTAAAAAAAAGTTCAATAAAACAATGGTAGATATATTAAAAAAACTACCAGGAAGAGAAGAACAGTCGTCTAATTGAATGACGAAGTCCTGGTGTCCTTCTGGCAAAGGCGTTTTCGTTGTTTATAAACTGGGTCCATAATTTGCAGCATTTAAATTTTTTTTGCATACAGTAAGCTTCATCGTCCGTTAGGGGTATTGTTGTTGCCTCTTTGTAAGCCTGGCTGTGTTGCAAAAGGTCTAAAAGATCTTGATGAGACCAAGTGTGATAACAACCTGTACACATTAAGCTTTTGATACAATACATGTAAAAAAAAATCATTGCTTGTCTAGGCTTAATAGACTGCTCTAATTTGAAATAGAAACTTGACTTATCCACACGTAGCATGTTTTCATACACACAGTTCCATTTACTAACGCCCCGGTTTAAGTCGTCAAAATTGAGTGTCTTTTCGGTTACATAAAAGTCGCCAGAACAGTCAGTGTCGAAATTGTCGAGGCATGCGAAAAACACAAATGCTTTTCTGGTGAATTTTTTGAGGTATTTTTCATAGATGCTTTCCTTTTTGCTGTTATGTAAAGTGTCGATGATATTACAAAAATCCGATACTGATCCTTTAACGTCTTTTTCTTGTTCAGGTCTGTCCAATTTATAGACGCGATAGATAACTCTGGGTGTGTTATCACCTTTAATAACGTACTCTGAGTTTACTGCGCTTGCCTCGTAGTTAATGTGTTCTTTTCGAAATTTTCATCCCACCCTTAGGAACTCTTTTACATTTAAGAATGCGCCAATGTTTACTTCATCAACAACCCTGCCTTCGTGTTTTTTGACTCCTGAATATACTACGGTATGGTCGGGATGGAGAGCAACGTTTTTGCAAAATTGGTATAGTTTCATGCGGTTTTATTTTCTCGAAAGATGGGTCCTTTATATAGGATGAAAATATAAATCACGCGGGTTCCACAATCAATTAACTTGTGGCATAAACCGTTATAATTATTTTTGGCAGCTGAGTAAACGTTTTGTTAACAACTTTAAAAACTTGTATTTTTGGACTAAATATTATTGTACAGTAAAAACGGTAAATTTTGTCACTTTGAGAAAATTGAATGTCTGTAACCAAAAAAATTAATGGCACTAAGCCAAAAATGATTGTTCCTTTATGTCTACATATTCAGGGCTGGCTGAATATCAATTATTAAAGTGAAACCTGTCAAATATACAATAGGCGTATTGTCAATTGAAGATCGAGCATCTCATGGTACCTTCGAGAATCTTGTTATTGACGAGCGATCATATCATTGGATTGTATTATCTGGAATAAATGTATGACTATTGTTTTCTATATGTTGATAAGTAATCAATGCGTAGTAAATAGAGTGTAATAGCATGTATTTGATTTAAAGAGTAATGCAATAATGATTTATAGAAAGGTTATCAGATAAGAAAGAAAGAATTGATGATAGAGTTATATCTGTATATAAGCTCGATCACAACAGCATCCAAGATTTCTTTAGTGAAAACATCAATCATGAGTTGACTATGCTGTTGAGGTGCTAAGAGAAATACATGAGATAAAGCGAGTGCTTCATGGATCGATGTTTCCATATAAAGCAAAGCAGATGCTGTGATGTTAAATACCTTTTGTTGAAATATCATGAATAATGTCGAGATGTTTGTGCCTTTGAACATCCATCCAGCTGAAGCATTTGCATGAGAAAGCAGTGTCGATGATGCCTGATGTCCAGGCAGATCTAGGAGATCAGCGTCATTATGTCTTGTCATATCCGCAGAAGCCGAGTCATCGGTGGAATTCTCATTATCAGTGGCAACGAAGCAGTTAGAATTTAAAACAGAATCTGCCAGTACAGGCGTATTCGCAGACTCTTGCCAGTCATTAGTCTCTTGATTATCAGAATTCGAGGTAATAGAAGTGGTGTTATCATCGATTGATGGTGACGTCGAGCGATGAGTTGTATCATGGCTGGAAACGCGAACGGATGTCGAGCAATTGACATCAGGCAAGACTTGAATTTCTTGTTGAATAACTTTTTGCACGTATTCGGCACTCCTGAGATGTGCGTCAAGATCCGTCACCAATCGTGTTTTCTGTAACCAAAACTGTTTGCTTGCGAAGGAACTTTTCCATAAATTGAATTCCTTTGTCAGCCTATCGCAATCATCCGGTATATACATGGATATAATGTTCTTATACCGCGAATAAGCGTAGTCCCTTTTGAACAAATCGAATTTCTCACAAAAAGCAGGAAAAGTGAGGGTGGCCTTATTTTCGATGCAATAGGTGATGTGTTGAGGATTGTTGACTTTCCGGTTCATTCCTACAGCCATTTGCTTTTTGTGGGCAGATTCGCTATCACTTTTGTTGGCCGGTCGCTTTTGTGACATCAAGAACTTCGTCAAATTCAAATAAATGGTAAGAAAACAAGGTAACAAAGCAGGAAGTTGGAACACTGAAAAAAAACGGAAATGTCTAGACCTCCGTATTTTTTTCAAACGTATTTTTTTTATACCACTTACAGGAATTCTGGCCAGAAGACCAGCAGACCAGTATGATTGCACCTGCTTACAGTCCAATCCCAGCTATTTACGGTTTGTGAGTTCCAACAATTCAAGAACTCTGCCTAGGAGGTCTCCCTCCTATAGCAAAGGCTAGCTGCAGCCGCAATATCACAATTATATATCTTTTTCAATTTAGCTTCTTTTCAAAGAAACAAGAGTCACTACTAAACAAACCTTTTTACTTTCATACGATAAAAGAAGTATGTTAAGGGAAAAGAAAATGAGAAAAATAAAGTGTGTGAACCAGCTTTACTTATAGATAAACAAGCTTATGTCAGGATGATTTCATTTGTCTATTTTATCATCCATAATGTATGAGCCTTTACTTAAAACAGAAACACTTGCAAAAACCTCCCAAGCAAGTCAGAGCTTGGTAATTGTCTATCTGCATTCCAGTAGTAGCTTGTAATGACAGTAAAGCAGATTTTATGGAAAACAGAAAACGATCATCCAATGAAGTTTAGATGATATGGCATGTCAATCGACGTGTAGACCATCACGCTTGAAAAAGAGAACCTGTATATACCACCTGAGCTATACTATATATAGTATTTTCTCTTATATACCACCTGCCGGATTGTACCCGGACAATCGATGCCCGGCAGGTGGTAGATAGCCCATTATACGTGTAGATATGGATTAATAAAACGGCATTTTTTAGGCTCATAAAGTTATTTTTTGACTTACAGTTAACGTAAATAGATAATAGTAGGAACACAGTAATACTTTATTATGCTTCACTTTACTTTACTTCAAAATAATTTGGAAATCATCTCTTTTAAATGCTATAAATGAGGCCTTTCGGCAGTCAACACAGATTAAACAGTACTTTAAATATAGGCTTTCAAAAACAGCTTTGCTTTAGATGTCGATAAAAGTGAATTAACATACTTAGTTTTTCGCTGTAAGCATGGAAATGCTCGTAAGACTACTATTGAAATCGTTGAGGAAAAAGAGAACAAACGATCAAGCTGTAAGAATAAATATCCAATCCAATTAAGATTCAAGCATCGAAAGCTTTTACGGGTACAAGCAGTAGACCAATCTGATAAGGTTAACCGAGAACACTTGCACGGCCATTTATTGTCTACGGAAAGTATGAAGGAAAATACGTTACTAGACAGAGCACTGTTAATCTTGTAAAGAAATGGTGGTAGGAGGGTTCTGCCTATTTAACACCTGCCAGACTTCACATAACAGACAGGTGGTAATTGACTTTATGAGCCTAAAAAGTGCCGTTTTATTAATCCATATCAACACGTATAATGGGCTATCTACCACCTGCCGGGCATAGATTGTCTGGGTACAATCCGGCAGGTGATATATAAGAGAAGTTACTATATATAGTATAGCTCAGGTGGTATATACATATTTTCATGATGAAATTGTCAGAATAAGCATATACCGCTCAATATACATTGTTTCATAAATATTGCATTGTCTTTGATTGTATATTCTTATCTTTAGAACATAAAGGTAACCAAAGTCACCCGATATTACTTTGTGGCTACGTGTGCTTTGACTATCCCTAAGAAGAATGTTTTTAGAATGATGCAATTTTTACAAGCACAGTATTATCTACATATATGGAGGAGATCATACATTGCTATAGTTGCTAAACTCATGAATTATGAGCCAACAACCCTTTCAATACTTTTGAAAGCAGCACAAAGTTATGTACAGTATGAATATCACTTTATTCATCTAAGGAATGATGGCTATCTGCAAAAGCAATTCGAGTGAAAGTATCCCCGAAAAATTTCGAGAATATAACTTTAGTTTTTTAAGCGTTCTGCAAACAATTGAGACCGAATCTTGGGGAAAATGACATAGACAGCTATGAAGATCAAGCTCTATAAAATGCTAAACAAGTCAAAGGCACAGACCAAACAGATTATACACTTTGAGATTGACAATGCATAAAAAATATCATGATGTGACTGTGAGGTGTAAGGGGTTAAAACAAAATAAAAAATCCTGGGATTGTTAGCCGCCCTTTATTTTTTACACCCACACAAAAAAGAAAAAAAAATGGTACAATCCAGCATAGTAGTACCATCTACCAGTCATCGTAAAAGATCAATTGATGTTTCAAGTAAAGAAGAGTCTGGACAAGATGAAGAGGTAACTTTCTCAAGAAAACTTTTTTTTTTTTTTTATTATATACACTAAAAAAGAAAGCGAGTAGATTAAAAGACCTCGTTTGGAAACCAGTGAAGCAGGAAAGAATCGCAACAAACGATTGTTTGGTGCTTTATTAGGCACGTTAAACAAGTTTAAGAACGAGACAGAAAAGACAAGTGAAGTGGTAAGTGTGTGAATAGTTTTTTTTTTTTCGTGTTTCAAAAAAAAAAACTGAACGAATGACGTGTAGGATAAAAATAGACGAGAGATCAATGAGAAACTTCATGAAAAGTTAGAATTGGAAAGAAAGGAATTGCAAGAGCGGTTACAGGCACGTAAAGAAGAAAAGCAACGCATGTTAGAGTTAAAAATAAAGGAGGAACAAGAACTACAGGCGGAAGAGCGAGAGTTAAAGAAACTAGAGCAACAGGAAAAGTTGGCGAATTTCTTGAGGACAGAGACAGAACCGTTTCTTTATTATCTACCTGAAACTTTGACGGACGAAATGAATCTCACAATAAAGGAACAAAAGGAACGTGTGATTGAATCAAGGAACAAGCTTGAGAATAAAGGATCGTTATTGTGATTAATATCTATGTATTTATAATAAATATGTGTGTGTGTGTGAGAGAGTGAGTGAGTGTATGTGATTTTATTTTGATAATGTTTCCGTCAAGGAAAGCAAATAGTTTTTTTTTTTTTAAATGGGTATCATCATTATTTTATGATTCGCTTTCTAACAACAGATCAGAGAGTTTTCTATGACTAGGACTATCGAATTTTTCAAGCTCTTTGCAAACCTGATGAGAGAGTTGATGCTTTTGAAGAGAAGAAAGTAAAGTCAAGACCTTTTGGATAAAGACCAAACCACGTACTTGATCTGCCAAAACCTCTGATAAAACGGATTCCTGCGATAAGGCCTCCAATAGCAGAGTTTGTGCATCTTCATCCACCGTCTGATTGATTAATTTATAAATGATTTGAGAGCCCAATTTATGAACACATAATTGAGCCAAATGAGGAGCCAATCGAGTAGCCAAGACATGCATACGACCATCTATCTGTGTGGACTCTATCAACCAGGATAGAAGTAACGCACCATTGGCGTTTGTGGCCAAAGCTAGTGCGTTTTGACATAGAGAAGAAGCCACAAATCGTTGTTGATTGTCACTGATGAATTCACTTTCGAGGATACCTCGCATAGATCTAGCACCAAAACGACCTTGTGAGATGATCATGACTTTTTCTACCATGGCATCAAAAATAAATTGGGTTTGTTGACCCAAACGAAGACAGCATTGGACAGCGTAATTTCCAAATTGGTCCAATAAGAGAGGAGGAATATAAGGTTTGAGGTATTGACTGATCAGGTTGACTTGTTCCGGAGTCTTTGCAAGATCAATCATTTTTTGTGTGGCCCACGTTCCATTCTTGTGGATACTGATGGCTGCCAAATGAGGGCCAATTTTCTCCAACATTTGCGTCTTTGTATCTTCAGAGCATTTTTCAAATAACCGTTGAACAACTGTGTTACCAATGTAATCTACCATTGTTAATTATAATAAAAAAAAAGTCAGTTTACTTGTTTTTCTTATTATACGTATTACAAAGAACTTACCACTACTAATTTCTGCAATATCTTGCATACATTCTTGTGCAATTGCTTCAGCTTCCTCGTTTCCTTTACTTGCACTATCTGCTCTTTTACGCATATCACGAAGACGTGCAGCATCGAATTGCCGATTGGCACTCAGCTCAGGAACTGCCCGTATAGAATCAAAATAGACAGATGAAACTTTGAGGTCTACAAAGGGTGATTTGTTAATGATTGAATAACAGAATAATAAAAGTTTTTACCTTTGACATAAGAGAGACATATATCCTTGGGAACATTAAACTGAGTCATGATTTGAACAAGATCGTTTTGCCAAAGACTAGTGGTATCGGTGGCGGTGGTTTCTTCATTAACAACAGAAGATGATGATGAAGAAGATGAGGTAGAATTCTTATTGTTGGTGACAAGTGGAGGAGGAGGGGGTATTTTAGCAAAGCCTACACGAGCGCTGGTAAATCCTTGAGCAGCAATTTCGTTTTGTAACAAAGCATCTCTTGCGGCAATGGCACTGTCGGTAGATTCAAAATTGATGAAGCCGCAGTTTTTATGAGACAAGACACGTACGGATTCGATATTACCGTATTTCTGAAATAAGTTTTGTAAGGAAGTGGGTGTTGTATTTCCTGGTATATTTCCTAGCCCTAATATATTTTATGGTTAGATTAATACATATTGAAATTTAATAATGACTTACATAATGCTCGGGTAGGTTGTAATACGTTGGTCTCGGTGACAGCAGCAGCATCTGCTTTTCCAAAGCCAATGCGAACTATACAAGCACCAATTCTTCCTCCCATGCGAGTCAAGACTTCCTCTTTGGCTCGTACGGCATCTTCGACCTGATAAAAATTGACAAAGCCACACTCCTTTTCGACAAGTAGACGGACACTTTCGATAGACCCAAAAGCAGAAAATACAAGAGTTAAAAGCTCAACGGTGATTGTATGATCGATATTGCCCACCCAAAGTGAGCGTGTGGATAATTGTGAAGAATTTTCACGAAAGGTGGGTGTGGATTGACTATAGTTTAAGTAAGGTTTCTAATGAAATGCCACAATAAATTAAAAATTGATTTCACTAGTATGATTACAATATATGTATATATTACCTCTGCAGTATTATTGGTGGTTGTGGTGATTGTGGTTGTGGTGGTAGGTTCATATATATTGGCTAATAATTCCGAATCCCCCAAAGACAAGGCATCTTCTTCTCTCATAGAAACAAGGGGAGAAGATCTTTGTTGAATAGGTTGAGTCCATAAACCTATTTGTGGTGGGGGTAGTCTACCTGCATCCGCACGTCCCATACTAGATGCACGAGGTCTATTTTGTTGTTGTCTCGTAAATCCTTCCAACGGACTTGCAAAAGGTAAAGGTGTATTATTGGAGTTTAATCTTTCATTATTTTCATAAATGGCTGTAGCATTGACGGAATAAGATCGATTTCGATTTGTACCTGATAAAAGAGATCGACTTGGCATGTGAAATTCGGGAGGCGATTGATGATGAAATAAGCTATTCTGATGTTCCTTTTCTTCCTCCTCTTCTTCTTCTTGTAAGCCCAAAGAACGCATAGTACGAGCAATTGAGAAATCACTATCGTTTTGTAAGAGTTGTTCGGAAGAAGGAGAAAGGGGAGCATCATGTCTCAAGTTCCAAAAGGAAGAGGAAGGAGAAGGTTGAGGTAAGTTGAGTGAGCCCGAACGATGTCTACCAGATTCGATGGTTAATAATAAGGCTGCACTTGAAGAAGGTCGGTTATTGACTTCAGTCTGGATAAAAGAAGGCATAGTGCCTGCACGAGGACGACGAGAGGAAGGAAGCTCTGAAACTTTAGGTCTTTGAAACTGATGATACACTGTTTGTTCTGTTTCTTCAAATACAACATCTAAATCTCTACTTGCATTCATTAGTTTCTTTTTTTCATCTCTTCTTTCACAAAATAATAGTTCACCTTGTGGAGGAATACACAGACCCCGACACTTGTTGTCTTAATGGGCTTGCTTCCTTCATTCTTTAGAGATGGACTAAATAATAATAATAAAAAAGCGGAGAAAAAGAGGAGAGAAAGCGAAAATTCACCTACAAATGTTACACCTATTTTAAAATAATTTAAAGAAGGAGGGTAAACAATGCTTTTTTGTTGCGATTAAAACCCAGCATACTTTTTGATTGTTCTTACTACTTCAAAAGGACCTTTTTTTAAATAGCAACAAGTGCTAAGGATTTATTATTATGATCTAAAAATTTGTTCCCGAGAATAATATTAGAGGTGCAGTGCAGAGATAGGTTTTGATATTTGGATGATGAAATGTGCATAAATGTAGATTAATCGATGGGGGGAGAGAGAGATGGACTGCTTTTTAATCATTATCGATTAAAAAAAGGGTGACTAAAAAAAAAATAATCTATAGGATCCCTTTTCTTTCGTTTAAACATAATATGCTCGAGTATATCCAAACTAAAGAAGAGCGTGAAGCCTTTATTGACAAGTATGACAACTTTTTGTTCGACTGTGACGGTAAAATACAAACAAAAAGAGGTTGCTTAATAGAATACTTAACCCGTTTTTTTAAAAATAATAATTGATAGGTGTATTGTGGGAAGGTACTAATATGTTTACTGGTGTACCTGAAGCCATGAATCTTCTTCGGGAAAAGGGTAAGCGAGTATTCTTTGTCACTAACAATAGTACAAAGTCTCGTTCTTCCTTCTTGAAAAAGTTTGAAGGTTTTGGCATCAAGGCCGAGCTTGTAAGTGAAGGAAACTACAAAATAATTAAAAAGGGAGTTCTAACAACTATTGTTGAATAGAGTGAGGTATTTAGTTCTGCTTTTGCTACTGCTGCGTATCTCAAGCATGTCTTGAATTTCCCCGAAGACAAGAAAGTATATATTGTGGGTATGGATGGTATTAAGCATGAGTTGGAGGCTGAAGGTATTCGTAGCTGTGGTGGAGAAGAAGATTCTGGAATCACAGATAACGACCCTGTCCCCGATGATAAAGAGGTGAGAGAAAAGAAATGGGATTATATACAAGTAAACTAAAAGATAGGACGATTTTTTTAAAAAAAGGTGGGTGCTGTTGTCATTGGACTGGATACAAAGGTCAACTATAAAAAGTATTCCAAGGCCTTTGCTTATCTGACTAGAAATCCCGGCTGTTATTTCATTGTGACCAATGAAGACACAACTTTCCCTCAACATGGAGATTTTTACCCTGGTGCAGGTGCTATTGCTGCTCCCATTATTGCTGCTCTTGGTAGACGTCCTGATGCTGTCTTGGGTAAGCCTGCACAAAACATGTTGGAGGCTATTCGTGCCGAGTAAAGTATCCTTTTTCTTGTACTAGTGGTAGCGATTTTAACTTTTTTTTCTTTTAGATCCCATATTGATTTGAAAAAGACTTGTATGATTGGTGATAGATTAGACACTGATATTGAGTTTGGTATTAATGGTGGTGTAGATACCTTGTGTGTATTAACGGGTATTACCACCAAAGAAGTCTTACTCTCTCCCGAGAATAAGGTTAAGTCTACTTATTACATTGATGCCTTTGGTGATTTAGCCAAATAAATTATAATTTTTTTAATATGAAGTAAAAATTCTTTTTTTTTTCCCTACTTTTTATTCTGTACAAAACAATGTTGAAAGTGGAGCGGTTTGACTTGAAGTATACTAATTGCTATTGCGAAGAAAATATTTATCTCTTATGTAAAGAGATCGAAGAAAAGCAACCCGACATGTTGCATAGCACCAATGTCATTTACATTAGCAACGACATAAAGATGGTTAGACTCCCCCCCCCCTTAAACAGACACGCACACTGCTTAATAAAAAGATGATAGGTACCTTTATGGAAACAAAAGGCGGGTGTGGATGAACAGCCAGTGGTTTGGGTAAGAGAAACGTGGTCTACAGAGGAAAAAAGTAACACTAAAAAAAAAAAAAAATTGATTTAGGATTATCATGTCATTTTATTTGTGCAAAAAGATAAGGAGGCACTTGTGTATGATTATGATTCAGTACTTTCTTTTCCTTGTACAGCAGAGGAATATATTACCGAGACATTTAAGCCTGCTTATAAATTAAAAAGTGAATTTGACAGGTACACACACATTTACACAGTACAAAAAAAAAGTTTTATTAAAGAATGAAATAGGTATTTTCGAGTGGTGCCTGCAGAGACATATTTAAGCTTGTTTTCATCAGATAGAAGCCATATGGTAAGAAGATGATTGATATAGAGAGTCTGGGTGATGTATTAAAAAAAAAAATATAGATCAAGAGCGATGGTAGCTATCATGCACCACCACCGGATTATCCAGCTATTCAATCCTGTGACGAAGTTATGAATTTAGATCAATTCATATCAATGAAGAAGAATAACAAGTATGGAATTGTGTGCAAGCAATTTTATAAAATATAGATTGTCATGCATGAGGAAAATAATAAACGTAATTGACAAAATAGGGGATTGTTTACGCACGGATGACGCGCGAAACCTTTTTTTTTTCTGACAAAGTGTAGCTTAATGCAAGCTGATTCTTTCTTTAGTTAGAAGCCCCTACTATTACAGCAGCATATTTCTTTGGGTGAATTAAACCATATCATCATCACACGGACTTTGCTATTGGTTGCAGTGTCTGAACGAGTATTGCCTGATGCAAAACGCGAAACACTGTGAAACGCTAAAGTTGTTAAATTCACATTTCGGGTAAAAAGAATGGTGGTACCACATGAAATAAACTAAAAAAACTTGCCCCCCCCCTTATTTTTATTTCTCTCCTTTCTTCTTCTTTCTCTTTTTTATTTGTTAAATATCATGCCATCACGAAAAGCACAAAATATATCAGAGGCGAAATTAGGACGGTTATTGGAATACAACCGAAATCTTCGAGATCAGCTTGATATACCCAGAATTACAATCTCAGAAGCATCGACAAGGTTTTTTTTGATATTGTTTGATTCTGCAAGCAGAAAAAGTGCTAACATGAATTTCTTATAGTCTGATAACGTATTGCAAGCAAACGAGAGATCCTCTTGTCCCATCTGTGTGGGGACCTATTGATAAAAAAGACGATCCATTTACACCTACAAATCATGGAGGTTGTTGTACAATCATGTAATAATAAAGATGTGTTTAAATTCTCGGGGGGTAATTTTATTTTTTTTACTCCTTAATATTTTGGGTTGATTTTGCCTGTGGTTTCGAATAATTTGATGGCTTCTAATAAAGTTTCTTCAGGAACTCGATGTTGCATCAAGAATTTATCATTCAAGTGTAAGACGGGAACATCAAAGATATATTTATCACGAAATTCTTTAGGACATTCTCCCTTGTGAATATCCAATACTGTCAAACTAAAAGGCGTCTATCGGAAAACCTGTGAGTCTGTTGACTGACTCAGTCAGTTTCATATCTATATATACCTTTTTCTGAACTCGCATAATAGCTTCTCTCGCTGTTGTGCATAAAGAGCATGTGCTCGAAGAGTACAAGGTGATGGCTGCTTTTCGAGTTGCCATGTTTTCTTGAATGTGAAAATAAAAGGTGGGTAAAAAAATAACAACACACCATTAAATTGCATTAAAGACCGTCCCAATCACAAGTCACGTATACCAGCAACCATTTCAAAAAAAAAAAAAAAAAAAAAATCACACACACACACTTCATAAAAATGGTAAAGAAACAAAAAAAGAAGCAACCGATTACAAGTCGAGTACAACGGACCGACGCCAAATTCAAACACTCGAGAGTAGAAACAGCACGACTAATTCGACGCTTTCATGTGCTGAATAAAGAGTTGGCCAAGTGCCGAGCAGAACCATGTGCAGCGTCCAGTGCTTATGAGGGCGAGATTTTGGCTGAAATGGAGTCCATGGGAGGACTTGATTGGTACCAAAAGGCCTCACAATTAGGTCAGAGTAAAGGAAGAGGAGGCGATTCTTCCAAATGGTTGATTCAAACCTTAAAAGCACATTGTAATGTGGATAGTGTAAAGAAACCTATCAAGGTGTTGGATATTGGTGCTGTGGCACCAGATAATTATAAGCCTTATAGTGCATGGATCACAGCCAAACCTATTGACTTAAATCCACAACACCCTGATATTCAAAAGCAGGACTTTTTACAGATGAAACCTACAGTGGATAAGTTTGATATTGTTTGTTTGAGTTTAGTGATTAATTTTGTTGGCGATCCCAAAGACCGAGGTAAATCGTGAATGTACAATATAAATGTGTGTGTGTATAATATACTTAGATAAAGGAAATAGGTCAAATGTTGATTCATACACGGGATTTCCTTAGTTTACCTTCAGTGACGGATCGATTACATTACCTCTTTTTAGTAGTTCCTTTACCGTGTGTGGATAATTCGAGGTACATGACACACGAGTATTTATTAGAGATGATGAAATCGATTGGGTATAAAAAATGCATTCAACATCATTTTTCGAATAAGCTTGCGTATTATTTATTTGAACTGACAGAAGTACCGGATACGAGCAAGATTAGTTGGAAAAAGAAGATTTTGCCTGGCAAGGAAGGTGGCGGACGAAATAATTTTGCTGTAGTTATAGAATAAACCCCTCCCTTTTTTTTTTTTTTTTTTTTTTATCTTTATATATTGTTATTCTTCCTCAGGAAGAAAGCCTCCTGGTGCATCACCATCGTTGTCATAGCCATCCCATACGTCTTGGCTGTATTCTGTATCTACTCTAGCCTTGATGATTAATCCCTTGATGAGCTTTCGCCAGCGTAAAAGTGTTTCCTTTTCTTGTTTGGCAATGGCTTTCCTTGCTTCTGTCTGTTCGTATTCTTCCCATGCCTTTTTTATTTAAAAATAGTGAGCGACATATCCCTCTCTCTCTTTTTTTTTTGGTAGTGTACCTCTAATAAAATCTGCTTGTTTTCTTGGGCAATGACAATACCATCCATGACTGGCACAGCTTTTAGTTTTTTAAATTCAAAATCGACCTGATAAAAAGATTTAACTATTTTCCTTTGGAGAGTAATTTTTTTTAAAAAAAAAAAAAAAAGTTACCACAGCTTCGGCATAATCGATACCAAATTTTCTTGCCATCCTTGCAATACCTTTGACTAAATTGAAAACAATTTTTTTTAGGAGGAGCCAATGAAGGCGGTAATACAACTTACTTGGAATATGAGCTGCACCCTTTGGTAACATAGTGGGTTTAAAAAGATCAATGTTGTTAAATGCATTCTTGATAATTTTGCCCTGCCATACAAGTAACACAAAGTTAGAATTAACCCACAAAATAAAATAAAATAATAAGTTACATTGACTAGAGGTGGTGGGACATATAAACGCGTTTGCCATTCACCGTAACACGGCACGAGTAATTCATTGCCTTCTCCTTTTGCTCTTTCTTGTAAACGTTTTGTATTGATTGTACTACCCTGTGCCTTGACCATTTTTAAGGGTTGCTCTCCTTCCATGATTTCTCGGCCAGCTCTTCGAAAAGTATCTGCAGTGGATAAGGAACGAACACATTGTCTAGCGTATACCTTTTCACCTTTGATATAACCCAAGACAGGTTCTTTTTCATACAAGATTTCCATTCTTTTTAAATGGCGTTCGAGGGCATACAATGGGTGATTTTTAAAGGCTCCAATAGAAGTAGGCATTACATCGTCTACTTCCAGTAACTGCAATTCCTCTTGTTCCAGCAAATCTCTTTCATTGAGAGTGTTTTTTCGAGAGAGATGGCCCAAAAAGGTGTCAGACCAAAGTCTTTCACCCGCTTGTTTTTCTCGCATGGATAAAGGTCTCTCTCTTTCCTTGAGCGCCTTCATCATATTCCGGGTATATCGTTTAGTGACATCCACGATATTTCCACGACGTTTACCCGAGTTTTTTTCAAATGCTAGGATAAAGGATAGATGATTATGACGGTCCAAGGAGAGAGGTTCCATGAGACCCGGTTTATTAACGTGAGCACGAATAGGATCCACACAGATCCAAGTTTGAGTTTGTTTGCAATAGACCTCAGCCCAAATGATGGGAGGTTTTGCCTTGGGTTGTTTCCATTGATGATCAGGATCGATGTAAGGTTTGAAGGGTGCTTTGAATTCAAAGTTAGTGACGGTAGCAAGATCTGGATCGTCATCATCATCATCTGTGGTGCTTATACGTTTGATGACGGGAGGTTTGTAAGATACAGGTTGTAAAGAACATACCAATCTAGTTTCACAACCACAAGATCTTAGGAGAGCAACGAATAACTGAGCACTTGTATCGCGTGTACCTGATCTAAGTTGTAAAAAATCTTCAAAGGTATGAATGTATGGTTCCTGTGCGGGGGATTCTGTCGCTGGAATAGTGAATAAACCTGGCCCTGATATAGTGAAATAGGTATGCCACCATGTAAGTAACCATTTGATACCCCTGATTAAATTTTCTTGGGTTGAGTCTTTTGAAAGTAAAGTTTTAGCATGATCTGGTGTAATGGATGCCAATACAGACTGCGGAGGTAAAGGGGGTTAATTATGAGCGTATAAGGTAAAAGGTGAATGCTTACCATGGTTTCATCACGAGAGCACCAGCTATTTCGAAGTGAGTAATGAGCAATGAGTAATACAATGTGTGCATTATGTGTCCAATCGCGGAGATTTCTTTCATAGACTATCCTCCAATTTGATTTCTTGGGTTTTCTATGATTTTTGTAAGTGTATCGTGGATGTGTCAGGTTAAAAAGAAATCTTACTTGAGCACAGGTAAGGGTGCTTCCATTACAATTTCTACATCTTTGTATGTTTCTTCTGTGCTTGCCTGTGAAGGATCAAATCTGGGAGGAAGCTGTATTGTCTCCCAGTCAATGTCATCTTCCTCATCACTTTCCAATGGATCTTCGTCGTCTTCTACCGTCATATCCCCTGATGCGATGTCCTCCTCTGGGGTCATATCCCCCACTGCCGTATCCTTCAATAGACTGTCTTCTATGTCATTCAATGGTGTATCTTCTAACAGACTATCTTTCAATACAGTCTCTTTGAGCAGGGAGTTGTCAAAAAGGGCAGAATTATCTGCAGTCTTTGCTTTTCCTTTGCCCTTGGTTTTTTTACTAGCATGATTTTCGTGCGCAGCACTCGGTTCCTCATGAACTGATCCTTTACGATTCCTTTTCTTGTTTTTCGAAATGTGTTGCTCATTTGGACTTTCTTTTTTTGAGCTTCTTGTCTTCGCCATTGCTGAAATATACAGACAAAATAAAAAGAAAAGGTGAATGGCAGATCCTTTTTTTTTTTTTTTTTTTTTTTTTAGAATGTAAAACATGCGGAGATTCATTCAAAGAAGGAAAAGGGTGGCTATGTTTGGAGGACGCCTACAACGTTTGATAGTGATACTTTTTTATGGTAAAGATGTTGGCAAAATCATTCTTAATGGTAGGTCCTTGTTCTATTCCTCTAAATTCAGAATAGCATAATTTGTTTGGATACTTCATTTTATTTTACAACGATATTTCCTTTCTACGCGTACGGCCATATTGTATAAGTAAAAGCTTTATTTAATGATAAACTATTTTATTGTATTTGTTCAGTGATGGATAGTTATGGTGAATAAAAGGTGGTCGTGCACATCAGATTTTTTATCAAACTCGAATCTAATATGTAAAAGTTTGTTTTTCACAGTAGCGCGGTCAAAAATATGTATTTTGCGCACGGGCCCCCATAGGAGCCCGTAATACTTTCTGAATTTGTTTTTAAAAAAAAGACATCTTCCATCAGAATTAACAGATCCAAGTGCATACAAACGATTTATTATATGTATGCTTCAGTTTAATCATTTTCTTGCAAAACCTATTTCGGGCAAGTGAATAATTGACAGAAATCAAGCGTGTGAAATTTTTTTTTTTTGGCTCGTATAAATCAGACGATAAATAAAGTTCTACCAAAAAAACGCAAAATCACATTTTTTGTCTATAAAAAGTAAAGAATCATGCTACTTGACACAGGGAAAGACACAAGCACATATGATCATGCTTTCTGAAGCACATATTTCAGAAAAGAAATTGCGGGGAGGGTGTGGGGTGGGGCGTGTAATTATGCCTTTTTATATTGATTCACAGCAACTTGAAGGCTAGATCCACGTTCTCGGGAATACGAAACGAAAGTATCACATATGCAACTTTATTCCATTCAGATCATCTTGCAAAACAAAAAGTGTTCAGCAGATGAATAAAACTGCTGCAGTCAAAGTAAAAAAAGACCATATTGACTTTGAAAAAATAAATAAAGGCGGGTATCACATAATGTCAGTACCCTGTGTATGTATTACCAAGTTGCTTCAAACGTGATAATGAAATCCAGGGTTCTACGTTAATCACACGCTAAATTTTGAAGGTGAAGGGTTCCTTCTAGTGTAACCTTAAAGACGGAGTTGAGAGGTTTCCGCCCACCCGCCCCCTTTTTTTTCATGCTTATGATGACGGTCCAACGTGTTAGCCTACTTTTTATTTGCTCAGTAAGCAGCAGATAAAAAGCTCTCGATTCCTTCTTCTTTTTTCTTTTTCTTCCTTCTACTTTTTCCCGTTTTACAATGACTACACTTGAACTCATTCATTTTAACGATGTATACCATGCTTCGCCGTCTAAAGACGAACCTATTGGCGGTGCATCTCGGTTCGCGACCAAGGTAAATGAAATCCGTTCCCAAAGTGACCTTGAGCCACTTGTTTTATTCTCTGGCGACGCTTTTAATCCCAGTCTTGAAGGCACTATTACCCGAGGCTCCCACATGTAAGCAAAATAGAGAAGAGAGCGCATACAAGACAACTTACTTTTATGACAAAAAAAAAAAAATGTTTATAGGCCGGAGATCTTGAATCAGTTTCATATTGCAGCTGCATGTCTTGGTAACCACGATTTTGATTTTGGTATGCCACAATTGGAGAAATTGATTGGACAAACGAATTTTCCTTGGTTACTTTCTAATGTTTTGAACGGTGCGGATACGGCGCATCAGCGAATCGATCGATATCTTGTACTTGAACATGCAGGATTACGTCTTGGCTTTGTTGGTTTGGTTGAAAAGTAAGTGTTACAGGGTGAATACATTATTTTTTGATAGACAGCAAAACTGATCTTTTCTTGCGTATAATAGAGAATGGATCCAAACAATTCCCTCGTAAGTATATAAAAGAAATGAAAAAGATAATGTAGAAAAAAAGAAACTGAATTATATAATTAGATTTCCTCCAGAGTTGACCTATTATGATTTTGTTCAAGTAGCCAAGGATCTTTCCAAAGAATTAAAGGATCCTGAAGGTCCCCACAAGGTGGATTTGGTCATTGCCCTAACACATATGCGTGTACCCAACGATGTCAAATTGGCAAAATCTTGTAAAGGTGAAATCGATCTGGTGTTAGGAGGGTAAATTATATCGTACGATTTTTTATTGGAAGATACTAACAAAAAAAAAAAAAAAAAATGTAGACATGATCATTTTTATTACGTATCCAATGCTGTGGATATTATTGGGGATAATTGGGCCCGAGAGAAGAATTTAGATGACGTCGGTTATGATCCTGAACAAATCGTGGAAGGCGACGAAGAGGAAGAGGATGATGAGAGATACCCTGTACGAGTTGTCAAGAGTGGTACTGATTTCAGAGAGTTTTCCTATTTGAAAATTGAAATTGAAAGTGATTCAGATACGGGTAAAAAATACATCAAGGACATGTCAGGTAAGCTATACATATACGAAAGAGTGTATCTGTTTTTGTTACTAAAATATCACACATTTTGTGTAATTATCCTTCATAGCTGAACGTGAGGTGATAGATTCAAGTGTACAACCCGATGAAGCTACCGAAGAGCTGGTTGAAAATGTAGCCAAACTCGTTTCCTCTAAAACCAAGACAGCCATCGGATATACCACTGTTCCCTTGGATGGCCGTAGTATGACCGTTCGGACCGAAGAAACCAATCTGGGAAATCTTACCGCCGATTTGATGATGATGTACTACAAGAATATTCAAACTCCAGCCGAGATTGGGTTCTGTGTGGGTGGCACGATTCGAAACGATAGTATTATTGAAGTGGGAGAGATTACATTGGGAGACATTTTGACCGCCTTCCCTTTTCTTGACCCTATTGTTGTGATTCGAGTGACCGGAAGACAGTTATGGGACGCGCTTGAGAATAGTGTATCTGAATATCCTAAACAAGAAGGCCGATTTCCTCAATTAGCAGGTATTCGTCTCGAATGGAACCCGGAAGCACCTTCGGGAAGTCGTGTACGTAGAGTGTTTACTTGCAAAAAGCATTTGACAAGTGTCGAATTAAAGGAGCGTAGTGGACATCGACGATCACTTAGTTTTCCCAACATGTTGAACCGAAAGGAACGTTACGAGCCCGAGAACATGATCCCGTTAAGTATGGAACGTGAATACATTGTTGCTACAAGAAATTATTTGATTGGTGGTTATGATGGTTATACAGCGTTCAAGGTACCCGAGGATAAAATTATTGTGGATGAAGAACGTGGTGTGTTGGTATCTACATTGTATCGTAAATATTTCTTGGGTTTGAAATATATTAATGCTTTCCGAGAGTATCAAGCCAAGCATGTACATCATGAAGATCGAATTAAGAAATTGGTGGCGTCCGCAGCAGCGCATTGGCGTAGTGTGTCTAAACAATTCAGAAGACATAATCATCCTAATGATGGTAGAGACTGTGATTGTGATACAAGTAGTCAAGATGGAAGATCCTTTTTGGAAAGTGATATTAAACAACGTGCAGATTATCATATCAGTACTGAGGCTATTGGTGATGCATTTGTGGATTCTAGCAAAGGTCATCCCAACTGTATTGATTCGGAAGATGCAGAAGAAAATGGTCCTAATAGTAAGTACAATGCTGATAACGATGTATCCTGGGTAAAGCGTTGGGCTAGTATTAGTCCTGTGGTAGAAGGTCGTATTGTTCGCGTAGATTATTAATTAGTGATGATAATAAAAAAGTTTGATTTTTGATTTTTCCCTTTGAAGCATATATCATATTACTTTTTTTTTTCAAAGAGATATCCACTAAATAATAACTACCTTTCGTTCTTCTGATATTAGAATAGGTCATGCATGTAAAAAAGTTACTTTTCCCGACAGCCCTTGATTTGATACACTCAGATATCGGGTTGATTAAAATGGTATGTCTGTCAATTTATTTTAGCCTTGATGATGGATATCAAATACTATGATAAAAATAATTGGATCTACTGCAGATCTATATGTTAGAAAGTTTACAGATCAATTTCATAGACATCATCATAATTTCGGTATGGCAGCTTATCTGTGATATTTGAGAACAAAAGGGATATAAAATGCGGTAGGATGGAATATAAACTTAGTAAAAAAAATGAGGCTACATAAACTTTCACTATAAGTTGGACGGTTTGTCATGCGAAGAATATAAGTCGTATCTATATTTAATTACCTAATAACCCTCCCCCTTTTTTTCTTTCTCTCTCTCTCTCTCTTATCAATTAAATATAATAATTATTATTTCATTATCCGTTCTTGTAATCAAGTATTCATTCTGTCTGTCCTAAGAACACGATTGTGATTGAAGATGACGACGACCAAGATGACGATGTCGATAGTTCATGAAATGGAGATGCGAATGAAGAAGGGGATGTATTTTGTAGATAATACCGATGACACTCTGAACGAGGTCAACATTTTAGGAGACGACGGTGGTGAACTCGTGTTAGATTCTGCAAATGATCCCTATGACGACACAGAAGCGCAGTTTTATGATTGTGACAATCGTAGCCGTCATGATTTAGAAAGCTCGGACTCCAAAAGATACTCTCACTACAACGTACACGAGATCGTTGATAGTGACAAGGCAAAGTCTACACATACGTCTAAAAAAAAAGTGTTGACGGTACGCTTATAGTCGTTTTTTTTGGTGGTGGGGAAAAATGTTGTAAAAAAAAAAAGTTGTAATTTCGCGGGATTTAGTTTGACCGAAGTTTATAGGAAAAACGGTCACTCAGGCATGTACCTCACAGGTGCATGAATTTAATGCAAAGTGAATTTGTCTAAATGTTTATTGATTATAATATATATTTTAAAAGAAAAGAAAGAAAGAAAGAAAGAAAGAAAATGTCTATAAGGTTTTTTTTTGTAGCAGGCATAAACTGTTCCACGGCATCTTTTAATGATTTGCCGGGCTTTGTTCATGTCTGATGTGATGATTTTGATTTCTTTGTCGAGATTGTCAATGCGAACGAGAAAATTAATACCATCGATGATTTTGTAACAGAGTGTAAAAAAAATGCTCTCCTGTTGAAGAGGTAGAGTAAACTCTTCCGTGTAATTGATATTGAGAGTTTTGAGTTAATGATATATTTTTTGGAAAATATACGTTAGAGTGGTTTATGGCGTTTCTGCTGTTGCTTGAAAATCCTTCATGGCGTCTCACAAAATTGGTGGGATCGGTGATAAAAAGAAAGGGAGGTGTATGAGAGTCAATTATCTCGTTTGTTGCGGTTACCATTCCTTTACAATCAGTTTCGTATGTGCAGGGGAATTTCTTCTCTCTGACAACTAAATGATATAAAAGAATGGAACAAAATTCTTTTTCTTGCTCCTCCTCCGAGCTATACTCTTTTGTCTCTAATAAAAATTCTCGCATCAAGTCATCAATGTCCAGAAGATCTGCGAAACGTGTATCACTGACGTAATTGTGTTCGTGGTTTTCAGAGCAGTGATGAATGCGGCTCACGTCGCCTTTAAACCCTCCGATTCGTGCTTTAAACTCAACAGACATGTTATTGAAAAATAACATTAGCAGTTCTATAGCACAAGCAGGTTCACCGTCTGTGAATTGGGGTGGGCTGTTATCATCATCGATGGAACTGGGTAATCCCCAAACAAACCCCCTGATCATTGCTGATGCTTCCCTGATAACAAGCTTTTTTTGATCCATGGTTTCGACAGTGGAAGTATACTTTTTGTACGAATCAATTAAAATTGAATTGTACCTGTTGTATTTCAAACCTTCCAAGGAGACAAAAGGCAAGACAGCATTCCACAACAGCTCGAAAGTCGCATCAATGAAGCAAGAGTTTTTTCTATTTGCTGCGATCGCAGACAAAAAACCCTTCTTCACCACCAAACCATCATTGACCTGCTTGGAAACTAAGTTAAACGATGCTGCATTCTGTTTGTATTGAGATACAGTGACAGTTGTTTTTGGCAAAAATAATTTTTCTTCCTGAAACAGTAGTCTTTCTTCTTCATCGAATTCACGTAAAATGGCTTCAGTATCAAAATCGAAATCTCTTTCTTCCTTTGAAGTCGTTTATAGAGCTTTTTTGGTTTCGCCCATGTCAAAACTACTGATAACGGTACCGAACATTTCAGTTACAGGATCATCGACAATACCTGGGCAATGAAGTGTTAATTATAGTTTTTGGTTCAATATTTAATATGAAAAAATGTATATACCACCCCTCTTTTCCAAATATAGTAATTACCACCCCTGTTCGGTCGCACCGGACAGTAGATGTCCGGTGGAAGTGGATCACTGTATACGCATTTATTAGGCACATTTGTGGATCACTTTATACCCATTTATTAGGCTCGTTGTTGGATCACTTAATACCCATTTATTAGGCACATTTATAATGTTTTTTTGGATCACTTAATACCTATTTTTTAGGCCTATGAACCAGATCCGAATAATTGTTTGAGGAGGGGCGGGGGGGATTTAGGTACCATTTTGCTTTTTCCATTTCACAATTTACAACGATTATATAAATGAACAATCAAGAAAGTATTGCTGAAGGCGAGCGTCTCAATGTTCCTAAAAGAGTAGAAGTAGCCCCAAGAAATCCTTTAATCGAGACACTCTTCATAAAATTGAACCAGTCAAAGAATGAAGTATCACTTGAGGAAGTTGATGTCGAAGATGTTGATGACACATTAATTAAAGACAAGTTGACATGTGGTAAATGCCATAAGACGTTCAACTCGAGATCATCCCTGATCAAGCACTTGAAGGTCAAACACCATATTGTAATCGTTGGTGTCAAGCATGGGCGTCCTGACCAAGGTGGAAGGCATACATACTAAATCCGCCAGCAGCAAAAGAAGGCCGATAGAAATTCCGTTTTGAGAGTCGACGAAAAAACTTA